ACACTATTGAAAAGCAGAATGAGAAACAATCTTTTAGCGAGTTTTTTGGAACCCCGTTTTTCTTTAATTGGAAAAATATGACGCATATCTACAAAAAATATGTATGTAGTTAAGAGACGTTTTTGCAAAAAAGTGAATTGTATTGAAAGGGCTGGACAAAATTAGTTATAATATTTTCATCAAACATAAGCCCTAATAGGCGCAGTTTCGAAACCTGCCCCTAAGGCGATGATGCAGTTTAGTTTCTCCACCGAGCTAATTGAGGAGAAAGAAGAGAAACGTGTTGCACGTGGAGGCGAAACAGTTCATTTTTTGAATTTCGCCCCATTTCTCCTCATTTCTCCTCGCAGGAAAAACTTAACTGCAACATCGCCTAAAATAAAACACACTGCGTTGAAATCTTGATTTTTATAGAACAACTAATAAGATTGTATAACAAGATTAAGGAAATAATGGTCGAATAAGCATGTTTTTATACTTGTTTTTCGTTTTTAAACTTTAAAAACATTAAAAAAAAATCAAAGATCTAGAAAAACATCGAAAATCCAGTGATGTCCGAATTGAGTTTCAACTTAACTTTTAAAACATTTCGGAATTTGATTGGAATTTTGTATAGAATGGTTCAAATGATCATTTTAGAGTGTTTTGAACACATGTTAACGATAAAATATCATCAAAAATCCAGATTTCTGCATTTTCAGATTTTCTGGTTGTTCTTCCTAGAACCTTGAGAATGAACCTTATAGGCAATGAAATCATTAGGTTGAGGTCGGAATCGGGAGCTAACTTCTTGAGAATATCTAACAATTGATTTTTGATATCTGAGTTCTTCAAACTCTTCAGCTAATAACTGCAATATCCCGCTTGTAGAAAAAACTTCTTAGGACCCCAATAACACTCCCTAAAAATTTCAGAACGATTTGACCACTAGTTCCCGTGAAACGATAAAATTGCAGGGTGTTCGTATCTTTTTGCACGCTACTATACATGAACTGGGACTCCGAATTCGGAGAGAGGGGGTTCACGTCTATTGGATTTTTAGAGGTAGGGGGCTTAACTTTTGAAAATTTTAAGGTATTACAAACTGTTTCCATTGAAATTTCCATAGTTTTTGTCAACAAACTGCGAAAAACAATACTATTTCAGATTAATTAATTAATTTTTCAGTAAAAATCCTGTGATTTCATTAACAAAACGACGTTTTCCAGAAAAATCTACTGGATCAAAAATTTATCAATAGTAAATATAACAAAAAATAATGAAAACTTGAATATTTTTGAAAAAAAAATTGTGCAATCTCAGAGATTCGCTGGCCAGCTCGCCACTAGATCAGGACCAGGTGGCCGGAAAGTTCAAAACGAGCTGAATTTGATTCGGCCACCAGGTCGCCTTGAGTTTTCCGGCGACGTGGCCTGTGTGTTTGAAGTCCTGGAAAGCAAGCAAGACGGTGGTTTGTACTCAAAATAGTGCATTTTTTACTGTGTTTTTCACTTCCTAAGGTTGTACTCCGAAAAAACAGAAAATGAGCCAATGTCTTCTAGAATGCTCGGATTCACAAGTTTTTTGGACTTTTTTTCTTAAGCGAAACGATCTGGACGCGAGGTCGGGTCGAGCTGGACAACCTGGGCGAGGTGGTCTGCATGAACTGGACCACCTCGCGACCAGGTCGTCTGGCAAAAAATACGGGCGATGTGGTTGTCCGTGTCAATTTCAGATGGCCAGTCGGTCCCACCTAGTGACCAGCTGGCCAGCGAATCTCTGAGATTGTTGAGTCTGTCGAAGATAATGGCGCCAAGTAGAAGAGATGAACCTGAAAATGTTCAGAATGTTGTAAAACCCAGAAAAAATTGTGATTCAAGATTTTAGAAAGCAATTTCCAGCTTTTTGGTGAATTTCATACGGTTCGAACTTTATCTTGATGAAAATTAACTTTTTGTTAATATTAAAAGAAAAATTTGTATTTTTACTTTTCAATTTCGAATTAGGATGTGAAACCAGTTTAGAAAGCTAACCCTGATAGATGTAATAAAACTTTGAAGTGAAAAAATACAGATTTTCCGAAGATTTTGGAGAAATAAAAATGTTCTGCTGCCCATTATTTCAAAAATTTGCCAAATTAAGCTGAACAACCAGTAGCAGCACGTACCTCACTACTCACATTGATGATAATATTCAACAGTCCCTCTATATACCATAATCGATTTTTCTTCCGGCTGTCGATTTTTTGTCGGAATTGTTCGAAACTCCAACTGAAACTTTTCAAAAACCCATAGAAATAGCACCAGCACTGATAATGAAGTTGTCCAAGCTTCTTCAAATGTACTTCTTCTCCTCTTTTTCATAAACCAACACGCAGAATCAACTTTCAGTGCAATTGCGAGCCAAATTCGTGTAATTTACGAACATCTGTAAAATCAAAGAACATACATTTTGAACAATCTTTTGTATCACTAACTTGCTACTGTGCGAAAATCTCGCGAAATGCTCCAATTCGGTCGAGGAAGTCCGCGAAATTTCCGCGAAACGCGAAGTTCCCCGCAATTCGCGCAAATTTTGCGACGTCCCGTCGACCGAACCCCAGATTGCGCGAGGTTTGTGCGAAACGCGTGATTCTCTCGCGAAGATTGAGCAAATCGCAGAGGCCCCGCTTTTCGCGCAGGTGTCGCGGCCGTTCTCCTGAGGCGGTATATAAAAAACATCTTCGCTGAACGCGTCACGTGCGCGTGGTCAAACGGGTAAAACAAATGTTTTGGAGGTTCGAGGTCGGGTGAGTGATAAATAAAAATGATGATCTGAATGTGAGGATCGATCATAATGACATTTTGTTTTGAAATCGCGAAATTTACGCGAAACGCGTTAAAGGGGGGGGGGGTTAGACGACAAAATAATTTCGTCGCGAAGTGAAAGGCTCCCCGAAAGTAGTAAAACCTCCAAGGGATTTTTTCTGGAAAAGCACAGAAAAAATGTTCCATAAACTTTCGAACAGCTATACGTTGAAAAAAGTTCATGGAATATTTTTCGGACCTTTTTAGGCCCTTCAAGAAAAAATCCCCATGATAAATTTCATGCGTTGGGTCTTGTCGCGGTTGCTAACTTTCTTCGCAGGACCTCAAAAAATAAGAAAAGTAGCAAGTCAGGTAGAACTCGAGGCGCTGATTTTCATGCTATATTTAGGTTTTCATGAACATTATCTTGGTTTTGAGCTACTATGCGCACCGTTTTAAACAGCGTTTTGTTAATCTTTGTGTTGCTTGGGCGGGTGTGAAGCAGCAGAAAAAAAGTGCGATGGAGCGCGTTTCCTTCGCTGCCGAACGGACAGTAAGAAACCTAGACGATCTCAAACGTAAAGAATCTTCAATTCCTGCTTTTCGGGATAAAAATGGGACCATACTATTTAATTTGATGATTTATCTGAAGCAACTTGTTTACAATTAGCAAAATATTTTGAGGAACTATATAACTAGGCACTAGTCATGGTAATTTTTGCATGGTTTTTTGTCAAAATATGGACAAAGTGTTTTAAAAAAGAAAAACACGTTGGAAAAAATTGAAACACTTTGTTTGGCATTCGGTTTGTATTCAAAGTGTTTTCAAAAATAGGAACATAATTTTACCTGAGAGAATAATCGACAACCCATCGAAAAATCGATCGACAACTTCAAAAAACTTATATTTATTTCGTAGTACGGAATAAAAAGACAAATTGTTCTTTTTTCTTTCAAATTTATTCGTGTTTTTCTTATTGAAACCTGATTGAAGTTTTGGAGCAACTGGAACGAAATTAAACTGATAACAACGGAGCCAATCTGAGATTGGAAACATTTACTCTCGATCTACAACGAAGTTTCAAGCCTGATAATAAGAAAAAATTTATTGAAAAAAAAATAAGAAACTTATCATTCCGGGAATTGTGGACGGTTGCGATGAACTAGCTGAAAATAATCAAATTACAATAAATGTTTTAACATGTCCAAATTTGTTCGGTTGGTAGGAATTTTGATATGCCATGTGTTGTACAGAAACTATATGAAAGTCTTTTGAAAGTTTCAAAAGGTGAAAAGGAAATTGAGTCGAGTTTTAATAATAATTAATGCTGATATTCATGCTACACCAGCTTCTTGGTGTTCAACACCAAGAAACACCAGGTGTTGTGATTTTGTAAAATATCGAAACACGTATCATGTTTTTGTTATTGGTTATTTTGTTATTTTGAGGAGCGCAAACAACCAATTTCTCAGCTGGCAGACATTTTGAAGCAAAAAAATGTTCCGGAAATGTACATTTCAAAAATAATTGAAAATACATTGACATCTGAAACTTCCCATTCAACACATTCTTCGAAATGGAGAGCCAGAGCTGTTGAATTAGTCAGAACTGATTCTGTTATTCGAGATTATCTTCATAAAATATATTTTTATGATTATTTGGTGTTTCCCGAATTCAATCGATCACACTTGGATCCTCCATATAACACTTTAAATGGTTTTTGGGATAGGAAATATCGAAACGACTATCAGAATATTGTTGAAATCCAGAATTCGTTCTCTCAGTTGAAAATTTGAAGTTAGAAGAATATTATTTTAAAAATAGAATGAAGTTGTTGTTTATATAGAAATTGTTAATTTTTACACTGTTAAAAATTTAAGGTAATTATTTCTTCCCAAAATTGTAAAAGTGTAAAATCCCGAATTAATCAAAAGTTAGAACATATTTACTTGTTTTTATTGAAATTGTTGGCACAATAAATTTTCCGAAATAATTTTCAAAGAAGCGTTGAAGATTTCAAAAAGAAAGTGTGAACCATACGAAGTTTTTTTCTAATGATCGTATCTGATTTCAAAAAAAATCGTTTTCACATTAGAAGAAATTTTCAAAATGGGATATACGATATAGGTACAAAAATCGGATAGAGGTTTTTGGAAAGATTTGATCTCTGATGGTATCGGAAAAGTTCATTCACACTATAAATAGAAAATCCAACCGGCTCAAAACATAAAAAAATGAAACGTTCAGATTTACAAGGGGTTCGTGGACTGGCAATTCTAGCAGTTCTATGTTTTCATTTTTTCCCAACATTATTTCCAAATGGATATTTGGGAGTGGATCAATTTTTTGTTCTTTCTGGATTCCTAATGTGTATGTTATTAATGAAAAGTGAACAAAGCGACAAATCAAAATGGCTGATAGTGAAAACCTTCTATGTTCGACGACTTCGACGAATTCTTCCGTTATATTACCTTGTTATTTTACTATCTCTATTATTTTTGTACATCTTTTTTCCGGATACTGCTATTGAGCCAAATGAAAAATCAGCAAGCAAATCCATGTTGTTTTTATCAAATCGATTAAAAACTGAAGAAGAAAACTACTTTGAAATGCTCTCGTACGCTGTTGATATTTTCACACATACTTGGTCACTTTCTGTCGAAATTCAATTTTATTTACTTGTTCCTTTCATATTTTTACTCCCATTCAGAAATCTATCAATGGTTGTTATATCAATTTCAAGTATTGCCTATTTCTAGGCTGACAAAAATGAGGTAATGTGGTATTTAAATACAACATTTATTTTTTACACGTTTACAAAAATGCAATTTTACAATATGCAATTTTACAATTTTACCCATTTGCAAAAATACCAGAATACAACCTTTTTTTCTGCCTTTCTGCCAAAAGTCTAAAATGCTCATTCTCAATTAAATTTTGTTCAACTGGATATGGTGTAAATTGGATGGTGGAAAACCGTTTTCATTCAAAGCAATTTCCAAATTCAGAAAAACTGAGTTTTGAAATTTGTCATAATCGAGGCTTCAAGGCAAATATCACTGCCCTTTTACATGATTTGGTAGCGATAAAAATGATAAATTATTCGTGAAGAGCACAGTTATACTATTCAACTCGCTTTCTATTAACCGTTTAATTGTTTCAATAACATTTTGTGAACAAAAAGTAACAGAAAATTGTTGAAATTTTGGATAAATTTAAAAAATGTTGTATTCTGGTATTATTGTATTCTGGTATTTCTAATAAAAAAAATCATTGCATTCTGGTATCATTAAAAAACGTGAGTTGTATTCTGGGCGGTCATTTTTAGCATTTCTAAAAATGTTGTATTCTGGTATTATTTTTGCCAGCCTACCTATTTCTATTATCTACCAACAAGTATTGCATTTTTGAGTGTTTTTTCGAGAATTTGGCAATTTCTAGTAGGAATGCTTGTTTATATATTAAGCAAATCACCGGTTAAATCTTACAAGTTATTGGAAACTGTAGAAGAAGAATTTGAAAAAAAAGCATCCGATAATTATTTTCTCATAAATCAGATTCGATGTTCTATGAAACCAAACTCAATCTTAAGTCTAGCATTGACTTTTACTTTGATTCTCATAACATTCAACTTCCACGTATTGCCGCAAGATATTGTTAGGTATTGTATAACAATTATTTCAAAATATAAAATCTATTTTGAAATTTCAGACCTTTGATTACATTCTCAACTTCTGGGATTCTTCTTTTTTCAAATGGCGACGATAAATTTCTATCAAATAAAGTTCTCACTTATATTGGTGATATATCTTATTCATTATATTTGATACATTGGCCAGTTTATTCTTACTGGAAACTTACCAAAAATGGAGATGTCTCAAGTCTCATTTATTGTATTATTTTATCAACTCTTTTTGCAATTTTCATTTATCATTACTTTGAGAAATGGTATATCAGTTTGTCATATCGAAATGTTCTAATATTGATAGCAATCATTTTTGTGGGAAATTTAGCGACTTTGTATCATGAATCTATCAGAAAAACATTTCAAGGAAACACGACGGATTTCAGTACACTTGATGGTATTACTGATGATATGACACTAGATGATGCTGAGAAATTGAACGCAGATTGGACTGCTCATGACTATAGAAATCTGATTTTTGACAAATGCGAATATGAAGATACCAAACCCATAGGTTGGTGTAAACTTACTGATTTCGGAAATGAATCGAGAATTGTAAATCAAAAATCAAAGTATAAAATAATGGTGATTGGTAATAGTTGGGCGGCTAATCATGCAAAACTTATATATCAAGAATGTGGTTATAAAGCAAAAGTGATGATGATTGGTGCAGCTCACGGGTGTGAACCGCTTTATCCGTCAATGAATTTGGAAAAGTGTATAAACAATGTTACGGATTTTCGAAGACATGTTGAAAGGTTTAAACCTGATTATGCTATTCATATTACAAGGTTGAAAAAGTTTGTCGGGATCTATATTATTGTATATATTTTCAGACACATATCCTATGGTCTCCCATTTGTTAAAACAGGTGATTTTCGAAACGATCCAGTGTACAGGTTTATGTGGAATCAAGCCAAAATTCTATTGCAACATATCAAGAATAAGTTTTTTATTCTGAATGCATTTCCGAGAGCTAACGCCACCGAAGTCGGACAAATTGTGAAATATATTAGACAAAATATGACATTTGTAGAGATAGATGTGAGTGAATTAGATTTTATTTGGTTGTTTTGAATTTTGAACTTTTTAGAAAAAATTAATTGATGAACATCTACTCGATAATGCTCGAGATAGATATTCTCAACTTGTCAAAGATTGCGGTGAGAAATGCGAATTATTTGATTATCTTCCGAAATTTTATCGAAACGATACACAAACTTGGAGATACTTTGACGATCGTGGATTTAGTTTTTTTACTGGCCCAAATCATTTATCTTATCACGGCTTGGAATATGTTAGAGGTGTTATTAGAGGAATTTGTGAGAAAATGTAAACAGCATATAATTTGTCTCTTCTTGTTTTTATTATAAAAATGAAGTTTTTTACATATGTGTAGATTTTTCAGCATTTTGATACAAAAGTTATCTCACATCAATCTAAAAACTGTATGTATGTTGTAGCCCGTTAGAAAACTTCAACAGGATGAATCTACGATACTATCTTGAACGTTCTATTATATTGAATTTCGTAAAACACCTTACGGCTAGACACCAGATGAAAAGATAGAGATAACATTTATTTTTGAAAAATGCGAGAAATCGACAAAAAAAGTGATTCACGTTACGTGAAATTAATCGACCTTATGAACCCACTCAGAGATTCGCTGACCAGTTTTCTCTCCTAAAAATAATGTTCGCTTTCCAGCGCCTAATCACGTTTCGAGGAAAAAGTAGAAAGTTTTGCTTTTTCTACCTTTTTTAATAAAATCCCGATTGGGTGGTGTCTCGATGGAAGAAGCATTTTTCAACCCTGTTCTCATTTTTTGGATGTCTAAATTTTGGACATTTGCGGATTTTTTCCGAAAATCATACAACCGCGAACGTCTAAAAGGATCCGATCCTGGACCTTCTGAACAAAAAACACGTGATCTAACCACTTGACCATTTCTGACACAGGAAATGACTATCGTTTTGCTAAGAAATGCTCGAAGAAAAATCCAAAACCGAAAGAAAGAACGAAAAAAATAAGAGTGTGTGCCAACACCGACTGCCCGCATACACCAAATCCTACGCGCAACCTTGACGCGAAATACCGGCTGTGTTTTCGCGAAGAAACTTCTCGGGATTTTTAAAAATTGGGAACCCCTCCCCCCCAGATTTTAGAAATGGACACGTTTTAGGTATAACATATGGGAACCCTGATAATCTCTCCAATGTCGCTTTTCCCTTGGAGATGGAGACTGTCCCGCCTGGGAGCTAACAGCTCCTAGTAAAAATTTTAAAAACAATGTTAAAAAACTCACTTATCCTCCAGTTTTCCTCGTTTTTAAAGCTTCAAAAAATGTTTCGATTTTTCCATGATTTCGCTGATGTTTTTCCTGTAAAGTAGACATGAGTCAAACTAAAATAAGTACTTTGAACGGAAGAAAAATTCAAAAATGTACATTTTTCATAAAATTACTTATTGAGCACCAGTTTTAGTATAAAACTATCGCAAATTAACTAGACGTGTGTTTCTTGTACTAGGGAAATAAATAAATATGAATTTTACAACAAGTTTCATTCAAATTCATGGAAAAAACAACAAAAAATAAGTGAATGAAAAATTTCCGAAAAACAAAAACAAGACAATATAAGTAAAAATGGAAGTGCGCCCTATTGATAAAAATCGCATGCCCGGAACACTCTCAAAAATGTGTGTGTGTTTCGCTGTTTTTATAAGACTAAAACTGTGTGAACTGTATATTTTGTTTTTTCGACGTTTTTCTGCATTGGAAAAATATGTTTGTTTTTATCTGCATTGTCATATAATTCGAATAAATCTCCCCATAACGTCACAAAAATGACACGGATTTTCTGTCAATTAATCGGAAATATAACCCATTACTGAATTCGCAATGTGGAATTTAAAGAAGTCCCATAGAAATCTTTTGAAAAGTAGAAGTCCTACTGGCGGTCTTCCTCGAAAAACCTAAACCTACATAATGAGAAGGTTATTTTAAAAAAAATTCATAAACTTTTAAAAATGTGTTACTTTCGTTCTATAATTTGGTTTGTAATCAGAAAATTCTAATTCGATTTGAATTTACTACTGTTGAATTACATAGTTTGTCAATGTTATTCAAATTTTAATTGAATATTGTTGCCTGTTTTAGGACTTTTAATATTTAAAAGAATTTAATTTGTATTTTCATCAAACAAAAGATCATCGGAGACAAAATCTTCCAACTTTTTTTTGGATTAAACACGTTTTGCAAATGCAATAGCGGAATATCGTTCAGTTCTATCGAAGAAAACACAATTTGTTTGATCAAGATACTTCCCAAAATCTTTCAATATGTAAAAAATCTAGATTTTCACTTGTTTTCAGAATTCTCTTACTGTTTTCGTTTTCATTACGGTAATTTCGAATTTCATCTTTATAAAAGTGTCAATTTTGAAATATCGTGATGTATGTTTATTGTGTGTGACGCAGAGATATTCGTCAATCCGAGACGAAGTTGATAAACCTTGGTGCCAATTTTATATAAAGCATCTAGATTTATCATGAGAGCGTTTCAGAAAGTGTGTACGCTCAGAAAAAAATCGTGCTTTTTCGCGTTCAAGGTTTCTTTGAAAGATTTCGTCTCCGATCGACGATATCTTTTGTTCAATCAACATACAAATTGAAACACAAAAAATTTTTCAGGGCATAAAAACCGGTCGTCCAGAACAAGTAAAATGCTAAGATTTCACAACCCAAAAGAAAAAAACGACGGGAAGTCGGAATTCATATTCCAATGTGATAGAACAATCAGACGTTTTGCAGTTTTTATATTAAAACATCGAGAAGAACTGTAGAAATCTAATAAATAACCACAGAGCACGACAAATCTGTAAATATTGGTTTTTCGGAATAATTCTTACTAGGATTACTGTAGTTTTTACATTTATACAAAAATTTAGTGTTAAAATAATAAACTTACTGATCAACACCCAAAAATCCATTCGGAAAATATTCCGAAAAAAATGAAAAGCTAATACTGAAATTATAGCAATTGATCTAATTCCCTGAAGATGTCCTTTTTTTGTCATTATTTCTAGAGAAAAACGTTAAAAACCAGGGAAATCAAATTCTCAAGAAAACTGTACATCAGATATACATCTTGTTTTGTTCGAGAAACTCGATTTTGCAGTTTTATCTTATTCATTTAGTAGTCGAGTTTCTGTTGTGGACAAACCAAATGAATACATATCTGATCCTGCTGAAGAGTTTTTTCCAATAATTGTATATGCGAGAAATTTGGTTCCCTTGCTTTTGAACATTTTTTTATCAGAAAACAATTCGATAATGGGGAATTTTGATGAAAATTAAATACTTTTTCCAAATGAATATATTCATTAGCGTTCTACAAGCAGGATCATCATCCGACTCAAAAAGCAAAAACGAGAAATTCCTCGAGTCATTGGTTTCAAATTTCCAATTGGTCCAAAGTTAAATACAACGTGATAAACCGCAATCTCTAATAATCATAAATTTGAATTCACTTTGGAGCCCTAGCCTCATTACAAAAATGTATATTTTACATGTTTTGCTGAGTGGTTAATATGATTCCTCTTCTTCTCGTTTTTCTTTTGCATTTTTTCAAAGCAAACAAACATGCGAAGAAATAAATATTTTTGAACATGTGCCAATTAGTGTGGTCTCACCACGCCGCTGAACAACAAACATTTGTGTGTACTTCTCGAGGAGGATTTATTAAATTTTTTGTTTTTTTTTCTTGTTTCTCTGTTGCGAGCTCCATTAACCATCTTTTCTTGTTTTATAATGAATGTTTCTCTATTTAACATGATGAACATCTGATGCATTTAATGATAAAAGTTTGTTGCATAGTACGAACAGAATCGTACGAGGTTTCTTATCAGAAAAATATTTTAAGAAAAAAAACAATCCACACATGTTCGTTCGTTTTGTCATCGTGCTCATACCAAAACGTGGAGTTTTCAAGGAGCCTTCGCTCAGAAAAAGAAGAAAAGACCATTTTTTATATTTCGAAATACGAGAGTTAGAGAAACAATCTTTTTTTCTTTCTTTCGTTCTCCTCAATTTTTTCAAAGTTTTTTGCTGTTGTTTACAGGTTGAAATGGTTGTGACTAGGTCACGCTCGAAAAACAATCGACCCGCTGGATCGAAGGATCGATCAAAAGAAAGGTACTTTCATTTCTTGTTTTTGATATAATCCAAAAAATCGATTTTTTCTCTCAATAGATTCATGTATCGACCCCGTTCGCAATTCGATGACTCAGATGCTTATGTTGGCTATCGACCAATCGATCACTATCTTCAATCAGACTGCCTTCTAACTCAAGAAGAACTCCAACGATTAGATGAACACGTATATTCAGCTGTTGACACATCTTGGTTAGATGAATTATGTATGAAAGAGTTTTGGAATCGAGTTGTCGAGTATTATCCTCTTTGGGTTGCACCAAATCTTTTGACATTGGTTGGACTCATTATAAATCTAACAACCGTTCTCATCCTCTCATTTTACTGTCCAACAGCAACTGAAACTGCTCCATCATGGGCTTATTTCACAGCAGCTTTGGGATTATTTATCTACCAAACTCTTGATGCAACAGGTATTAAAATTGTGTGAATAAAAACAAATGAATTTAAAAATTTCAGATGGTAAACAAGCTCGTCGAATTGGCGCATCTTCTCCACTCGGCGAACTTTTCGACCATGGTTGTGATTCAGCTTCCCAAGTCTTCGTCACTTTAAATGTGTGCTATGCTTTACAGCTTGGAAGTGTAAAATGCGGAGTATTTGTAACTTGTCTCATCTCAGTTTCTCTATTTTATACAGCCCATTGGAGTACTTATTGTACCGGTCAACTCCGATTCTCTCGCTTTGATGTTATCGAAGCGCAAATGTCGATTATTGCGTTGCTCGTTGCAACTGCAATTTTCGGACCAGGAATTTGGAGTATTGGAGTTCTCGGATATACGTTGAAACATTTGATGTTGATCGCAGCGTTTATCGGATTTGTTTATCAAGCTGCCGGATATTTTAATGTGATTTTCACAGATGGAGTTGGCAAAAATGGCTCAACTGGTGAGGTTTTTTATAAAAGTAAGATTTAAGGTAATCAATACATATAATTGCAGTTGCTGGTACATCAGTCATCTTTCCATTATTCCCTCTTCTCGCCGTTCTTATTCCATATTGCATGATTTATTCGAAATCTAACTCTACAATTTTCGATGATACAATCGTTGTTTTCGTTTTACAATTCGGAATAGTGGCTGCAAAAGCAACAAATCGATTAATTGTTGCACATATGAGTCGAAGTGAATTAGCTCTTTGGGATTGGATATATATTGGACCAATCATGCTTATGCTAAATCAATATTATGATTTCGCTTTTAATGAGAAGACCCTCTTACATTATACAACTGTATATGTCTACATTTCATTCCTCGTTTATTTTGTTTTCATAACTCGTCAAATCTGCGATTATATGGGAATTTACTGTTTCACAGTCACCCGAAAATCCAGCAAAACAAAATAATTAACCCTTTTCCTTAATTTTTTTCTTTTTTTTCGGAGCGATCCAATTTCTTCAAAGTAAAATTATATTCTTCTTGTGCATATTTTAACAGTATTGACACGTGTAATCCAATTTTTTCCAGCGCATTTGAAAAAGTTGATATGATATGAATAAAAAGTTATTTTCTTTTAAATACTCATTGATACCGAACTATACTTGAATTATGTAAAGTGCGTTTTTTGCCGAACGATTTTGAATATTTAATTTTTGTATTTATTATTTACTGATATATGAAACAATCGGTTATTTCGATATTTATGACAAAACATGAGGTATTTTTTGTTATATTGACCACCCATGGAAAAAACTTGATTTTCTTTGGTTTTGATTTTTTGCCTTCTGACAAAAAGGATTAGTTTTGGTTCTTTTTCCAAAAATAAAAACGTGAAATTTTTCCCGAAATCATTTCTTTTCATTTCAGTACATTTCTAAACCATCAAGCAAAATGTCGAATCGTGACGGGCCAACCGAATCGCAATATGGATTTGTTTATGGTGTTTCGGGTCCGGTTGTAACTGCGGAAAAAATGGCGGGAAGTGCAATGTATGAATTGGTTCGAGTTGGACATCAGGAATTGGTCGGAGAAATCATTCGACTTGAGGGCGATTTTGCGACAATTCAGGTTTATGAAGAGACTTCTGGTGTGACTATTGGTGATCCTGTTTTGAGGACTGGCAAGCCTTTGAGTGTGGAGTTGGGACCTGGTATTATGGGAAGTATTTTTGATGGAATTCAGAGACCGTTGAAGGAAATTGCGGATATTACAAGATCGATTTATATTCCAAAAGGTGAGCGGATTTGTCTCATAGGTTTTCGATAAATTCTTGCGGCCGAAGATTTTCTAGGCCATCAAGGTGGTTATCAACAAATTTGCCATGTCACCGTTCCGAAGAAGCCCCAATAAAAGAGCTTTCGTAATTTTTAGCACTATAAAAGTTCACCTATTTTTCAGGTGTCACTACTCATGCCCTATCAAAAGAAACCAAATGGGATTTCTCTGTCGCCAAAGATATCCGAGTTGGTGCTCATGTCACTGGTGGAGATGAAATCGGTTCAGTCGATGAAAATCTTCTCATCAAGCACAAAATCCTCCTTCCACCAAATGCTTGCGGAACAGTCACATTTGTCGCATTATCCGGATCCTATACAGTTCAAGACACATTGTTAGAACTCGAATTCGCTGGAAAGAAACAGAAATTCTCGATGCTTCAAGTTTGGCCAGTTCGTTCTCCAAGACCATGCGCGGAGAAGGTAATCTGATTATTTTTTAAAATCTTTTTTTTTTCAAAATTACTTTTCAGTTAGCCGCAAATAACCCTCTCCTTTGCGGTCAACGTGTTTTGGATGCGTTGTTTCCATGCGTTCAGGGTGGAACAACCGCGATTCCTGGAGCTTTTGGATGTGGAAAGACTGTGATTTCACAATCACTTTCGAAATATTCGAATTCGGATGCGATTATTTATGTGGGATGTGGTGAACGGGGAAATGAAATGTCAGAGGTGAGCTATTTTTCTCCATTAAAAAAATTCAAAAAATAATCTGAAACCCCTATTTATTCTCTCCAGGTACTTCGAGATTTCCCTGAACTTACAATGGAAGTTGATGGAATTACAACATCAATTATGAAAAGAACTGCATTGGTTGCGAATACTTCAAATATGCCTGTGGCTGCGAGAGAAGCCTCGATTTACACAGGAATCACTCTAGCCGAATATTTCCGAGATATGGGTTTGAATGTTGCGATGATGGCTGACTCAACATCGAGATGGGCTGAAGCGTTGAGAGAAATTTCGGGAAGACTTGGAGAAATGCCAGCCGATTCTGGATATCCCGCATATCTCGCAGCACGTCTCGCATCATTTTATGAACGAGCTGGAAGAGTCAAATGTTTGGGAAATCCTGAAAGAGAAGGATCGGTGACAATTGTTGGAGCTGTGTCACCGCCTGGTGGAGATTTTGCAGATCCTGTCACATCTGCAACTCTTGGAATTGTTCAAGTTTTCTGGGGATTGGATAAGAAATTGGCGCAACGAAAACATTTTCCATCGATTAATTGGTTGATCTCCTATAGTAAATATATGCGCGCTTTGGAAGAGTTTTATGAGAAAAATTATCCGGAATTTGTACATTTGAGAACGAAGTGTAAGGAGATTTTACAAGAAGAGGAGGATTTGTCGGAAATTGTGCAACTTGTTGGAAAAGCATCGCTTGCTGAATCAGATAAGATAACCCTGGAAGTTGCCAAAATTATCAAGGATGATTTCTTGCAACAAAATGGCTATACAAAATATGATCGTTTCTGCCCATTTTACAAGACCGTTGGAATGCTCAAAAATATGATTGGATTCTATGATATGGCAAGACATGCGGTTGAAACAAGTGCACAATCTGAACATAAAATAACTTGGAATGTTATCAAGGAAAATATGGGTGATCTACTTTATCAATTGTCAAGTATGAAATTCAAGGATCCGATTGCTGATGGTGAAGCGAAAATTCGCAAAGATTATGAGACTCTCCTTGAAGCTATGCAAAATGGATTCAGAACTCTCGAAGAAGTCTAATTGCTCTTTTTTCGTGTGTATTTCCATTTGAAAATGTGATATTTTATGTGTAATTCAATAGCTTTAACTTTTTTTGATTGAAATTATAATGCATTCCAGTGAATTTTATGAACCTTTTATACTTTTCAGGTGCGTTTTGTATTAGAAAAAACTGTAGGGTTCGTTTGGCCGCTAGAATATTGCTAGAAATTAGGCACAAAATATGAAATTTTCCAGATTTTATGCAGGAATCGCTACAAACATGCTCATATGTCTTACCCAAGAAAAATCGAAGATGTCGAATGCTTGTGAAACCCGGAAATCTTTTTTGTGGAGAGCACGCTATTTTTGACACGAAAAACACGGTATTTCTTTTTTCGCTCTTCTTACTGTAACTACATATCTGGGATTATAAATAAATGTTCTCCTACTTTTTATAGAATCGTATTATTTGCCCGAATGATTCGAAACATACAGTACTTTTGTGTGAACTCGAAAAACACTTGTTGAAATGTAATTCACGAATATCTGAAGAGGATTATATTCGGAAAGATGCAAATGCGATTGTGGCCGAGACGAAGTTTGATGAGAAAATTGATCGGAGGCCAAGTGAGGTGGGATCTTACAGGGTTGGGTTATTTTTAGAAGAAAAATCGTGTTCAGGTCCGATCTTTTCTGAATCAGGAAGACTGTTTTTTGAAGAATTCCTAATTTTATTAAGTTTTTCAAAAACTTATAAATTTCCAGATATTTTATTCATTGCTTTCAGAAATTTCTAAAATTCAGTTCGAAAAAATCGAATATTTTCCTCCAAAATTCCTCGAATTTTCCAGGAAGAAATCATCTCTGTGATCCACAAAATTTGGAAATATTATGAAGAAATTGCGAGCCATCAATTAATTATCGATTTTCGCCACTCGAATCTTGTTCAAAATCACATCAATTCCAATCCAATTATTGGAAAAGACAAGAAAAAACATCTAATTCAAATTGGCTCGATTTTGGAGCATTTGATAGAAAATGGTGACTGTCGAGATGAAAAAGGGACTTGTGTATTTGAATTAGGAGCTGGAAAGGTTTGGAAACCTCATAGATAAAATAAAAGAAAAAATGTTGCAGGGTCAATTGGCTTATTGGATATCAAAATCAGTTCCAAATGTGAGTATAATTTTGATGGATCGAAGTGGTTGTCGGAATAAATTTGATAGTCAAATGAGAAAAGAGAATCCGAATTTGGATTTTCAACGATTTCGATGTTCAATTGAACACATGGATTTATCGAAAATCGAAACATTGACAAATTCCAACAAAATTATTGCAATTTGTAAACATTTTTGTGGAAGTGCAACTGATGCCGGTATTCGATCGCTAATTAATAGTGGATTAAAATTCGATAATTCTCTACTCATTCCTTGTTGTCATCATAAATCAAGATTTGCGGAATACGGTGGCCATGGATTATTGAGAAAATTAGAAATTGATGACGAAGGAAGTTTTGCGGCTTTGAGATATCTTGCAAGTTTCGCAACAAATGGAGCCGAATCTTTATCTCAAACAGAATATGAAGAAAATTCATGGAAAAATTTATATCCGCCTGCTGAATTGGGTCGAAGAGCGAAAGCGATTCTCGAATTAGGAAGAGCTGAATGGCTGCAAGAACTTGGATATAAAACCAAAGTTATCGAATATGTTCCAGCGGATGTTTCCCCGGAAAATTTATTAATTCTAGCCAAGAAAATCTAATGTGCATTTGTGATAAACTTAATATGTATTTCCTATGTGCTTTTCAATTCTGAGAACGAGACGAAAATGAAGGAAAAGTCATTTTCAGATCGACCCACTTCCTTTGAGACAAGCAGGAAGGAAATTGAAGAAGAAAAACGAAGACGTCAAGAAATTTCGAAACAAAAAGTAATCCTGACATCATTTGAGATAAGCAGCGATTAACCTGATGACAGAAATACTTACGCACGTATGAAAGATAGATTTAGAAAGTTGTTTTTGAGAGGATAAACTAATATTAGTTTTACGTAATATTTTTGCGTGATCTGAAATTTCATTTCAAGAAAAAACATTTGAAGATAATTTATAGATTCTTGCGTGATCTGATTTTTTTTAATTTCATTTCGAGAGAAAGAAGAAAGACATTTCGAAAATATAAATATTGAAAAATCCGAATTTCCGATAGACGAAACCGAGGCGGAAATGAACTTTAGCCTTCTAGGAACATGGCATTTTTGGATTCAGAATTTTTGGAATGTTTTACGGAAATACCAAGCTATTTTATTTTAGATATTCCAAGTTTTATTCTGAATTTCTTATTTTCCGAGAAATGTTAGAAACATTTGTGATAATTCTTTGAAAACTCAAATTTTAATGCCAAAAAAAAAACAAAAATTCAGGACAAAAATCCCCACAAAAAATTTTCAAATTTCAAATTGATCACCAATCAAATATTTTTTATTGTTCAGAAAAATACGTTTTTTTTTGAAAATTAAAATCTGAACAAACTTCAATATATATTAACTATACAAATCAAATTATTTGTTTCAATTCACAACATCTACAGTAGTCCTCATCTCACATATATTTGCAAGAAAAAACAAACTTCCTTCTAATGATTACATAATCCAATGATCACTCATTTGAGAAGGCGGAATAATATATTTGGAATTGGAGGAAGACGATTGAAATTAAAATTTGGGAAACATAATTTTCGATTTTCACCGAACTTTAAGAGGTGAACTTGTTTCAGAGCTTTAATAAGTTTTCCAAATAATCGCAATTCAGATGTATATTTTCGGATCACAAAGAATACCTAGAAGTTAGTTTAACTCCCTCCAAATCCCAAAAAATCCCAAAGTCACGTAATATTTACAATCTCTCACAATCTTCCTTCTTTTTTCTGACGTAAATAATATTCTCGAACCGAATGAAAAGCATCACAGGGGTTTTCTCACTACCGAGTCAATGCAAAATTGTAATCGAGCAAATAGGCTCCGCCCATCTTTTTCCGCACAGACATGTGGGCGGAGCTTAGGTTTTCAGATTTTCAAAAAGAAAATTGAAAACCCTTTGGCTCAAAAGACACACAAATAAAAAGAAAAAGTCGGGCTATATGTGTGTTTGCAGCGACCGACATCTCGCGAGGCCGGCCACACGCTATTGTTTTTTTTGTCGGCCACGTAGCGTGCTGTTTGCGGAGGTTTTTTGTCGTCAGATAAAATGTTTTGTACGTGATTAATTCTCGGTAGTGAAAAACCCCTGTGAAGCACTATTCTTGGCCACCAATCTGCTATCTATTTTCGTATTCCCTCCTTCTTTTCTTGTTTTTATTTTCTCATGAATTAGAAAAAGTGGATTATCTCACTCACTTGCTCTGATATAGAAAAAACAGGGCGGAGCTTCACATTATATTTAAGCATCGAGAAAAAGCATAACTAATAATCTTATTTTTCCTTCTCTGAACAAGAAGAAAGAAGAAAATGTCGATTTTATACGAAGACGAATTTGTGCGATTGGGACAATTCACATTGTTCGTCAAAAATTATCAATTTCCGAGCAAGAAAATGAAGGCGATCTCGTTGGAAGCAATTACCACTCTTTGGTTTGAGGTGAGCTAGAGAATTTGAAATTTTTATTCAAAATTTAAAAATTGGATTTTTATAGGAGCAAGAAACTTGCAAGAGCACTACAACGAAAATTTGGGGAAAAGCTTCGTCGGCTAGTATTTATTGGGCACTTGATGTTAAAAGGTAAAAAATTTTTAGAGAAGAAATGTAAATTTCTAGACTTGATTATTTGACATAAAAGCTCTAAAGGTGTCCAAGAGCCGAAAATCCTATTTTTGAATTCAAAATCATTAGATTTTTAAGGTGTGAAACTTTCGAATTTTTTAAAAAACTTTCTGAAAATTTCTCAAACTTCTGGAGATATAGCACTGATTTATTATTTTTCAAAAAACAAACCATTTTGATCAGAAACTCGGAGCTCTCCCCATAAAAATTACAAAAATTGTCCTTTCTAGTTTTTGAAAACTTTTTTTCGATGATCTAAATTTTCCAAATTTGGATTCTACACCTTTTCAATTTTTCCCCGGAAATAATCTGAATAATTGTTTACCACACACCACAAAAATAGAAATACCCGAATGAATAGGCGATTAATCAGCCAGCCACTCAAGATTATTTTTCCGTTTTTTTTCTCTCAAACAAAAAATGATATCATTAATCATTTTCTATAATTCAATGACGCATTATCTTAAACTTTTCTTCTTTTTCAGATCAATTGGTGGTTTATCACCTCGTTCGCCTGCAAAATCAAATGTTGTCATCGAAATTGGCGCCAAACTTCGAGTTGGATTCTCGGTGGAGAATATTGATGAATTTATGGAAGCTATTCGAACACTTTTGGATTATCATGTTATTATTGTGAATTATATTAATTTACCTTGATTTTATCAAAGTTTGTACCCTCATTCTCTGATTTTCACTTTGATTATTTTGTTCACTTTTTCATGCGATGTAAATAAATGTGTATATTTTTGGTATCCAAAAAACTGTGGGTGGAGATTAACATAAATATCTAGATTAGTGCCAAAAATTAGTCAGTGTTGCTCTTCCAAATATATTTTTCTCTTTCTCTCTGGAAAAACATATTCAATAATTTTCTAGTTTTTTTTCTTGAAATATCCGGCGGAAATTCTCTCTGCTTTCAGAGAATATTTTTCTCACAATCAAAATTAAAAATTAGTTGGGGGTGGAATATATAAAGTTCGTTCTCAGAAATAAAAAACATCCACACGTGTTTTCCGAAAATCTAAAGCTTAGTTAGTCTGGAATAAAATGTCCTTTCAATTTTTTGGGAAAAAAGAGAAGATTATTCAGGAGTACTGTAGGTATTGGCTTCAAACAGAATGGCAAGTGTACTATTGTTTTTGGAGGAGATAACAAGGAAGTGATTGGTATTTTTAGAAATTTTTGAAATGATTCTGAGAAAATTATTTTATGCCTCTGTCTGATTTTTCAGCGAATAAAAATAGAAAAATAAATTTAGCATATCTCATAACTTCTGAGAAAATATCTGTGTAAGCTAATAATTATTGCAATCTTGGGACCTTGCCAAAAATGTTATTTTTTCACAAATTTCAAAAATTTTATTCCAGTTTACAGAATTCGAAATAGTTCCAGGTTTTTTGTTAGATCAAATTAACAACCAATTTTCATTTTGAAAAAAATTACTTTAGTTTCATGCTTGGATAGTTTATGAAAAAATTTAAAAAAAAAACATATTTTTTGTCAAAAATGTAGTTTGAGTGTTAAGATTCTCCAAATTCTGGAAAATACCCAGACATTCCAGACAAATTGGGAAAAAATGACGAGGCCAAAAATATCAAGAAGCTCCGATCATTAATCAAAATCTTGGAATCCTGCCAAAAATCTATTTTTTGCACAACTTCCGGGAACAATATTTCTTCTTGAAAACAAGCAAGGCTTCTTTTAATCCCTAAAATGGTTGGCTGTGAAATTTTGAAATCAGAAAAAAAGATCATTAAATTTTATGTGAATATAAATTTTGAACATATTTAAATTAGGTTATCTCAACATTTTCATCATCATTCGCATTTTCTTTCCATCTGTATTTGTTGATCCCAAAAGTGTCAAATATTTTTTCTTTTCAAATTGCCAATTTTCCTGAAAACATCAGCTGATACAACATTTTGACATCAAAGAAAAAGATAAGATAAACCCACATGAAGTTTCGTCGAATTTGCCAAAACTGGGAAAAAATCTTCAAAATAATCGATAAATTCAAGCGATTCACCAGTTTGTCTCATCTCATTTTGCACCGGTGGACGAGAAAATACAATAAATATTAGGGATGAAAACAAAATAAAGAAGAATTGAATTTTGGTCATTTTTTAGAGTGAAATACGTAGCTAACCTTGAGCGGTTATGGTTATTAATTTATTTTTTTTTGTGGACAAAAATGGAGAGGGTGGAGAGAAAAAAAGAAGAAAATGATCAAGGAAAGAAAAATGATGATGGATGGTAGAAAAGACGAAAGATTCGAAGGAGGAAAAATCGAAACAGACAGTTATTGGAACGATGATGAATTATTGGTGAAGGAAGAAGGAGGTTGGAAAAAACATGAGTGAAAATAATAATAAATGAGGGTGACCAAAGTGTTACATTAAATTATTGTAGGTTCTACTGTACTTTTTTCATATCAATTTCTATTTTTGGAAGATGGAATGCGGAAGAAACTGATGTGAATTTGGAAATTATGTGTATTTGTAAGATTTCTGAACTTTTTAATGAAAAATATTCTGGAATTCACGTGAATAATTGGATTTGGATTTGAAAACAAAGTCTGAAAAATTATGAAATTTCTGGAATTTTTTGGGAGTTTGAAAACTGGGTCAGGCCCAATTAATCAGTTTGATTTTTAAAGTCCAATCCATAACTTTTCTCAAAAAATCTGTTCATATTTCTCCCAGTTTTGATTCTTTCAATTGTTTCCTGGATCATTTTTAGACCTTCATTTTTGTTTTGAAATCAGACATTTTTGAACCCTGGAAAACTGGTTGTAGATAATAGGAATCAAACATCAGGAGCGCAGTGATATCGGTTCAGAAAAATACTACTTCTGAAATTTGTGAGATGAAAATTCAAAAATCACTGTTTGGCCACAATACGGATTATATCATTAACACGGTGTCTAATTTGGTTCTGAAAATCATATTTTTCCAGATTTCTTTGATGTTCGAACAGTTGCCAGATTCTCGTGTTGTAGAAAAATTGAAAATGAGAAAAAAAGAAAAAAGAAGAAGCATGTACAAAGTAAACACAACAAAAATATGCGAAAAGTCAACATTTTACCACAACCAGACAACATTCTATTTTCCTCCTAAATACATACTAAAATTAATTATTTACCTTGTTTTCCTTTTTATTTTGTTTTAAATTCATTATTTTTATTCAAACAAATTTCTGATTTCGAAACATCTTAAAAAGAAGATCTCTGGCATTTGAATCAATCGATAAATCTCTAATCTCGCTGGATTTTGAGTGGGTTTCTTCCCGGGCATTATTTGCTCACAAGCTGCTTCTTCGAAAAATTTCATTTTCACCCAATTTTTTTTGCGACAAAGAAATAACTTTTTTTTCGAACTTTTTGATATTTCAGATTGTCTAGCTAGGAAAAAATGAACGGCGGGTATTCACCACAACCACCACCAAGAAGATATAATAGTACATTGAATGTGGATTGTGTTGATGGAGTTTATCGACAAGCTCAACAAGTCAGCCCGTTGACCAAGGTTTGTAGATAACTTAGATTTTTAGAATGTCTGAAAAAGATCAGGGTGAGCTAAAGTTTAGAGAACCAAAAAAAATAAATTGGCTCATTTTCATTTTTTCTGAATCGGTACAATTTTTAGAAAAAGTCGAATTTCAATTAAAAAATTCGGAAAAAAATCCTTTTTTCTTGGGTCTGTGAGGGAAATTTTTAAAAATTGATTTAATTTTTAGAAATTCTGAAACTGATCTGGATATTTAACAGAAATCGGGCAATCGAAAGAAAATCCTAAAAAAAAACATAAAATTTTCAGCAAGTAAATCATTTGGCGTACGAGATTCCGAAAAATAAATACGCCCAGAACCCATGGAATTATGCTCCGGAATTTTTGAAAGTTTTTGGTGATTTGCGTGTACATATTGGTGGAAGAGCTGTTTTTGATTGTGTTTTGTTGGGAAGTCCAAGACCCAAGGTAAGCGGTTTTCTGGGAAATTATTTTCGAGTTACCAGAATTCTACGAGAGGTTTATCAAAATAATTAGATATGATTTCCCTGGATAGAAATTCTGTGAAATATAAAATGTTCCCAGAAAAACAGAAAGTTATTCAAAATTCCTAGAACATGTAAAATTCAGGTTTGCTGGCTATTCAATGAGGACAAAATGCGTTTCACAGATGTAATAATCGAAGATACAGCAGATGTTTGTCGTCTAACAATTCCATACGTTCAACCACATCATTTCGGAAGTTTCACAGTTTTGTGCGAAAATGAAGTTGGTCGTGCAACAGCTCAAGCCAATCTAATGCCTCTTTATGAATAAAACAACAACAATAAAAATGAAGTATATTTATGTAACAGTCAAAGAGAAGAACAAAGCAATCAGTGTAAATGATAATGTTTTGCTTTTGTTGTTTTGTTTCACGAGAAAATAAATAAATAATAAAAAAAATGATGAGACCATTTAGTGGCTATTATGGGTTATTTATCAGACAGATTTTGGGATTTTAGAAACATTCATCATTTCATTTTTTCAGTTTTTTCGACACTTTCAGCATCAGTTTCGTACGTTCTTCCAATAATTGACGAAGTTCGGTGTCAAGTTTCAATTCTTCGCGCTCGAATTCGTCGTTTATGTCGCGTTCGCGAGCGGTTAACTAGAAAGGAAATCAAGGGAACTATTTTGAAGAAATGTTTTTTTTTAAATTTTTCCACCCAAATTTTCACTTACCGCTTCTTCGTGTTTTCTCATCTCTGCTTCAGTTGAATCAAGTTTCGATTGGAATTCTTCGCGAAGCGCAAGTTCACGGCGTGCATATTCATCTTGATATTCGCGATGTTTCTAAAATAATTTCATTTAATTTCAAAAAAATCTTCCCAACATTTTTTTCCTACCGCTGCTAATTTTTCAATAATCTTCGGTCCAGTTTCACCATCACCAATCTTCATTTGTTTCAATCTTTCCTTCCGATAATCCTCATACAATACTTCGTGTGTTCTTTGTCGCATCTCATCAACATTTGTTCGCAACAATGCTTCACGTAACTTCACAAAATCACAATGTTCCTCATTTTCGACTTCAACTATACCCCATGGATATTGTCGAGCACGAACCATTTTCTCGCCTTTTTTCACAAAATCACAACTTCCAACAACTGCAAACGGAACCGCTGAATTCATTTGTTGATTTGTTTCTGAAACTGTTGCATCATCAACTGGGAAAGTGTAGATTTCGATGTTTTGCGATTTCAATTCACTCATTATCTTCTTTTTGAATCGAAGAAGTTCATCTTTACATGTTGTATCGGATTTGGCTATAACTGGAATCACATTGACACGTTTTGATAATTCTCGAAGAGTTGTCAAATCCAAAGCTTTGAGACCGTGTCCAGTTGGTGAAATAAAATATAAGCAAGCGTGAATTCGAGAATCTTCAAAATATCTCAACATTCTTCGCGGTTTCAATTCTTCTTGTAGATATCTTTCAAAATGTCCTTCGAGATAATCAACAATCACTTTGGCACTTTTATCCTTATCGAGTTGATCACCAAATCCAGCTGTTTCAACCAATCGCAACTTGACACGTATTCCACCTTCGGCGACTTCTGAAAATTTGAGATGTGAATTTAATTCCAAAAAATATCAGGTTCTTGGCTCACCATAAGTCTTTGTTCTCAGCTCAACAGTTTTTAATTCATTATTGCACGGCTCGAAATCAAGCTTCATATTGAAAAGTGATTCGATAAGTGTTGTTTTTCCCATCCCGGTTTCACCAACACACATCAAATTGAATTGAAAACCAGCTTCGACTGCTTTTTTGACAAGTTGATGAGGTAAAGAATCAAATCCAACATGTCCATTCAATTGCATAACCCGACCATGATTCTCGAGCTAAAAATTGAATTGAATTTAAATACCATTAGAAAGAAACGCGCCCCAAACTTACAATTTTTGAAACTGGAATTGATGGCGCGGCGATTGTCGGTTTTTTCATCGTTGTATTTGGTGTATGAGATGGGATTGGTGGTGGTGGATTTGGAGGAAAATGCGTTGGCTTTCTGTCAACGTCTGTCATACTGAACTTTTTTGATAGAATCACTGGCAAATCGGTCTGAAAACACAAAAGTTTTATTTCGAAAAATTTTATAAACAACAAAAAAGAAACCATAGATCCTTTAGCAGACATTTCTGGAACTATCACAACACTTTGTAGATTCAATTCCTCTTTTTCAATCCACGTGGTAAAGTGAATAAAAATGAATAGCGCGGAAAAAGTCAAACTAATTACAATTAATATAATTGGTAATGAATAGATAATATCATCAATGTTCATAGTCTAAACATTTCGTAAAAACTGAGAAGAACTCTATGTTCAAAAGTAAACATGTCAAAAAACTCATCTCACGCCTAGAATCTGTGCTTTTTGCTTTGTTTGGAAGAAAAAACGTCAGAAAAAAAAGAAAATGAAATCGTCTTTTTAAATCTCCCGGTTCGCAACGGAGCGCGCTTGTAGCGTCATCAGCGGAGTGTTGTAGGACATTTGTGCGCTATTTTTTTATTTTTCAAATCAAGTTTTTTTTCACACAAGTTTATAAGTGTCAATTGAAATAAACAATTTAGTGAGCAAATTTAAAATACCTGTAGAATTATTAATTAATTTTCCAATTAGAAAATTATTCGATAGGCACATGTTTCCGCTTAAAACAACAACAATGACAAGTCTTACAAGCATGTAAAAATACAAGAAACGCGACTAATAAAATAATACACGAAATGTGTACAATAAACCAAGGAAATGAGGTATCAACAGGCAATTGAGTGGTCGTTTTAGGGGGAAGAATGATCGAATTCTTTTGCTGCGCATCAGCCGCGCCCACACCATTACAATAGTGACCTAGGCAATAACATGTGGTTATGTTCACACTGCAAAAAAAAGAAATTGAGCAGATGCATTTGCAAAGGGAAAGAATATTAGACTCACTTTTTACGATTAACATATTTGGTCAGCGATTCACAAACTATCTCGTTTTCTCGAATTGCGATGTGTCTTTTAGAACATTCTCGAACTATCGCTGAAAATTTGAATAATTTAAAGAAAATTTTGAAAATCAAAAGTTTACCTATAGTTTTTCCAGTATTTTCAGCTTCAAGACTTGTTATATTAACAGTATAACATATTCCCGAACATTTATCTCCATCTTTTTTGAGTTTCGATTCGACTAGACAATTATCATCACTGATTACTGAATCACCTTCATTCACAGGTAATCCATATTTCACCCAGTTCTACAGAAAAACAATTTTTTATAATTTTAAACAGTTTTGATGTACTTCTGACTCACCCAAACAGCATTTCCAGATGCACATTTATGACAAGAATGTGCATTTTGAAAATCAGGAAAAGAAAGCAAGAATAAAACAATAGGAAAAATAATCATGACGACTTTTGAATCAACAAAAAGAGAGATATGAGATGTATTATTTGTACAATTCTCACTTTTCTATTTTTTTGGACAGGGATATTGAAAGCAAACAAACAAAAATAGTAGCTCCAAGGAAGAACCTTAATAAAAGATCAACTTCTTTTTCCTCTTCGAAAAAAAAGGTTCCAAATTTACATAACAAATGAATGCATAAATAACCCGACCGACCTCACCATATGGTTTCTTTCCTCTTTTTGTTTGGCTGGTTGGTTGGTTGGTGAAAGAAAATTTCAATCAATCGATAAATCAAAAAGTCAAACAAGAAATGCAAGTGCAAAAAGTACATTTATAAACAAAGATGGGAGTTTTCTTTCTTCATTCGATTTTTAATGGACCTTCTGTTCTATTGACATAATCAACAAGTCTGCGGCCAGTGCTTTTTCCAGATTTCGCATTCAAATAAATCTGGAAAAATAGAATATAAATATGAGGTATTGGGAATTTCAAAGAGACCTTCTCGAATTGCTGGATTGTCAAATATCCATCAATTTCCGATGCTTCCGATACCACATCATACAAAATATTCTCATCAACTTTGATGCCTTTGGTTTTCAAGTAATTTCCTAGGTCTACTTTACTGATGTAGCCTTTCTGACGGGAATCAAGTAATTTGAAACGGCGATTTATTTCATCCGATTCTTTCCTGAAATATACATTTTTGAAATCTCCACGTCATAATCCTACTCATCAACACTTACTTTGTCAATTTCACCTCCCTCTTGATCTTTCCATTATAATCTGATCCCATCTCAATATTCAAAAATTCTAAAGTCTTTTCATACATCTTTTTTTGTTCAACTGGAGACCATCCCAATTCTTCAGCCATAATTGCAACAATTTTCGGAAGAGCCTGAATTGAAGCTTCAGTGTCTAAAAATGACAAACGTGTACGTCTCGCAAGAAAATCAGCAGGTTCTTGTGCATATTCTCGAACTGCATATCTAACTTCACCTTCGATGATTGGAAATTTTGGATGAAGTCGTCTTCCAATCGGATTATGTTTATCTCCACTTGTTTGACACAATCCAATAACTTCTTCCGATCGATCTCAATTGTTTTTGCAAGATGAATCGCAGTGTCTTCAGCAATTCCATATTTCTCAATCAAATTCCGATAAAACGTTGGATGCCAATCATGCGAACCTTCAAGTGCTAGTCTTTTTGTAATACAATCATTTTCCGTTTGAATTGGTCCAACTTCCAGCGCTTTATCCAATGTTTCTTCAGCAATTTGTCTATAAGTTGTGATTTTTCCTCCGGCAATTGTAACCAATCCAGAAGGAGCAACTTCAATCACATGATTTCTAGCAAGTGTTTTGGTATCAGTTTTAGTTGGATCTAATACAAGAGCACGAATTCCAGACCAAACACTAATTATATCCTCTTTTCGAATCTGATTATTCTTGTTCAAAATATTATTCATCTCCTGAAATAAACATTTTTGTAGGCAGGGGAAACATATTTTAAAATAAATAAATAAATACCTCAAGAACAATATCAACGGCTTTATCTTCTGCTTTTGGATGGAAAGTTAGATCAGCTTTATGATCAGTCAATCCAACAATAGCTCGATTTTCCCAAGGAATCAGAAGGACATAAGATTCTTTTGCACCAGTGTTTGCGATTGCTGGGTTAGGAGATGGACTGAAAAATTACCAAAATAAGGAAAACCTACAGTAACCCTCTCCCTTTACCAGTAATGCTTTGGAAGTGTGAAATGAATTCCAGAACTATTGACAATCATTTTCTTGCACTCCTTATCATCCATTTTCCGAATTGTATCAGTAAATGGGCCTGTAGCATTTATAACAACTTTTGCACGAATATGATAAGTTTCTAGAGTTTGCTTATCTCGAACAATCACACCATTTACTTGTCCAACATCATTTTTCAAAAATCCAATAACTTCTGTATAATTTACACAATCTGCGCCATGTCGAACTGCTGTGAGAATGTTTGCTAGAACAAGCCGCGCATCATTCTGCTGCCCATCGTAGTATACAAATGCACCTTTCAATCCATCTGTTTTGATCATTGGGCAGATCTTTTTTGCCTCATTTCTCGAAACAAATCGAGATGGGCGAAGGGTGGTGTTTCCAGAGAAGAAATCATACGATTTAGCGCCTCCCCAAAAATATGGAAGTTGCCACCACCTGCAAAATCAATAATTATATCCAGAAGACTTGAAAATCCAAATAATGATTCTACTTACTCATAAGCTGGAACAAACATCTGAAAATCGTTCGTGAGATGTGGAGCAATTCTCATTACTGTAGTTCTTTCTTCAAGTCCTCGTTTAACAATTCGATATTGCTCGAGATCTCCTTGCAACAATGCTTTTTCAAAATACTTCACTCCACCATGAAGAAGCTTTGTTGATTTCGAAGATGTTGCAGATCCAAAATCACCATATTCAACTAATCCCGCTTTCAATCCACGTGTTGTTGCATCAAGTGCAAGTCCAGCTCCAGTCGCTCCACCGCCAATCACCAAAACATCGTATTCTTGATCTTTAAGCCGTGCCAACATATCCGATCTTTTCGGCAATGCCACATGAGTTTTTTCATTAATCAGTGTAACTTTTCGTTTTATATATATTCCTTTTATTCTTCGCTCATTTGTTGCATCAATTGCATAAACTCCGAGAGCTGAAACACCGACAAATGCGGCCGCTCGATGTCTCCAATTTTGCCACATTTTATCAGGTATTTCGGAGATAAAAATGAGGACCGCAAAAATAAAAACATCGCTTTGGAACAAAAACAAAAAAAAAATAGGTCACGTTGTAATTCGAGCTTTATTATTATTTTTTTGTACAAAATTTTACACCTAGCAAAAAAACCAGTTTGTACATAAATAGGTCCTATAAAAGTGAGTGGTGTGTCAGAAGAACCATTCAACAAAAAATGAAATTCCTCATTCTCGCAACTTCAGTTTTGGCAGTCTCGGTTTACTGTGGTGATTATGCAGCAGGTGGTGCAGCAGGAGGAGGTGGTGGTGGTTATTCTGGAGGTGGAGGTGCAGCTGCTGCACCAGAAGCTGCACCTGCTCCGGCTGCGGATGCTGGAGCTGCAGGAGGAGCTGGTGGTTATTCTGGAGGAGGAAGTGCAGCGGCTGCGCCTGCACCAGCTGCACCAGCTGCTGATGCTGGAGCATCAGGTGGATCTGGAGGATATTCGGGAGGAGGAAGTGCAGCGGCTGCACCTGCACCAGCTGCACCAGCTGCACCAGCTGCACCAGCTGCTGATGCTGGAGCAGCAGGTGGATCTGGAGGATATTCTGGAGGAGGAGGTGCAGCAGCTGCACCTGCACCAGCTGCAGACGCTGGAGCCGCTGCAGGATCTGGAGGATATGCTGGAGGAGCTGCAGCTGGAGGTGGTGGAGGTTCGTATCCAGCCAAAGCAAAGATGGCCAAATTTTTGAGAGTTGCTGCATAAATCTGACGAGTACAATTTTTCCACGGTTCAATTCTTCTACGGTTTTTTTCACAAATTTGTAAATAAATTCTTTTTTCTGTACAAATTTATTTATTAAAGCTATTATTAGGAGTGCGAATCAAAGAGTTATCTTTCGAAATACATTGAATCGAATGTGAAAAATCACCAAGAGTTGCATTTGTTGTTTTCTTCCCAACTGGTTCGAAAATATTGATCCACAAATGCTTTGCCATTATTGAATGTCCAAGTTTACTTGGATGAAAAATGTCATCGGAATAAAATATTTTACTTGGTTTTCCTTTATCATCAGTGAATATTATATTGTATTCCGTTATGAATGGTTGAACAACAACACTGAATTTTTTACGGTCTTTGGAATATTTTTCTTGTAGATCATACAACACTTTTTGGTAAGACTCCAATAAATCATCTAATGCTTTTTGAGAACTTTTCGATCTTGCGCGTTTACTGAAAGAACAGAAAAGTTTTACGTTAGATTACTGTAAAACACTTACTTCTCAATCCACAAAGATCTTGCTTCTAGAAATAGTTGAGGCTTTGGAAGGCCAATAAGCATAACAATTGTGTTTGGTAACATTTGTTCAATATAATCCAAACAGTTTTCGATGTTTTTTCGGAATTTTTCAGATCCAATAGGCGGTGCAAAACCTAGTCCTAAATTTCCAACATCATTTGTTCCAATGAAAATTGTTATTATTTTCCAATCTTGTTTTCGAGTTTCAATTTTTGATGCTAGATATGTTGCTTGTCTCATCAGATCTTCTGAAGTGGCACCAGGTTGAGCGAAGTTATAATTGAGAAGGGTTGAATTTTCAGGCCGTAGATGTTGCAGGATTGCTAAATTTTAGGTTTTCTATGCTTCGAGAGTAAAAACTTACAATAAATTGAAATTTGTTTTTCGATTGGCTCATTTCCAGAAATAAAAGAAAATTCAACATGACGTGTATCATCAATCATCGAAAGTGCTCCTGCCTAAAATTTCCAAATTATCCCCCGTTTTTTTTGAAGTTTCTCTCACCGTGATGGAATCTCCCAACGCTCCAAGAACTTTAATATGATGCGGATAAACCTTATCAACATTTTCAGGAGTATTAAAATCAATAATTTTGTTATATTCTCTCACACATTCTGCTATATTTTTGGCACCTAAAAATTTCGGATTCTCCACAAACTTTGGAACTTCTGTTTGATAACTTTTTTTGAATAATGACATTTGCAATAAAAATATTGTTAACATAACTGCAAATAATACAAGATACTTTTTTGAATGTTTGAATTTTGAAGGAGATGTAGAGGAAGAAGAAGATCGAAGTAATAATGGTTCATCCAAATAATCATCGAACTGAAATCGATAATTTTTTAGTTGAAAAACAAATTAATCTAAACTAAAAAGAACTAACATCATAATAATTTTGCGACATGAATGAGATGTGGAAAATAGAAATGAAGAAAACGAAGATGGCGATCCGAAAATGGATAACGTGTAGATTTTAGCTTTTGATAAACAACGTTTTCATTTTGAACATGCATTTATTAACCGTATTGAAAGTAAAGAAAATGACAGAAAAGTAAAGAAAAGACAATTATGCACGGTGTCTGACGATTCGGCGAATATCCTCTTCCTTCAAATACAGTATGCACCAGAAGCGTCTGAAAAAATCTTTTATTGTACAGTGATACTTTGAACCTCACATCGTTACCCATTGATTACAAATATTTCAAACGAGTTCTCGTTTTAAAAAACAGGCTTGTTTTGGTTTCATTGGAATTGTCACTGAAGTTTTGTGTATTTTTTTTTGAGGGAAAGTGTAATGTGAGAATAATAAATGTGCGAAGAATATTCAAAACAAATAAGGAACCAATATTGTGTTGAACAGTTGTAAATTTCCCTTTTTTGTAGAAGCTCTGAATATTTTGTAAAAAAAATAACCAAACAAGTTCTGCAAAAATTACTCATGACCGAAATTGTTCCATCTATGATCGACTACCACCGGAAATCTTATCAATCAATGAAAACAGCTGTCTTTTGAAGTAAGTTTGTTTCTTTCAATAAATATTTTTCAAAAAATGTGGCTCAACATATTTTTCCTTTTCGCTTTAATCATTTCACCTTCATTTTCTTATTCAGAACTTGAAAAATGTGATTTTGCTGAATCAATTGAAGTTATCGGATGTGTATCGGTAAATTTCTTTTTTTCTCAATAATTATTCAAATCATAATAGATTCCAGCCTGTTTTGGATATTGTGACCAGATTGGATGATATTGGAAATATGACTCGAGCTCGCGCTTTTCGTATCAATGAGGAATGCAAAAATACCTCGGTAATCTTTATTTCGAGTCTCGCCTCTACAATATGATATGTTTTCAGAGATGCCTTTCAGCTATAAAATGCACTTCTGATCAGAAATTGGATAAAACCATGGATGTTTTGTGCGATGCTTTCAGCTATTTTTCAACAGACTTTTTTGAGTGCCAGAAGAATATTACTCGTCAAAATCCTCCGTGTATCAGAAAAATTGGAAGTCAATCACAACATATGTTGAGTATGCAAACAGTATGTTCAAATTTATATTTCCATAAATTTTCCAAAATTTTCCAGGAACCCGAAAAATTCTGTAAATTCACCATAAAAGCTTCAAAATGTTTCAAAGAGGAGATCACTGATATTTGCGGTGAACAATATTGGACACCAATCAATACATATTTCAGCAAGTTGAGCAAACTCGGAAACTTGCCATGTAAATTGAATTCTGTGTAAAATTACTGTAGTTGTAAAATAAAATGTAATTTTATTGCTGCATTCGCGCTCCATTGAGAAATGTGTGCATTTGTTCGTCGTCGTGTTTGCAGAAAGAAGAAAAATAAAAATTTTATTTTCGAACACACCCCGCTGAAACGAGAAATGACTGTTTTTCTACTGTAGTACGCAATCGAAAAGTGTGCAAACACCGCGTCTCTGCGTCTCTCGAAAATTCACAATGTTTTGTTCGTTCAAAGGAACATACATTTATTAATTTATTGGGTCTCGAAAAGCTGGCCTTCCTGGGCTCCTAGGAATTATGAATCTTATGGTTTAATGTAGATCTCGACACGCTGAATCTCATGGTATTTTTCATTTTTTCTCTAACGCCTGTTTTCCTAACGAAAATTGGTACGCCAACTTTTTCATTGATTTACGTTGCTGATTAAAGGGACATGTATTTATTTAACCGCGTGGTCTCGACGCAAATCGTAACTTTCTTCGCAGGACCCCTAAAAATATGAGTTACATAGTTTAATGTAGATCTTGAGACGCTGATTCTAATGGTATTTTTAGTTTTTCATATAACGACCTCTAAGTTATCGAAAATTGGTACGCCAATGAGAACAGCATTTTTCTTATTTTTTCATTGTTTGAGCGGGTGTGCGAAAAAGTCCTTTTTTTGTGTGGGTTTTTGGGGTTTTCGTTACTTTTTCCAGGAAAAATCTTTCTGAAAATTGGACAAGAGATAAAGATTTTCTGAAAATGAAATTTGAATCTCGATTTCCAACGTGACCTGTTTTATTTCTCTCATTTTACGATTTCTTTCGACATTTCATTTTCAATTTTTTTTCAGAATGGTGAAACAGCCACCTCCTTCGGGTTCTGTGACCAGGGATGCAATGGAACAAGATATGATCTCATCAGTAGCCGAAAAATATTGGGCTCCATTCAGCAAAGATCGACATCAACCATACGATGCGAAACTGGTTGAAGTGATTTATGAAACAGAAATCATCAAGACCGGGTTCAACCCAAAAAAGATAAAAATGCTCGAATTCAGTCAGTATTTAGAATGCTTTCTTTGGCCAAATTATCAACCTTCAAGTTCAAAAGCATATCATTTATCTATAGTTGTTATGATCAATGAAAAATATCGGGAAAGAACCGATGCTTGGCAGGTATTCCATATTTTTCTTTTTGTTGTTGTATCACAAAGCTGTTAATTTCAGAAAATCCTCGAGACACCGGAAAACTTTCCTCATTTCTTCCAAAATATCATGAATTTCGCAATCGCCGATGAAACAGTTGCAAGTCAATCAGAACAATGTGCAATTCTCACTTTCCTTGTAAACGCATTCAATTCTGTTGAAGTTGATCTTGTTCAGAAAGTGACCAAAAAGCTAACATCAATCGAAATTTGGGATAGTTTATTGGAAAGTCAGCGACAAGATCTTTTCAAAAAGCAGAAAAAACTAAAGAAAGTTTGGGAATTAGTGACGCGGAAAATGAAGGAAACAGATCAAAAAGACAATGGAAAAGGGTTATTTGAACGAAGATTTATTTGGAATTTGATTGAGAAATTTGTCAAAACTTTAAAATCCGTTGATGACGAATCAAAAGATATTGACATTGATGCTATTCGATATTGCGAAAAATTCATTGAACTTCTAATCGATCTCGAATCTCTTCTTCCAACTCGTCGATTTTTCAACGCAGTTCTACATTCTTCACATATTTTAACTTATTGTATACAATCAAAATTGATCTCATCAGACGCTGGAAGTCTATTTTTCCAACTGGTTCAAATGCTCAAATTCTATGCTAGATTCGAAATTGACGAGTTTACCGGAAGACAATTATCACACAAAGAAGTTTCTGAACAACATTATGAAAGTGTGAAAAAATTGCAAAAAGCTGCTTTCAGATATTTTCAGTGAGTTGTTTTTTTAAAGAATTTTTATTTATGATGTCGAATCAATTCTTTCAGTGATGCTATGCCTGATTTCTACCTCTTGAATGTTTCGGGTGTCGACACCAGAAGAGCATTAATCAAACAGTTTTCTGGAATGAGTCATGAAGATGTTTATAGATTTGCCGAATATTTGCACCTTGTTCCAGAAAAATCGAACGAATCGCTAGAAAAATATGCAAAAGATTTTCTTGTTGAAACAATTGTAAGTTTAATTCACTCAAAGACCAAAATTACATCATTTCTCCTCCAAATTTTTGATCATTTCGTTGCAATAAATGCAACAAATTACCGACTCACTGATAAGAAGTTATGTTTCTTTTTCTTCCAGACATTGGCATGTGAAAGACGACCAAATCAACTGACTCAACTCAACGAGAAACCACTTTTCCCAACAGAAAAAGTGATTTGGGATGAAAATGTTGTTCCATATGAACACTATTCTGGTGAAGGAGTTTTGGCGTTGGATAAATTGAATTTACAATTTTTAACCTTCCATGATTATTTGCTCAGGAATTTCAATTTATTCCAACTGGAAAGCACATGTAAGTTTTGTTTATCTCAATGATTTTTGCAAAACAATAATTTCAGACGAAATTCGTCAGGATTTGGAAGATGTGTTATTCCGAATGAAACCATTCCAACATGAATCGAAAAACGAGACAGTATTCTCTGGTTGGGCAAAAATGGCACTGCAAATCGAAAGTTTCCAAATTAGCGAAGTTGCGAAGCCACGAGTTGGAGAAAAATCGCCGGCAATTGTTCGAGGTGTTTTATCAGTAAATGTTGGAAGAAGATGGGATATTCGAGCAGAATGGGAAAATATGAGAAAACATGATGTTTGTTTTTTGGTTTCGTGTCGAGCCAAACAATCTGCTCGTGGAACTTTTGATATTCGCAAAAAGTTTTCGGATCAAATTGAAGTGACAAGTGTAAGAGGATGTGATATTGAAGGAATGTTGGATAATGATGGATTACTTATTGAAGAATATGATAATGGACAGAAAAAGAATCAATTGACTGGAGATGTTAGGAAATTCAAAGTGCTTTTGGATCCAAATCAATATCGAATTGATATGGAAAATGTTGCTGAAAAAGGTGTTGAAGATGTATATTATACTTTTAATTTGGTTGTTCGACGCGATTCGAAGACAAATAATTTCAAAGCAGTTTTGCAAACAATTCGAGAATTATTGAATACCGAATGTGTTGTTCCTGATTGGTTGACTGATGTTATTTTAGGATACGGTGAACCGAATAGTGCACATTATTCTCAATTGAGTAGCGCAATTCCTGAATTAGATTTCAATGATACTTTTGTATCCTACGAACATGCTGCAAATTCATTCCCTGGTTATAAAATTGTTTGTACCGAGGAAGATAAAGCTAAACAAGTTCCACCATTCCGTGTGAAATTCCAAGATTTGGAAAAGAATCCGAGTGTTGAAATGAAGGAGGCGGATAAGAAGACGATTTATATCACACCGGTTATTCGAAAAGCTGTTACACCATACGAATATACACCAAATCGAAATCAGGTGCAATTTACACCACAACAAATTGAAGCAATCAAATCAGGAATGCAACCGGGTTTAACAATGGTTGTTGGACCACCGGGAACTGGTAAAACTGATGTTGCTGTGCAAATTATCTCAAATATCTATCATAATTGGCCAAATCAACGAACTTTGATTGTCACACATTCAAATCAAGCTTTGAATCAATTATTCGAGAAAATTATCGCTTTGGATATTGATGAAAGACATTTATTGAGAATGGGACATGGAGAAGAATCACTTGAAACTGAAAAAGATTTCTCGAGATATGGAAGAGTTAATTTTGTATTGAAAGAAAGACTTCGATTATTGAATGATGTGGAAAGATTGGCAAAAAGTTTGAATATTGTTGGAGATGTTGCATATACTTGTGAAAATGCTGGATATTTCTTTAGATTTTCAGTGAGATTTTGAAAATTACCTCTGTTTCTTATAAAAATTCATATTTTCAGGTCTGCCGAGCTTGGGAAGAATACTTTACAAAAATTGTCAAAAAATCAGATATTTCTGAAGGAGGAATCTCTGCGATTTTCCCATTCAACAAATTCTTCAAAGACATTCCTCAACTTTTCACTGGAAACAATTCAGAAGACATAAAAATTGCACATTCTTGCTGGAAACATATTGAAGCAATTTTCGAAAAATTGGATGAATATCGAGCTTTTGAATTGTTGAGAAATGGAAAAGATCGAACCGAATATTTATTAGTGAGTTTTTGTTTTCTTTTGGGAAAAGGGTGTCTACATGAAAAAATAGAAAAGTTCTAATTTGATTGATTTACATATGCGGCATAATCTGGGGAGGTAAAATATTCGGGGGTATAGGCGAAGTTTTGAGCAGCAAGATCTTGATTTTTTGGAGTTCCGGATTCTGGGGATTTTTCCATTTTTGCACGCTCCTTTTCTGCATCTCGACGCATTTTGAATCGCCGATTTTGGAACCAAACTTTGATCTGAAAATATTTGAATTGTTATTGAATAATTAAATTCAAAATTACCTGATGTGGCGTCAAATTAACAATCTTCGCCAACTCGTGCCGTTCTTTCAACTCAATTCGATCCGATTTCTCAAATCGCTCCTTCAAAATTTGCAATTGTTTCGATGTATACGGTGCTCGACACACTTTTGCCCGCTCATTTCGTCTTTTCATCATATCTAAATCATTGTATGGTCCAGCCATTGTCGGAAGTTGTCCCGGATAATTTGGCATTGCTTGAGCAGCGGCGGCGGAATAGTATGGGTCGTGAGGATTTGCTGGACCTGGTGGCCAGAAATACATTCCGTATGGAGGATAGCCTCTGAAAAATTAGAATTTGTTTTTGAATTAAATCGAGATGGTTACAAATCAAAACAATTTTTTCAAAAACTTACATTGGAACTCCGTAGTTGTAGAATGTGTTTTGTTGAAGATTTGGATCTTGTTTCATATTCTCATCATTTGGCATAACATGATGAGCGTAGAATTCTTGATATTGTTGAAGTTGTTGTTGATGTTCTTCAACCATCGCAGAATGTTCTTCAGAATATCCAGAAGATGAACTGGCAGCCGAAGATGGAGAAGAGATCACCGTTTTTTGCTCTTCAAACATGATTGAATGAATGAATAACTGAATGATTTACAAGTATCAACAAACTTTCCTAAGCCACGCCCCTTTTCATGCGCGAAAAACGAAGAGTACTTGATAAAATAGCGCTACAGCTTCCTGAAGGCTTTGTATTGACAGTTGGTAAAAAAAGGTGACAAATTTGAAGTGCAACAGATGGTTGAATTGAAAGAAAGGTGTACCGATTTTGTGTGTTTTTATTATACGCTAAAAATTTTCAGATCAAGGAAGCAAAGATAATTGCAATGACTTGTACACACGCAGCTCTCAGGAGAAATGATTTGGTGAAACTTGGATTCCGATATGATAATATTGTGATGGAAGAAGCGGCGCAGATTTTGGAAGTTGAGACATTCATTCCACTTTTGTTGCAAAATCCACAAGATGGACACAATCGATTGAAACGATGGATTATGATTGGAGATCATCATCAATTGCCGCCAGTTGTGCAAAATCAGGCATTCCAAAAATATTCGAATATGGAACAATCGTTGTTTGGGCGACTTGTGAGATTGGGAGTGCCGAATGTTGAATTGGATAAACAGGGTCGCGCTAGGAAAGAGTTAGTTTTTATGGGGTTTTGAGGAAGAGCTGAAAAATCTTTCGAAATTTTTGAAGAGCGAGGTTGTAGAACTCCAAAACTGAGCCCAAATTTCAAAATAATTCAATTTTGAAATGGAAATGTTGAAATATGTTCAAATATGGCTGTTGAAAAATTCCCTGCACTATGTATAATTTTTTGGAAAAAAAGTAGAAAAATCGAATTTTTTGATGCAAAACAAAATTTTTCTGAACCTTTTTCCTGAATGTTTAGAAAAAATTTATATTTTCATTACTCATAAAATTTTATGGGTTCGATTTTTCATTGATTTTTCTGCTGTTGTTTTTTCCCACGAATAAATTTTCATATGAAAATATCAATATTAATTTTTTCCCAGAATCGCTGAACTTTATCAATGGAGATATAAAAATCTTGGAAATTTGCCACATGTTTTATCGTCCGACAAATTCATGGTGAGAATACGCTATTTTATTGCTCAAAAGCCCCGATGGGAGAAAAATCAATTTCTTGTTTTTCTTTTTCTCGCTGGTTTTTTTTGATAAGACCTGTCAAGGTTACACGCTTTTTAGTAGTAGTATTATCAACAAAAAAAGTAAAATGTTGCGATTTTTGAGTGAGAGAGTTACAAAGTTTTTTTTTGTTCTACAGGGTGCAAATGCTGGTTTCGCATTCCCATTTCAATTCATCAACATCGAAGATTTCAATGGAAATGGAGAATCGTGTCCAACACCGTATTTCTATCAAAATTTGGGTGAAGCTGAATACGCCGTCTCGCTTTTCACATATATGAGAATTTTGGGATATCCCGGAGAGAAGATTTCGATTTTGACGACTTATAATGGACAAGCTCAATTGATTCGAGATATTATTCAGAGAAGATGCGAGAATAATCCATTGATTGGACCACCTGGAAAGATTTCGACTGTTGACAAATATCAAGGACAACAGAATGATTTTGTGATTTTGTCGTTGGTTAGAACCAAACATATTGGACATATTCGGTAAGGATTTGAAGAAATGAAAATTTAAAGTTCTGAAATTTCACTGCAATCATCTGAAACTATGTGCATTTTTCTAGGTTTTTTGAATTTTTCAAAATTTAAAGACACGTAGAAAACTAGAAATCGTTCAAAAATCATTGTTTGCATGTTTTTTATCATCCTTTAAATAGTGGAAGTACATAAACAAAATTGAAAAATATTGAGTTTAGCGAAAGTCAAAAAAAGAAATTTCCTTTTTTGAAATCGCTCAGCCGACGCAAAATTTAGTGTTTGCACAAATGTTCGTGATTTGCCGCACATGTGTGCATTCTTAGCATACCGTACCACCACATTTTATTTATTTATTTCTTTTTTCAAACGAACAACACACAACTTTGAAAAAGGCGCGCGTTCAAATTTTGAAGATTACGAACACACAATTCTAGTTTTCTACGTGTCTTTAATCCCAAACCTCCTTACTCAACCCCCTTTTCCCCCCAAAAACCACCAATTTTTCTCCAGAGATGTTCGTCGTTTGATCGTTGCCGTTTCTCGTGCTCGCCTCGGTTTATTCGTCCTCGGAAGAATGAATTTGTTCAAAAATTGTTTTGAATTGACAACTGTTATGAAATTGGTAGGCCTCAAAATTACAAGGGAAAAATTTAATATCAATAATTTTGCAGTTCACCAAAACCGTCCCGAAATTGCTGCTTTTGCCATCCGAAACAAATCCGACTGAGAGAAAATTGAACGAAAGAGCAACAGTTTGCGATCCAATGCCAATCGAAGATGTCTATCATATGGTCAAATTCGTACACGATTTCTATATGTGTAATGTGGAAGCATTAAAAGCCAAATTATGAAGCTGCAGTTGCGCAACATTTAGAAACTCAAAGACAATTGAATCCACCAGTTCAAGAAGAAATGGACGTCGAAACAGAGGCTGAAAAAAGACAACGAGAACATTTGGAAAAGAAAAAACAAAAAGAAGAGGGAGATAAAAAAGAGGCTGATATTGTATTCGAAGATATGGATCATGAAAAAATGGAAAACGTTGGCATATAATTTTGTTTTATTTTTACGTTTTTTTTGTTATTATTTATTTATTTACTTATTTATAAAATATTCTCAAAAGTTTCTTTCTGCAGTTTACCTTGTTTCTTTTTCAAAAGAGTCTAATTGAAACTCTTTAGAATATTTTTGTTTTATTTTAGATGGTCCAAAACTGCTTCATTCATATTTAGGGTTCATCAACATGGCTGCTGTTGAGGAAAAAATAAACGAGCTCAAAGTCGAAGATAATCAACAAGAGCAAGAGGATGATATTGTGACACCATGGAGTGTTTCGACGAGTAGTGCGACTGGAATTGATTATGATAAATTGATTGGTGAGGATTTTCGGGTGCTTTTTTTGGAATTTAGAAAAAGAGCCAATGAAAAGTATTCAGAAACTTTGGAAATCCTCAAGCCGGTTCCACAGTATGTAATTTACCACGTCAAATATCTAGAGCTCAATTTTTGTTTTTGTGCTTGATCCGAGGATTTTTTTCTAGAAAAATCAATCCTGATTTTCTTCGATCCCAGATAATTTACTCAAAAAGTCAATTGTCACAAAAACATCATTCATTGCTTGCATCACATAAAAAAATGAAACTATTTTGGATCCTCCGCTTTTCTTTTCTGCAATTTCTTTGTCGCATGCTTTCTGTATTCCTCCAAAAACGGTCCAAAATTCTCTCTTTCAATCAAACCTTCTTGCGCAAAATATTCGAGAAGACAAACATGAAGGAATAAATATTGAACATGCGATTGAATAGCCTGAAATCTCATATTTCTCAATTCGTGTGCAATATCAACCATATCAATATCGGGTTCTTGTTGAATTCGAATATTTGCATAATCGATGCCAACAAATGTCGCAGTTCTTCCAACTCCTGCACTACAATGAACAACGATTGGAGAATTATCCGTATTCGCTTTTTTGACCCATCGATATAATTCTAACATTGGTTTTGGATCTTCTGGTGCAAGTTGATCTGGCCACCATGGAACAAATACATGATTTATATCCATTGGCTTCGAATCAGCTTTTTCAGTGTCCAAAACAGTCATTACACTACAACCAACATCTTTTACAGGCTCTGGCTCTTTTTTCGAAAATGTCACTTCCATTTCACCGTATTGTTCTTTATCACCTTCTTTGCTTGGAAAATATTGTGAACATTTTTCAATATCGCCTTCAACCAACGGACATAACATTAGAATATATTTGACTTTTTCTTGATAACACATTGCCCAAAAATCAGCAATTGTTTCTGGCAATGGTCCTTGTGTCAAAATATATTTCGTATCCGAGTCGGGAATTGTAACCCAAGAAGCGTGAATATAATCGTTTTTTCGATTTTTGAGCACAACTCGAGTTTCTTCGACACAGTAAACATCGGCATAACGATTGAGAGCGATATTTGCCTCGAATGCCGTGTATTTCGCCTTTGATGGTTTGTATCCCTTGATCTTCTCGCGATGAATTTTACTCAAAGTGCTACATTTCTGAAAATTATCATTTAGGATAAGTTATCTTGATTCTCGAAGAAAAATAAGAAATTACCGTCTGAAGAACTTTCAACGCCCATTCTCTTCTCGCATCAATTTTATCCTCAGTTTGTTTGGTATCTTCAGTTCTCATTATTTGGAACTTCTTCTTATCTCCTCGATTCGATTTATCCTTCTTCGATTTTCCTTTCGATTTTGTAACAACTTTTGGCTCATCTTTCTCTTTTTTCTCACCTTCTTTCGATTTTCTATTATTGTTGTTAATATTGACAATAACATCCTTTGATCGATTCGATTCTTTCGATTCAGATGATCCTTTCTTTTGTGTTTCCACCGATGTCATTGTAACATTCTCCTTCGATGCAGATGATGTCTTTTTCTCAGTATCCAATTTTTGCGGTGAATAGTCGTTTGCCGCTTTTTCCGGTGTTCCACTATCTGCAGAAGCATGCAGATTCACTCCCTGAAACAAATTAATTTTCTGAAAATTTCCTACTCTCCGAGATAGTTTTACCTTCTCTTTCTCCTTTTTGGCGCATACAGTAATTAGAAGCAAAACATTGCATACTGATAACAAAACATATATGATATTATCGAATAACAGGTTAACATCAATCATTCCCTCTTTCAATCAAAAAAGAATAAAGTGTGGAGAAGAACACGTTTTATATGGGGAAACGCGTGGAAATAGAACACGCGGATATTGATCTCGTGAGAAGATAAGAGAATTTTTCAAAACCCTGGAAGCTCCTTTTTGAAAGTCTAAATTTCTCTTAAAAAAAATGATAAATGACAACATGAAATTTTTTTTTGAAAAATTCAAATTTTTCCTATCAACTTTCTCAAAATCTATTTCCATTTTGCAGTGAAATTCGGTTGCCGCAAACTCGACGATGAAATAATTGCGCGATTCGAACGTATCACCGGCCACAAAGCTTGTCCAATGCTCCGACGGGGAATGTTCTTTGCTCATCGTGATTTCTCCGCAATTCTCGATCGAAAAGAGCAAGGAAAACCATTCTTCTTATACACTGGTCGAGGAGCATCAAGTGGAAGTTTGCATCTCGGACATTTGGTACCATTTATGTTCACCAAATGGTTGCAAGAGGTTTTCGACGTTCCATTGATTATTCAAATGACCGATGACGAGAAGTTCTTGTGGAAAGATTTGAAAGTTGATGAGGCGAAAAAGATGGCAAAGGAGAATATGAAGGATATTATTTCGGTTGGATTTGATCCCGAAAAGACTTTTATTTTCAATAATTTGGATTATATGTGGTAAGATTGACTTGTTTTCGAAAAAAACATTAAAAAAAAAAGAAAACTTGCAGCCCACCATTTTATGAAAACGTTGTGAAAATCTGGAAAATCGTGAACGCCAATCAAGCTCGATCAATTTTCGGATTCTCACCGGAAGATTGTATTGGAAAAGGTGCATTCCCAGCAATTCAAGCTGCTCCAAGTTTTGCCTCGTCTTTCCCACATATTTTCGGAAAACGCAATGATATTCCATGCTTGATTCCGTGTGCAATCGATCAGGATCCGTATTTTAGAATGACACGGGATGTTGCGCCGAGATTGAAGGCAGCCAAACCTTGTTTGATCTTTTCGTCTTTCTTACCTGCTTTACAAGGTTTGTTTTTTTTATTGGAAACTCATGCTAAAATAAATAGAATTTTGGTTTTTAAAAAACTTCAAAGTTTTTTCAGTTTCAGCCAAAAGAAATATAACTTGTGAGAAATTTTTTAATTTTCTTTTGAAATCAGAGGTTTTTATCTCAAAAATCCCTCCAAAAATTTTTAATTTCAATTAGGGACTGTATTACATAAAGTTTACAAAACTTGATGTGAACTCCAGATTTGAAAAAAATACAAAGTTTGACGAAATTTCGATTTTCCTTCTTTTCCCCAAAATGAACCTCTCTAAAAAATTTGCAAAAGAAATGGGCCGAACCGGGGATTGAACCCGGGACCTCTCGCACCCAAAGCGAGAATCATACCACTAGACCATTCGGCCACGTTTCTCTTCAATTTATTTTTCCAAGATCAAACCGCCGGATATTTTCTATCCCTTCTTTTTTCTCCATTCACAATCAGACAGATTTTTATCTTCTTTTCCCTATAAACTAGATTTTTTCAGGTGCCCAAACGAAGATGAATGCATCCGAACCAAACACTTGCATTTATTTGAGTGATACACCAAAACAAATCAAAAATAAGGTGAGAGTTAGCTGAACTTCTGATAAGTCATATATTTTTGCAGATTAATAAATACGCATTTTCGGGTGGTCAACAAACTGTTGAAGAGCATCGTGCAAAGGGTGGAAACTGTGATGTTGACATTAGCTATCAATTTTTGAAATTTTTCTTGGAAGACGATGAAAAATTGGCCGAAATTCGTGAGGTATGTTTTTATGAGTCCATTGAACAACTATTGGTTTTAATTTCAAAACTAGAAAATAAGTTTATTGAACTGAACACTGATCATTAAAAATTGAAAATTTCCCACGTTAGTTTATCGTTTCAAGAAAAAATTTTCTTCGAAATCCATTTTTTATTGCAAGAAACACGAAAAAAGTTCAGATCATGACGTGAATTTCAAATAATTGTAATGTGAAACACTCTCGAAAATAATCCGCCCTCACTTTTTTTTGTCTGCCTACCCCAAACCCATGAATGTTTTATGACGTTTTCATTTCATACCGAAATGGGTTTTATGGTCGGCTTTACACCCCAATTCCCTTTTTTGTTCTAGCTCTCAATATCAAAAAAAATACACATATAGAGAGAAAAAAGGTGCCGCTTGGAGATGAAGCTTTGTTTTTGACCACTTTTGCAAATTATAGAGAATATATGTTTTTTGGGGAGGATTGGGTGGTAATTAGTTGATATTTGGAGAAGAAAAAGTGATGTGAAATTATAGATTTTCTGATTTGGAAAAACAATTGGATCATTTTGGGAACTTGGCCGAGAATTTGAGATATTTTTGGAACTTTTTTTGGGTAAAAATTTCTTTCAGAAAAATCTATCGGTCTCAAACATTGAGATTCAACTTGACTTTGATCAACCTCCCCTCAAACAATAAGTTTTCATTTTCTAACCTGATCTCATATTTTCCACTCAAAATTCCGAATTTCTTTAAAAATCGAAAATAGCCACTGAGCTTGGCCCGTTTCAAACAAAAAATAAAAATAGAAAAACTTCTCTCCGTAATTCAAAACATGTTCAAATGAATTATTTAGAACACCCTCCCCTGCTGTTTTTTTCGGCATAATTTTTTACTTTTTCCCCCGTCAAAAAAAAAAGATTTATTCCAGAAATATACAAAAGGCGAATTGTTGTCGGGAGAATTGAAAGCATTGGCGACTGTTGAAGTGAATCGAGTTGTTGGAGAAATGCAAGAACGAAGAAAAAAAGTGACGGATGAGGATGTTGAACTTTTCAGCAAAGTTCGACCACTTGCTTTTAAATTTTAAAAATATCCTGATATCTTGAGGTTTTTTCATACCTGGGGAACCCATTTTTCTTCCGTTGTTGAGTTTTTAATTAATTGTTGCTTTCTTCTTTCGCACTTCATAATCAATTCCTTTTTTTTCTTCCAAACTTTTTTTCAGTCCTTTTTCGATCCAACTTTAATGCATACATATAATCTCATGAGATTTTTCCTTGGCCGTTTTTTAAGATAATAAATTTTCCAATTTTTGTTTTGTTTTGAGAAAAGGAGTAATTTAGTTTGGTTATTTCTTGTTTTTTGCTGTTTGGAAAGTTTAACATTGTTAGGGAATTTTGAGAAGGTTTCTGGGAAAAGTTAGATTTTTCTTCAGTTCGGAATTTCTAGGATCCTCTGTCTCAAAATTTTTCTCTGAAACTTTAGCTCAAGTTTTCTAAAACTGAACTTTTTTTTTTAATTTCTGAGTTTTTCAAAGAAATCTGGAATTTCAGAACAAAAATCAAAAGTCTGAAATTTGGCCACGTCATAACTAAAATAATTGTTGAAATTCGAAAATTCCGGATTTGCCACGTCATAACATTCTTCCTTCTTTGCTCTCTCACCCCAAAATTTCCAGCCTATTCATTTCTACACACAAAAATCCTATTACAATTCCATCTACCCAATTAAGTAAAATATACTCATCCTTGTTTTTTCATCCCCTTTTTTCTCAAAAAAAAATTTTTTTTTGATTTATTTTCCATCTTTTCTTACTACCACATAATTATCAAAATCCGGTGCCACGTCATCCCAATTAATTGAAAAAATATAATTAATAATAATAATAATCCTAGAGATACTTCCGAAATAAAAAAAGTGGGCGGAGGTTACTGTGGGTGAAGGAAGGAAAACGGGCGGAGCGAGACATTTTTGCTCATTTCAGTTTGCTTGCTCATTTCATTTTCTCAAAGTTTTTCTTTTTATTTGTTAAATTGAACTTGAATTCAATTTTTTTTTAATTTTTAATAAATTTTCAGGTAAAATGAAATCGGCAATCATTTCAATTCTTATTTTGTGCTTGATTCAAATCATCTTGGCAATCCCATATTTTGCAGGTAAGTGTGTGTAGTTCTCGAGGACAACTTTCCTGAGAACCAGCTAAAAATATATCAAATCACAAATCTGAAATAAATTTTCAGACAAGGAAAAACGTGGTGTGGATGATGCTGATTGGCAATCACTTGGTTGGGCGTGGGGAAAACGAAGTGTTCCCATGAACTCTTATTATCTTCCAAATCGACAACAAAGATCAGCGCATCCGGTCAAGAAAAATCCAGAATGGGAAGATCTTTCATGGACGTGGGGTCGAAAATAACTTTCTTTCTTTCTTAATTACCTAATTAATTAATTAATTATTTATTTTATCAAATATTATATTTCTCTGCATCTCTCTCTCTCTCTCTCTCTATCATCAGCCGATCATTACTGTTGTACAGTATAAAGATTTTTTGTTGAATTTTTTTTATCACAAAATATAATAACCAATTCAAAAGGTTTTTGAATAGATGATAATTCAAAAAGTACACATCAGATTTTGTGAAGACTTCGTTGTTGAATAGTCAATTTTCTTCGCTCCATCGTTTGAATTCGACGAGCAACTCGGAAGAAAAATAGAGAGGCGATTGTTGAGAGAATTGGAAGACCGATTGTGTAGATGTAGATGTTGAGGTAGGGAGTGATGAAGAAGAGAATGCAGGAAGCCCAGGCCTGAGAAAAATATTTTAGATAGAGTTAGGCCTAGAACAATTTTCATTTGGAATTTAATTTTGAGACCAAAGAACCGTAAGGTGAACTTTGAAAACGTTTCATTTTCCAGCAGCTGATTTTTTTGGAAATAATTTCAAGAGTCCTTCAACAATTTTTTCTCCAAAAATCAAGTTCTGAAATTCCAAAAAAACAATTAATGTTAAATTTGGAATTGTTCAAAAATTCGACAAAAAATTTAACAAAAACTCAAAATAGGAAAGTTCTTACGTTCACCCAACTTTTTTGTTTTTAAACTAGTGATGAGAATTTTTCTTTTCGATTTAAAAAATTTCAAAAAATTGTATTTTGGTTCTCAGCATTTGCGGACGTAGCTTAAAGGAACACCAAAAGCTAATTGTCACCCTAGCGTATTCAAACAAACACTTCAGAACTCGAATTAATCAATGTCAATCAACAACTTTTCGCAGCAAATAAAACAAAATTGATAAATATACTCAAACAATGTTAATTACAAGATATATAATGAATTTGATAATGGGGCTATTCAAGTATTTTCTCAACACGCTGAGAAAACAGGAGAAATGCGGAGAAAATGTATTTTCTTCTCTTTTTTCGTATTTTCTCAGCCTACCTGAATAGGTTTTCTTCGCTTTTCTCAGCGTTGAGAAAATAACTTGAATAGTCCCATAAACAAATTTCAAATCACAAAAAAATAAAGATTATATAGATTGTAAATTTTATCCCAAAGCTGAAACCAAAAATAATCATCTCACTACAATCTTAGATCTATTATCTTCAACACTGCGAAATTATTTTTTTTGTTAAATTAAAAAAACTGTTTTTTTAAATTTTAAAATAACCTAGTCCCGCAATTTTTTTTATTTAATTAAAAATCACTGTAGATCACCCGGGATTTCACTATCTTTTTGTCTCTTCTCTCTCTCGCGAGACTCTCTCGTATGGACGCAGATATTTTGCACAAGCGTTTTGAATCAATAAAAAAAAACAACCAAAAGTTTCTTTAAATTTAAAATATTTTTCAGATTCGTGGCTGAAAATATTCGAGATGTATTTTGTTGGAAAACAAGGAACAATACATCAATATTTGAGCGAAGAGATGATCGAGGGACGATCGAAATTTCAAAGGTTAGTTATTTTTTTGGGTTCGATTTAGTAGTGAAGTTTTAGTCTGAGGGAGTTCTGTAGAGTTCTAAATTTTTTAAACTGATTTGCTTTTGAATCGAGGATTCTTTTGAAAGGAAGTTTTTGAATCTTTTAGAAACTTTCAGGTCGGGAGAAATAATATTTCTTTTTTTTTGAAATATGAATTAGGCATGTGTTGTTTCTAAAGGTTGTTAGAACTTCGAGACAAGAAGGGGGATAGATTGGGTTTTTTGTGGATATGGACAAGTATCTTGGGAAAAAATGATTTAAAAATGAAAAAAAGTTATTTCATCAAAAAGTCGCTTGATGATAGTAACAATAAAGCTGAAAGTATGTTTTATATTTTCATTTTTTATCGTTTTTTGAAGTTTGTTTTTGTTATGTGATTTTTCATGACTTTATTTTTTTCTCAAACGGTGTAAAATACAAATCGATTTGAATCTTGCACTGGATGAGCGAGCACAAGAATGAAGACCGGCGGAAGCTTTTTAGCTTTTGGTGTTCCTTTAAGCTACGTACGGAAACGCTGAGTTATTCAATTTGTTTGTAGCAGGTGTTTCGTTGGATTTTTGTTTGTAGTTTGAACATTAATTAGAAAAAATCCAGACTTTTGGATTATTTTTTTCAAAAAGTTCTCTGCACCAGCTCAAAAAATCAGGCTATACGAAAGATTAAAAAATGCTACGACATTCAGAAAATGTCACCCTAAACTTTTAAACGAACCTGATGAAATTTGGAAACCGAGAATGCTTGTGCTCTTCTTCTTGGCATAACCAAAGCGCAAACAACACTTCGAACACTATTAACACAACAATCAGAGATTCCAATAATCAGAGCCAATATGAAAATGAAGGGTTGAGAATGATAGAAAAGAATTGGTTCTTTATGGGTTGGTTGATAATTTGCATCATAAGGAGTTGAGAGGAAGATGAGAGAACAATAGACTGTGAGAAGAGTTGAGCCGATGAACATTGTTGGGAGCAAACCGAAATCTTTTATTCTTCGGGAGAAAAATGAGATGGCAAGGCCCACTAGAATATATTACATAAAAGGTCACATTAATATCTGAAATTCTTTCACTCACTGAGAACTTCACCCAAGCCAACACCGAAACTATAAATAGCTGTAATATAAATCATATTCGAATTATTCATATTGAAGTTCATTGCGGTTGGAAAAACCGATAACCAGAATGACGTGTTCAATCCGCACAAAACAAAAAGTGGAATCAATTTGAGCATTTTCGTCGATGTCAATGCTTCCCACATCAATTTCAAACCCTCCATGAAAGTTTTCTCATTTTTTGTGCTTTCGATGCAGTTTTCAGTGTCTTTTGAGGGTAGGAAAAGGAAGTTTGCAATTCCGATTGTTGAGATTGCAGAGAGAGCGGCGAAGAGAAGAGTTCTGCAAATTTTTCATCATTTGAACCCAAAACACTTCTCTCCTCCAATCCCCAACAAATTTCCATATTATTTTACATAATCACAATGTACCCAACCCAACTAATTCTAAACTCAAACACATACATTTCAAGATCACTAAATCGTCTTTCGAACTTGTGCGTTTCATCGACAACCATATGTGATTGTGTTAATTTGGTGACTCCAGCAATAATCATCGATCCAACAATCATACAACAACATCCAACTGACCAAGATATCGAAACATTTGACTCAATTGATTCTCGAGTTGAATGAGATGTTAGATATCCTCCTTGACCTTGGTAAAATACTGAAAAACAAAGGGTTCTGGGTGATAATTTGAATCAGAATCAGAATTAAAGAAAATAGTTCTTACAGGCAAATCCAATTCCCAGTAAAAAACTTGAAAAATAGTAATAGTACGAGTTTGTAAAGAGGAATCCAATCGGAAATGCTGTGAAGAATATTGCGGAGACAATTAGACATGTTTTTGAGGAGTTTGTAGCATTTAGGATTGATGGAGAGAAAATACATCCGATCATGTAGGCTGCGTAGATTACAGCTTGACTGGAATTTTTTTCGGGGATAAAATCATGAGAGATTCTGATTATAATAAAAATCCGAAGCCTTTCCGAACATTTTCTGAGTTCAAATTTTTTGACTCACCCATAATATCCGGCCAGCGAGCTAATCTTCTCCGGCTCTCTTTCATGTATCGAATGAATCACCGACTCCAGAATAAAACTCTCCGAATCGAATCCCGTCATAATACAAAGCTGCCCAAATCCCAACATTGCAGCACATATCAACTCAAATCGAGGCGAACTTTTCATTTCGCTCGCCTCGCTCGACATTTTCCCCCAAACTGACCATTTTTTTCCACCTCTTCTCTGACATTTTTAATTCCTGTCATAATTTGAATAATCCTGAACTTTCAAAAACTGTCTTTTTCGGAACTTTTTTTTGCTACTCGGAAGTATTGAACAAAGTTTCATTTTACATATCATTTTTCAAGAATTCAATTTATTTCTTCTTCCGCAATGGAATTGGATTTTTTCGAAGATGCAAATTTTTCTCGTCTACATTTTTTGGAATTGTTTGAGCTCGTGGTTTGGTTGGTGTTGGAGATCGAGACATTTTTGGCTTGGCTTCTTTTCGGGGCGATTTGAGCAATGAAGTTTCACGCTTTACAACGAATTTTCCGTGGTTTCGAAGATCTTTTTCGGTTTCTTCAGGTTGAGTCAAACATCTGCAAAAAAAGAAAAATCTGGATGCTTGATTTTTCTATCATTGACCAGTAACTGTTTTGTTTTTCAAATCTCAAAACTAACGTCAAAATATCCGGTGCACAAGTATCCACAATAACAGCATCTGGCGAAAACAGTTCCTTGAAAATCGCCTCAATTTTCACTTCTGAATTATTTCTTTGCAACAATTTTTTGCTATGTTCAGAATCAATTATCGAACCGGTTGATGCATTAGATCCTTTTCTTGATAGCTTCTGAAAAAATAACATGACCTGAGAGAAAGAACCCATAGATCAACGTCACTGTTCTCTTTGTTTTGCGTTCAAAAAGATCGTGCTAGTTCATGTTATATTTCTCCCGCCTTTTCTAATATCTTCTCGATTTTCATTTCATTTTATCACAAAAGCAACATTATGTCCTTAGGACTACAATATCTTTGTTTGTTATTCTTATCATTATCCGCGTTAAAACTTGATCTACAAAACACTGGAGAAATCGAAGATTCAACAGAAGTAGATGAAGATGATGGTCCGAATGGCAAAGATGTTTATACATTTCTAGCAAGTCGGATGAAACAAGACCTTGGAATGAAGAAGAAACTCAAAGCTACACCGTATTTCGTTCCGGGAGCTCACGAACCACTTCCCGGGCGGTCACATTCGGGAGATTATTGGCCTGTCTTTCCGTTTCAGAATCAAGTATCAGCAGGTGTTGATTTGGATCCAGCTATTTCACGGCATTTTGGAGGTGATATCAATTTAGCAATCCCTAGTTTTGGAATGGCTGATATTTATGGAAGAGTTTACAATAGGTAGGGAGAGTTACAAATATGATTTATACCATAAAAATTTCTAGAATTGGTGGAACTACAACAAAAGTTGGATATCTCAACCATCCTGTCAATATGTTGGACCTTGAAAAAGAAGATTTTGTTCGTCTAATGGGTGATCCAGCCATTGCTCATAATAGAAACGGACATCCAACCTTACCACTTGGAAATCTACCAAGACGATTTGTGCCAATGAGTTGCAAGCCACCAATGTGTAATCCATATCATATGAACTTTGGGCTTGGTGTAAGTTGGATTTATCAGGGCTGGAAGTTCAGAAACTCTTCAATTTTTCCCGTGAAGATTCTTGACCTGATTACAATTTCTGAAGACATTCCTCAAAACCTATTTCAGATTGATCACGATTTCGGATTGTACAATGGAATCGAGGGTGACGTGGATGTTTTGATGCCAATCTCAAAAGGAGTCGGATATCGTTTCCCATTCTCAGGAAATATTTACTCTCATTGGGACAATATGACAGTAACCTATGGACAGAATTTGTCACCAGTCGAGCCGTTTTCATCACTTTTTGATTATCAGAAAAATCGAGATCCTGGATTGAGAATTCCGCGGAAATGGGAGAAACGAAGTATTGAAAGTTATCCAGAGGAACAAATCAGGGAATATTATTCGAGAAATGGTTATCATGATCAAGGACAATATTCGGCTGAGAAGTTAGTGTTCCCCTATTATTTTTGGTAACTAGTTTAACTAATAATTTAATAAAATTCTAATAAACATACCCCATTATCAATTTCTCCACCATTTCCAACTGTTAGCGTTTCGATATTCATCTGAAAATGAACCCATACAAATAAATTAAAACCAAATGTGATGGCTTCTTAAAAAAGTGAGAAGAAAAAAGTTGCAAAAATGCAATGAATAGCCGAATATGTGCATGACCTTTGGATGACAGAAAAGAAATAGGAAATGAAACACAAAATGAATGACGAGAGCCAAGAAAAATAACAAGAAGAAAATAAATAAAATGGGTGGCTCACGAAATGTCGTAAAAAACTGCTATGCGAATAAGAAGAAGAAGAAGAAAATATTTTCTTTCCTGGAACAGAACACTATTGTAGTTTGAACTTTTTGAGAAACACAACAATAAACACAAAGTACATATTCATTAAAAGAAGAATGGAAGAAGAATGGAAGATGCTTCAAAAAAGAGGAGGAGCTGGACAAAAAATGTGTTTTTTTTTGAAAGTCACTTTACCTCCTACTTAATTCAATTTGAAAGTGAGAAGAACAAAAATGTATAGATTGGAGAGTTTGGTTGAAATGGAAAGATCAAAGTTCTAATGGAAGAATTTTCAGATCTTGAAAATAAGTATCTTAACTGAAATTGAAATTAACCAGATTCAAAAAAAATTTCAGAAACCGTGATCTTCCGGTCTGCAACTTTTCCATATTCTTCCTTAAGTATGCTTTTAACTCTGTTTTTATATGACAATAAAAACAACAACATCAAAAACAAGCACAGTTATGAGGGAACAAAAAAAGACACCCACACAATAAAATATAAATGAGTTTCTTTTTTTTGGTCCATAAAAAATGGATGTTGTACATAGGGTAGGGATTTGATGGATGGCATGTGAACATTTTTAGAATCTTGGATTATGTGGGAAAGTCTTTGGGATCTTGCACTTTTGTTATGTTCGCAATTTTCTGATCTTTCTTTTGACCCTTTTTTGAGCTTCTCCGAACTCTAATTATTTTTTTGTTGTTGCCAATGTGCTTCCAAAGACACTTGGTTCTCTGATGCCTAATTATTTCTCTGAACTTTCTGATTGCCTGCGATAAATTTCTAACAAAAACAAAGTGATTTATTCAAATCATTCAAACAACATTTAATACTTTCGATTCGATTTCTTTCTCGATTTTCTTCTTGTTTCTCTCCTGTCTCCGGAATTTGTAAGCAACCCAAGTTTGTTGCGCGGAAATGGAAAAGTAAATAATGAACAAAAGTTCAGCCGCGACGGCAATGAACGTTACTAATTCATTACTTCGTTTTTTTTCATGAAATGCTATCAAGAAGAGGATTTGGTAGTATCCCTGTTTGATCAGATATAAAAGCATGAGTTCCCAGAAATTGATATAGAAGGCAAGTGTGCATGTGATTTGAATAAATGTCCACTGCAATAAATTCCAGTTGAATCCGTAGCAGATCAATGTGCCAACATAGATCCCGGCGTGTAAACTCATTATAAAAAGAATAATCTCTTTGAAAGTTACCACAATCTCTGGATCTTTCTGAAACAAAAAAATTCATATGAGAATAATCAAAATCTTGAAAAAAACTCACAGTTTCAGAATCAGCAACAGCATCTCCATTTTTCTCAATTGTTTGAGAAAAATTTCCAACTTTGACAGTCATCTCGAAAGGACTCACTAACAGATTTATGAATAACTTTGTGAATGAATAAAAAGGGCTTGGCTTGGTGGGAGGAACGCCCACAATATAGATTATCGATCAGCGCACCTGTTATTTTTCACGCCCTATTTTTCACGACAAAAACAGAGCCAACGATTCCGATCACCATGTTCTTTAACCAAATTTGCTACCGTAATCTCGTAATATTTTTTCCAAGATTATTAATTAACGGGCCAGAATTGTTGTTACAATCATTCAAAAATGGATTAATTTCCTGTAACTTCACAAAAAAACAACGAAAACAAAGTAATTTATTCAAATCGTTCAAACAACATTTAATTTTTCCGACTCCTTTCCTTTCTCGATATTCTTCTCGTTCCACCTTTTGTCTCCAAACTTTGAAAGCGAACCAAGTTTGTTTTGCGAAAAGGAAAAAGTAGAGAGTGAGCAAAAGTTCAGCCACAATGACAGCTAGCAATTCTGATCTCTTACTTTCCAGGAACCAATTCTTTACCGGAGCAAACTCCAAGAAAACGCGTATTTGATAGTAAGCATGTTTAATCAGATATCCGAGCATAATCTCCCAGCAATTGAAGTAGACCGCAATTGTGCATGCGAGTTGGATAATTGTCAGAGCCAATAGATTCCAGCCGAATCCGACTTGGAAAATCAAACCAGCATAGAGCCCCGTGTGAATAATCATTATACAGAGAACGATTTGTTTGAAAGTTATCACAATCTGTGGTTGCTTCTGAAACAAAAATCAATAACTATCTACATAAACTTAAAATTCTAAACTTACAATTTCAGCAACAACATCTTCGTTTTTTTCAACTTCTTGAGAGACATTTCCAACTTTGACAGCCATCTCGAAACAAATCAATAGAACTCACTAACAAATATGTAAATATTGTTGTGAATGAATAAAAAGTGCTTGGCTTGGGAGAGGTCAGTTCTCCCCCTTCTGCCGCCCACAAAGAAGATTATCAATTTTTGCGTCTGGTGATTTGCACCCATAAAAAAAGACACCCGAGCAGACAAATATGGAGCCAATGATAACATGTTCATTACAATATTGTTCTTTTGACCTTCATAAAAATTTAGAACATCTATAAAAAATAAGGAACAATGTTGTTTTTCAAATTTTCAAGAGGAAGTTGTTCTCAAACTACAGTAATCCTTGAAAATAGATCTCATAAAATTAGATAATATTACTGTAGATTTCTTCAACCAAAAGTTTAGAAAAAAATGAATCTAGTATGTACTACGAAATCTGGGAAAATTGTAGAACTGATCGAAAACTGACTAAAAATAAAAAAGTTTTCAAAATTAAAAAAAAAAATTGCCCCATTTATTTTTTTAATCAATATCTTGACAAATTCCAAAAACCGAAACACCTTCCTAAAATCCTCGGATAATCCAAAAGCATCAACAAATTTTGCTCCAATTTTCCATTATTTTTTTTAGTTCGAGATGGGTGTTTGTATAGTGAGTTTTTCAATTTTTGTTGTTATTTTTAAAGTTCTCAAAATTTCTAGAGTCAAGAATCCACGTGTGTAAATGTGCACAATATTGAGACAAATAATGATCTTGTAAATTACTCAAAAGCTGAAGAAAGACCTCCAATGACTGTTGAACATCAAACATATGATTATAAACAAGCTGAAGAAGAACAATCTGATGAATTTCATGCAATAATTTGTTGTCCACATTCAATCGGATATCAACCAGATAAATTAGCACTTATTGATTTGGACCCAACAAGTGAAACTTATTGCCAAATAATCTCAGAATTAACATTTACTTCAAATCGAGATGAACCTGGAAGAATGAATTGGGCTAAATCAGCTGAATATTTCAGTGAAATGAGTAATATAAAACGAAGTCATTTGATTGTTCCTTGCATGAATACTAACAAAATTTATATTGTTCTTTTTGATAGAGAAAATTTGAAACTTCGATTGGAAAAAGAGATCAAAGGAGATGTTCTTCTCAAGAAAGATATATCCTGCCCATATGCTGTTCATTCATTACCACTCAAAGGTGCACCAGTTCATATTTCAACGTTAGGAGATAAACATGGCCACGGGAAAGGTTTGCGACAGAGATATTTTATAACCTTTTCACCTATGAAATTTTCCAGGAGACTATATTTTGTTGGATCGTCGAACTTGGGAACTGCGTCAGAAAAGCGAGCCGACATTTGCCAATTTTGGCGGCGAGTTTTCTTTGCAGCCACGTCACAACATTCTCATTTCTTGCGAATGGGGACAGCCGCGTTTATTCCGCAATGGCTTCACTACCGATGATTTGGAAAATGTTACCGAGAGTTTCGGATCGAGTTTGCATATTTGGCAAATTTCGCCACCAAAAATGCTGCAGACATTGACTTTGAATCCCTATGATGGGTGTTTGATTAGCACGGTTAGGTGAGTGAGAAATGACGAAATGAAAAATTTTGGGAATAAATTTATTTATAGTCGAAGAAGTGGGATACGAAACGTTTTTTTTTTGAAAATGAAAATTTATTTTCGGAGAGTATTTATAAAACTATCAGGAAAATTTTTAATTGTAAAAATTCAGAAAAATCAAAAAAAAAATTAAACTTAAATTCTTATAGATTTATGCACAATTCCGACTGCAATCACGCTTTCGCTTGCTCCGCAATTGGTGGAACAATTTTCCATATTCACATGAATACATTGACCCAAATTTGGACCGCGGATAAAGTTGCATCGATTCCCTCACTAAAGGTTTCGCTATTTTCAACTAGCTTAATTTGAATTTTAAAAAATTATCCATGATAATTATGTTTTCCAGGTTGATGATTGGCAAAGTAGTGAAATGCCAGCTTTACTGACTGATATGGTTTTATCAATGGATGATCGATGGATGTATATTTGTGGATTTTTGCATGGAGTTGTTTGGAAATTTGATATTCAAGATCCATTTAGGGTTTCACTTTTTGGCAAGGTTTGTGACTAGAGCTCACTATTTTCTGATAGTTATTATTTCAGATAAATCTTGGAGGAATTATGGAAAGTTTTCCTGAAGTTAGCATTCGAAAGGGGAATGCGATGGTGACTTTTTTTGTAGTAATGACAATTTGTTTTTTGGAATGTTTGTTTTCAGGAAAATCGATGGTGGCTGCCACCTGAAGTTCGAAGTTATCCACGCGGTGTTCGTTATCGTGGCGGCCCGGCAATCATGCAATTGTCAAAAGATGGAAATCGTTTGTACATAAGCAATTCATTTTATAAAGCGTGGGATGCACAATTTTATCCGGAGCTTATTTCGTTAGTTGTTCTTGCACTTTTTCCTCTTTGTCCAAATTTTTTTTAGTTCCTCCCTCTGAAAATCTCAAATTTTTTCCAGCGATGGTGGGCAAATGGTCCGTGTTGATATGCTAGAAAATGATGAGATGAAACTCAATGAGAACTTTTTGATTGATATGAAAGATCAGACAAATAATAAGAATGGATCTTTTGTTATTCGAGATATTCGATTGGTTGATGGAGATTGTACAAGTGATTCTTTTTTGTAACAGGAAATTATGAAAATTTGAAATTACTTATTTTTGGTACATTTTTTGCTAATTTGCAGGCGGAAATTGAAGGAATAGGATTTTTCAGATTTTAATTGGATTGTGGGGTGAAAATTGTGAGTTTTGCGAAGAAAAATAGTGCATCGAAGAACATTTGAAAAATAGTTGGATTTTGGAAAGATAGATTTTATTGGTAAAATTTTGGATGAATAATTTTCGGATTCGCAGTTCAGAAAAAGGAAACGAGATTCTAGTTTCAACAAATTGTCTATGGAAATTATAAAATACAAAACATGTAGAATTCCAAACTAAAATTTCCAATGAAAATCTAGATAGACAAGGTTCAATGCTTCAAACCAAAAAAGGTTCTGATATTGAGATCAATTGATTTCAATATCAGGTAAGTGCGTCAGACATTTCAGTTCTTTGAAAAAATTACACCTGCTCCATAAATTTCATTTCTATTTCATTATATTTTTTGGATCAAAAACAATGATAGATTTTTATGCTCCAAATTATCTCATAAACTATTACCATATTCTGGGTATTTTCTCAATTATTTTCAATTCTTATGGTTTTTATTTTTGGTCATTTTCAAAAATCCAAAAATCGATAGTTATCGATATTATTTGCTCAGTTTTCAGGCTCTTTGCACATTTTCAGACATTTTATTGACTTTTGGAATTCAACCAGTATTTTTATTTCCAATTATTGGTGGATTTTGTAATGGTTTTTTATCAAAAGTTTTCAATTTATCCTCATTATTTTTGTCGGTGAGTTTGTTATCAGAAAAAATCAAGGTTCCAAAAATGTTTTCCATTATTTTTGTCTCTAGGGTTTTATGATGTCTTCTGTGGCCTCCCAAAATAAAGCTCTAAACATGTGTTTCATTCGAAGACATCAAGCAATTTCCAAAATAAGCAGAACTCAACAAATCCATAAACATTGTTATAAATTAATTATTGTTGTATTTATAATCTACCCATTCTCATTATTTTCGTTCTTTTATTATATTGGATCATCGAAAAATGAACAACTTGATTATATATCAATAAAATATCCAGAATATCTTCACGATTTTCTGAATCTTCGAGAATTTTTTGTTGGAATTCCAAATGCAAAAATATTTGCATTTTTTGTTATAATTCTATCATCTGAAGCAATGGCTGTAAATATATCAATATATACAACAATTCAAATGTTTCGATTACTTCGAGAATATCGACATTGTTTATCAAATGATAATTATAATAAACATCGAAATGCGATTAAAAGTCTATTAGCACAATTGTGTGTTTCATTTATGACTGGTTTACCGCCAATTGAAATAACAGTTAATTATTTTTCAAACTTTTCAACAAAATGCTCAACTATTTTCGCATATTAGTTTAATGGTTTATGCAACACATTCTGTTATTAATATTATTGTTTGTGTTTTCAGTTTTCCTGCTTATCGTAAATTTACATTGGGATTGTTCAGAAGAAAATCTGATGTATTTCAAACTAATCTCAGAATTTCGGTTTTATGAAAAACTTTGCACTATGTTTAGTAATTATGTTTTTGTATTGGAGGCCTGGAAAATTACAGCTGGCCTGCTTTATCTGCACAATTTTCGCAGTCTGGGCAAACCCAAAGTAGAATAAAAAATTTTTTAAATTTGTGCAAAAAAATATTCTACAGTCGTGCTGTTGCGACATACAACAATGATAATCTTCCAGTTCAAACACCAAAAATTTACTTGGGACCACAGTAACTATAATATAAATCTAGCTCTACAGAAAAACAAATTAAGTTTCTAAATTTTTTATTTTCCATCACACCTATGTATCTAACTTATTATTTATCTCCAACTGAACCCCCTCCCTTTATCTCTATCTCCAAAAAATTCTCAAGTTCACCCCCCCCATTTTCTTTCTTCATTTTTTCCCTTAAGCTCTTCATCATCGTCATCACCATCTTCATAATCGAAGAAAAAAGTTGTCGAATTAAAGTGTTCTTTCTTTCGGCACTCACTTCCCATTATTATTAAGCCCCGCCCAATTGTCTTTTCATATATATTCGTTTTTCAAACATCCTCTACTTTTCCTACCAACAAAATTCATTTCTTGTGAGAAAAAAAGAGAAATGCGAAGAAAAAGATACATATTTCTATCACTTTTCCTTGTATTTGTTTTGTGAGTTTTTTTTTGTGTGGCTGTTAGACAAAATTGATATCTTTTAAGTGTTAACACAGAAAGAAAAGACCAGATTTTTGTTGTTTTTGGAACTATCAGCTAATTTTAAATATAAACAATTGTTACCAAGTTTCCAAAAAAAAAACAAAGAAAATTCTAAGTTATCCAAAAATCACGTTTTCAAACATTATTTATGCAAATGTTTTATTTTCACACGAGTGCAAAAGAAACTTTAATGCATCAAAAATCCGTGGAAAAAAACAAAGAGAAATTTGATTTTTGTTCCAACATAATTGGTTTTCCAATTTTTTCAGAACAGAATGTAAACCACCAAAAAGTTTGAATCGGATGAGAAATAAAGGAACTTATCAGGCAAATAGTTTGGGCGGACCTTCGATTACTAATAATGGATTGATGCTAGCGGTAAGATTTCGGGGAAATATTATGTATTCTGAAACTAAAAAGCTTATTTCAGAAATATTTTCCTAATTTTTATAGGTTTGGAGAAAACATTGCCACGTCATAATTTCGTTCAGTGAAAATAAAAAATATTCAAAACAGCAATTATCAATGTTCTTTTCTTAAAACTAATGTAAGCAGTTTTGATTTAGAAAAGATTCTGAGAAATGGTTTGAAGTTACCTTGAGAAAAAATTTAAATTTCTGATGGACTGAATATTTTCAGAGTTTTTATCCTTGACAGTAATTCCAGAGCTTTTAAAAAAATTAGCTTACAGTAGTTTTTTGGCACTTTATTTTGATCTACCATTTAGAATTCAAAAAAAAAAACGGACATGATTTTTTTTAAAGATTTTTCATTCAGAAAATGTTATCCTACATATTTCCCCCCTTTTAAAATCTGAACGCCAAAGATTTTCAGTCAAATTGAATTCTCAAGTGCACACATCTTCAGATTCTTCTTTAAATATATTTGTCCTCAAGTTCAAAAAATTCTCAATATTTTTGCCGCCTTTCAAGAGACAAAACCATTCATTTATTTGTTTTCACACACACAAACATAGAAAAATGTGACATAACTGAACTTGCGTCATTTTCTTAGCCTCAGTACTCTGAATCCATTGCTGCTGTGTGATTCAAATGTTCTTGAAGTGTTCGATCACCATTTCTGAGCCAATATAGATGAATACAGCAGAATAGGAAACATACTACAAGCCACGCAAAAAATGGAATACTGAAATTGAAAAATTTGAATCTTGAAAAAATGAAGCATAAAATTAAAACATACAGAAAAAACAAAATTAGAACATTTGTTTCTTGAATTTTCATTTTCTGGAGTTTGGTTTGAAGTTTATCAAAAAAAAAATGATTTTTCATTTTGTTTGAGATGCGTCATTTTTATTTATTTTTTGTTCAGGAATCGATTGGCAGTGCTGAAAATTCGGAAGAAGTTGAGGAATATGAAAATTCTAGCTTGGAACATAATTCAACACATCTGAATCCAGCTTCAACGTCTGAAGAGAAAATCGAGGAGCCGGAAGAAGATGATTTGGAGAATATTTTGAATGGTGATCTATTTGAAACTACGCCAAGTTCTGAAAAAGAAGAAGAAGAAGAAGAGGAACCTGAAAATGAAAATGATTCAGAAATGTGAGTTACAAACATTGAAAATTGAAATTTGAAACCCTGGGAAGAATTGAATTCAAAGTTTGTTTTTTTGTTCCGAGTTTGAAAAAAAAAATTCTCGTGTTTTTTCACGAAAAAGTGAAACAAAAAAGATCAGGGGCACATTTTATTTTTAGTGGCTCATAAAATTCTTCCTCTTCAGTCTTTTCATAAATATCTTTCTAATTTCTATTTTGTGAATGAGATGAAAACAGGAAGCGGAAGGTTGTTTTGCAGAAAAATTTGAGATTGAGATAAATCTCGGATTTTTTGGCAGAAAGAAATTTGATATCTGGAAAACTTTGAACTGTCTGAAAATGAATATTCTGAGATTTTTTTGACTGTTCAAATGAGTTCTCAAAAGTTCTAGATTTTGATGAGGCTAATTTGGGAAACGACTTATACTTTTCAAAATACTATGAAACTTCAGAAATGTTTACTTCAAAAATTTCTTCATTTTCAAACATTTTGAATTTCAGAATCAGTGAAGCTTCGGTTGAAATTATACGTTTCCAAGAAATTTTGCAAGTCAAAACAATATGAGTTTCAATTTTTCAAGAAAAAAAATCCAGAAGAAAATTTTTAAAGTGTAAAAAGGGCTTTTGATTTTTTTCTGAAAAAATTAATCTTCTGGAACATCTGGAAAACTGAATCGTGGCTTCTAGCAGTGAAAATTGTATTCTAGATTTTTTTCTGAACTTCAAAGTTAATCGCGCCTCTGGCAAACATCAACACCTTGAGATATTCTATACCAAGTTAAAGAAAGCTATTTTTATTTTCAAAATTGCCTTATCTTTGTTTACCTGCTGAAAAATTGTCTATAGTTAATTTCCTAACTATTTCCGAAAAAGATGCCCTGAACAAAAATATTTTTTTTTTCAGAGATACTGTAATTCCAGTTTTCCTATCTGAATTTTTTCGAAGATCGCAATAAAATAAATCAAAATTTCAAATTGCGTTTTCTATTTCTCCTTCTTTTTCCATTCTCTAACCCCAAAAACTATCATTTCATATTAACAACAAAATGATAACAAAATGATTCTTTGTGTTTTTTCCTTTTTTTCCGATTCTCAATTTTTTCCTTCATTTAGTCACATTTTTTGGCGCACTTAGTCGAGCCAAAAGATTTTTTCTCAATATTATTATTAAAAAACGCTTCTTTCTTTTTGCTCTTTTGTGCTGTTATTATTTTTTGTCGTTGCGCTTTTTTTCTTTTTTCGACTTGGTCTGAGTTTTGGTTTTTCTAGTTTGGAAAAGTTGAGAAGCTAGGACAAAAAAGTTTAATTTGTTTCTTTTTATATTTATTACTTTGAAATGCGAGGGAGTAAAAGAAAAAGGAGAAGAAAGATCTGAGTTTGAGATATTCTCGGAAAAATATATTTGGATTTTTTGTGGACTTTTTTGGGAAACAAACATTTTTGAAAATTTTTGACCAAAAATCACTCCAAGAAAAATTCCAAATTTTGTTTTACTGGTCCGGATAATTCAGGAAAAATCGGATTTTTATTTTTTTCGGGAAAAATCTAAAGTAATCCAATTTTTTTAGGTCCGCTTTTGAATAATTCCGAAAAATTAGTGTTCCATTTTGTTTTATTTTTAGGCTGAATACAATAATCTAAAAACTCCAGAACCTATGAAAATCTTGCCAAAAAATCCAAACAAAATCTCATAAATCCTTCCAAAACCACATAATTTTCCAATTTCCTTCTTCATTTTTTCTTGTGCTGCCTCCCAAAACTCTTGCTTGTCCCATCAACTTGTGAACAAGCTGTGATTTTTTGTTGTATTATTGTTTACTCATCCATCGACAGCCAAGCTTACACAAAACTTATAACTTTTCATAGAATTTTGTGCCCGCAGGCAAAAATGAATTGTTTTTTCTTTTCTTTTTTTTCCAGTTCTCATAAAAAATCAAAAAACAGGAAAAGGAAAGAAGTTCATTGTGCCTGCGGCTAGAATATTCCGATGAATTGTAAATATTTATTTTATTATCCTCTCCTTTCCTCACAGCTTCTTTTTTAATGTTTATATAGATTGAATTTTTGCACTTCCAGATTCAAACCAAACCAACAAAATCATTTTTCCTGCTTCCACATTTCTTTTTTTTTTGAGTTGGTCCAAAAACAGACAGAGCACTAAATGAATTAGTGACTTGATTTGGACAAGAAGCAGAAGCAGCAACAAAAATTTGTCACTTTTTCGCGCGAAAAATATGTTGTATAATATTGTTCTATGTCTAATTTTCATCAATTTTGTGTCGGGACTGAGGTAACATTTGTTCTTATATGTCTTTAGGAGTAGGGGAAGTTTCAAGTGGGATAGATAGATAAATAATGAGTTGGATATTTAATTAATGAGGGAGGCAAGGAAAATTGATGAGATTTACAGGTCGAGTGATTTGAGTCCAAGTGAAATGAGCGAGGGAACAACAACGTTGGAGAGTATTTCGAGAATGACAGCGACGGTGAGAAATATGGGCATTTTTTTAAAAAGTGAAAAACGTGAACTCGAAATTTTGAAATTTCATTTTTCAAATTTTTTTAAAGACAAGCATTTCGTGTTTTCGAAATATTGTGAATCCGAAAATATAAAAGTCGTGGAAGAGTAAATCAATCAACCAAGTTCTACTAATTTCCAGCCTCATATCCCAATCGAACAACCTCAAACATCAGACACTGAAATTCTCGAACGCCTTCTCAAACAAGGTGTTTATGATTGGCGTGTTCGTCCACCTGGTGAAAATGGCACACTGAATGGTGGTCCAGTTAATGTACATGTAAATATGCTTCTTCGAAGTATTTCCAAAATCGATAATGTCAATATGGAATATTCAGTTCAATTGACATTCCGTGAAAGTTGGAAAGACAAGCGATTGAGTTATGGAATTGATGGCGATACAAATCCAGCATTTCTCATTTTAACAGCTGGGCAACAAATTTGGATGCCTGATTCATTTTTTCAAAATGAGAAACAGGCTTATCGACATATGATTGATAAACCAAATGTGCTTATTCGAGTACACAAAGATGGCACAATATTATATTCTGTGCGTATTTCATTAGTTCTTTCATGTCCAATGCATCTTCGATATTATCCAATGGATGTTCAACATTGTTTAATTGATTTAGCATCATATGCTTATACAACAGATGATATCGAATACTTTTGGAAAGTTGAAGCTCCAGTCCAATTAAAACCCGGACTATCAAATTCATTACCAAGTTTTCAATTAACAAATGTTTCAACGGGTTACTGTACCAGTAAAACAAATACCGGCGTTTATTCATGTCTTCGAACAACTCTTCGTTTCCGCCGACAATTTAGTTTCTACCTCTTACAATTGTATATTCCTTCTTGTATGCTGGTTATTGTTTCATGGGTATCATTTTGGATTGATAGAACAGCAGTTCCTGCTCGTGTTACTTTGGGAGTCACAACTCTTCTCACAATGACAACACAATCATCTGGTATGAATGCTAAACTTCCACCAGTTGCTTATATTAAAGCAATCGATGTTTGGATTGGTGCATGTATGACGTTTATTTTCTGTGCGTTACTGGAATTCGCTTGGGTAACTTATATTGCGAATAAACAGGACGCAAAGAAAAGTTGGTTTCTTTTTTTTTTTGAAAATATTATGTATTAGCTTCAATTTTCATTTTATTCAGAAGCACGTCTGGATCGTGAGAAAGCGGAAGTCCCATTTATGCCTCCAGCACATAACGATGTATGCAAAAACTTCTTCTTTATTTAAAATAGAGAAAATTTGCAGGTTTGGGTTCCGCGAGAAGTTGCAGAACAAGAGAGGGAAGTTATGACAGTTAGGTTAAATCGAAGGCAGCGAATGGGAATTTGGAGGTGGATTCGGACGAAAACAGAATGGGATGATAAAGCAAAGCGGGCGGATTTAGTATCAAGTTAGTTTTTCGGTCTTAGAAAAAGCTTTACTTGATTTTCTTACAGGAATAATGTTCCCAGTGCTATTTCTGACATTTAATATCAGTTATTGGACACATTATGGGCAATATGGAATCGATATCGAGCAATTCTAATTGATCCTATTTGATTTTGTTCCTCACAATTTTTACTTACTTACTTACTTATACATTTCTCTTTTCATAATAACTTTTGACCGGTGATCTTATGATTTTTATAATAATAATAATGATGTTGATGATGATGATAAAAAAATGAAACACAACGTAACAAAATAAATGAATTACCCTCATTGTTTGGCTTTTGCTTCGGCCAATTCTTTCCTACACGAATCGGCTAATAGTTGAGTATCGACTTGGTCGCCTGGAAGTTGAACATATCGCACGACTGAACCGCGCACGAAACAATTTTTGACTGAAAGCATATGTGGGAATCTTTTCTGGATCGGAAACTGAAATATCTATCAGCTTCATGTTGAGGTATTGATCAACCGAGTGCAATGTTCCGCAGATACTGAAAATTGTGTTTTAGAGAAAAATGGAATTTTGATTTGAAATTGTTTCTTACCTGAGATCGTTTTTGAGTTCAACAACAACATCTTTGCCTACCAATGATTTGAAGAATGAGAAGAAAAGCTGGAAAAATTATTATTTGGAAAAGTGTAACAATTTTTTCTTTTTTTTCAATCAATCTATTTTTATGGGATGATTCATGCAGAAAAATCGTTGTTTTACAGCACAATTCAATTTATGTGTTTTATGAAAAATAATCTGAATAGCGCCAAGAGATTTTCTAATTTTCGTTTCATTTTTTTTCGAATTTTTCATAATAAACAAAGACAATTTTTGGTCTAGGGAAACGACACTTTTCTGTTATTTTAGAAACTTAATTTCTGATATAAAATAGTGACTCACCATGATTTGTAACAGCAACAAAAACTAATCGAAAACGACGCCGACAAAAAATAAAATTTCAAAAATGCCCGCTAAACAACATGCAGATTCGTCATCATCCGGAGTGTCGTTGCGCACAAGATGCAAAAATATTCCGGTTTTTGTCCATCTTTTTTCTTTCGCCACCCAAAAAATCAGTGTTTGTTTGACAATTCTTGTCTTTACGCGTAATATCCTATCGGTCACTTTTGTCGTTTTGTTGTCAGGTGTTTTGCGTTTCATTGATTTTGTTCTACCAAAAACCGTTTTGATTGAAGAAAAATAGTTTATTTATTTATTTGAAATGAATTGTTTATTTATTTACAGGCAGTTGGAAATCGTCTCATGTTACGCCGATTGAAAGCACAAGTGTCGCAGGTCGCCAATGAGGTATTTATTTTTATATTTTCATTTAATTGTTTATATTATATAGTTTTTTGATTGATCAATGAATCGATTCAAACCAAAGAAGGTTAAATATAAAAATTATATATATTCGAAATAAAATACAATTTTTCAGCTGGACGGTGTGCTCAATAACAGTCGCGATTCTCGAGATTCCCAGCCAATTCAAGATGAAGAAATCGAGGGTATGATATGTCCGATTTGTATGTCCAATTTTGGAACACCTGAACAACTTTCTGCACATTTCGAAACCGCGCATGCTGAGACAAGTGTTACAAATCCGAATTATGAAGCTCCTGCTTCTGCACCTTCGCCAAGCGCTTTTTCTACCAAAGATCAGGAAATTGAAGAGCTCCGAACACAAGTGAAAGAAGAAAAACGGTTCGCTGAGCGACTCAAAGAAGAACTCCATAATATTCAAAGTGTGATAGCGCAAGCATCCGATGTTCCAGAAGGAGAAGTGCCATATCTTATGCAACAAATTCAAGTGCTCACAGCCGATAAAGCAATGAGTAAGTAACTTACTCGGGAAAAAAGTAGCAAGACTTTTTGACTTTTAGCCAGCTTGCGACCATTTTTAGCCAGCTTGCGACCATTTTTAGCAAGCTTGCTACAATTTTTATAATGGGAAAAAATGTAGCAAGCTTGTTAAAAATGGTCGCAAGCTGGCTAAAAGTCTATTTTTTCGCCAGACTTGCTACTTTTTCTCCGAGTACGTTTGTTTTATGTTAACTGAAAATAAAATGACTGAACACAAAATTTTAAAATAGTGTACACGTGTCCATACGTTAAAAGTGTATTCAATTTTTGACCATTTCTAGTTTTTGCCAGCCTAATGAAAAAAACAACTTTCCAGTTATCAAACAATTTTTGGAAATCGAAAAGGAGAGTGGCCAACAAAAACGACAACTTGAGCAGGTTCAAGGAGAACGCAAAGATTTGATGGGGAAATTAAAGCAGATGAGTGGTCAATTGAGAGAACTCACTGATTCTTCAGAAGCTTTCAAAATTGAGAAGGAAAATCTGGCAAGAGAGTTGAAGACGGCGAATTCGGATATACGAAAATATGAGACGGAAGTTACACGGCTTGAGAAAATGTTGGATATGCGACCGTCGGATGATGATGTCAATGTTCTTAGGACTGAATTAGTGAATGCGCAGAAATTGATGGATGAAATTTCACAACAGAAAGATATTGAGATGAAGGAGCAGATCTCAGCGATTAGGAATTTGAGTATGGAAAGAGAGAAGTGAGTTTGGTTTTTTGTGATGGAAAATTGGGACAGAACCAGCTGAAAAATAGGCTCATGAAAAACCAAAAACAAAAACTAGTTTTAAAATCGAAAGTTTCCGAAAAATTTGCATGTGAATTTGTAATTTTTCAAAATTTTTTGATTATTTGGTGTACTAAAGGTTTTCAGAAAAATCCATATGGTTCTAGAAAACAAATTATTCAAATTTAGGAAAATCCCAGTAAGAGCTGTCAAGTAAGTGTTGTGATGTGCTAGCTTCAAATTTTCAAATATTGTCAATTCGATTTTTAGACTTTTGGAAGAGAATATGGCCTAGAACATTAAAAATGTACATTTTTAGTACAATGCTCTAAAAATTTCGAATTGATAATATTTTATTTTCCAAAAATAAAATAAAATTTAAATTTAGACCAAGTAAAATACCGGTTAAGTAAGTTCACGCTTTCTTTTCTTTTCTCACATTTTCGAGTGCTCCATCTCGCTCCTCCCAACAAAAAGGGTTTTTTTCCAGACAACATTTGATGATTGAAACGATGCAAAAGAAAATAGTGGATCATGAACAAGGTGCAAAAGGATCATCAGAAGATGTTGATAGATTAACACTTGAAATATCTGATTTACATGATAAGATCGAGGAACTTCAAAAAGTTAATGAAACTTCGAACTCGGAGCTGAAATTGAAAGAAGAGAGAATTTTGGAATTGCAGAGGAGAATTGATGAAAATATTGAGGAATTAACGAAATGTAAGGAGAATGTGAAATTGCTTGAAGAAAAAGTAAAGACTTCTGAAAATTCGATTAGTGATGCAAAATTATCAAATGAGAATAATGAATCGAAATTGACGAGTTTGCAACAGAAATTGGAATCATTGATTGAAGAAAAACGACGATTTGAGAGCGAAGTCAGTGGATTTGAAGAGAAATCTGTGAAAACAGCTGAAAATATCAAAAGTGTAAGTGATTTTCTTATTTATTTTACATGAAATTCTATTATTTTCAAACATTTAGCTTGAAATGGCGAATATGGATTTGACAAATGAATTAACATCAGTTGGCTCTTTGCTCGATCACGAGAGACAATTATTGGCTGCCAAAAATTCTGAGATTTCACAAAAGGATGAAACTATAAGACAAGTTAAAGAATCTGTGGCTGAAAGTGAGGGAAGAATTCAGAAACTCACAAATGATTTAGAGAATTCGAGAGTTCTTATTGAAAATTTGACATCGAAGTTGACAACTTTGGAAGAGAATTCGAAAGATCTCAAGGAAAAGATTAGTCAAGGAGAAGGTGGAGCGAAAATGGCAATTGAGCAATTGGAGCAAGAAAAAGTGAAGTTAAAAGAAGAAATTGAGAAAGAAAGTGAGAAATTCAAAAAGGAGATTGATGAACGACAAAAAAGAATTGACGAATTGGAAAAAATAAGAAGAGATGAAGAAGGAATAAAAACTGAAAAAGAGCAAAAATGGAAGGAAAAAGAAGAAGAATTTGTGAGAAGAATTAAAGAATCGGATGATGAAATTAAGCGGAAAAATGAGAAATTTATTGAAATGGAGAAAGAAATTGAGGAAGAACGACAAAAAGCGACTGAAAGATTGATGAAAATGAAAGAATTTATTGGACAAAAAGAGAAGAATATTGAAGAATTGAGGAAAGAAATTGGTGATTTGAATGAATCGATGAATGAAAGAGAAAGAATTGTGAGGGAAAAAGATGGACATTTGGAGGAAAATCGGAAGAGAATTGAAGATGCTATTGAGAAATTGAATGAGGCTGAAAAACGGGCCAGAGAATTGGTGAGATTTTCGGATAAATTTGAGGAAAACATTTGTATTTTCCACTATAATTTCATTTTGATATAAAAAAATCTAAACTTCAAAAAGTTCTATTTCATTCTATCTCATTTTCTCCCCCAGACTTTCCACTTTTTTCTAAAAAATTTCAATTCAATATATTTTTCCAGGAATCAAAAGTTGCAAACCGTGATGATTTGGTTACTGGAAAAGAAAAGGAACTCGCCGAATTGTCTTCAAAATTAACCGAATCCGAAAGTTTTATAGAACAACTCAAGATCCAAGTTGAAAAGGTGCGTTTTTTATTGAGCATTTGTTTTGCAACCGAAACACACAATTTTTCCTTGCGTTTTTCTTTCCACGCTTTTTATTTCAATTAGTTAGAAAACTTTATAATTATTTACTTAACATTTACCAGATTCTCTCGAGAAACCCTTTAATTCATTAATAGTTTGGTCTGGCTTACACTAACCGCTTTTACCTTTTAAAATCACGAACATCCATCTATTTGTCGCCTTTTTAGTATGTTGTTCAGGTATCTGGCGAGATGAAAGACAAGGAAATTGAAATTGAAAATTTGAACAAAGAGATTGCGGATACGGCGAATCATTGGAAAACGAAAAAAGAAGAATATGAACAGCATATTTTGAGGAATCAAGAGGAAAATGAGGAATCGACTAATTCATTGAAAAGTTTACAAGAGGAATTGAGAAACGAAAAAGAGAGTGCGAATGAAAATAGAGCACAATTGCTAAAAATACAAGGAGAATTAGATGAACAAATTGGAGAGAATGAGAAATTGACTAGAAAATTGGAAGAAATTGAAGAGGAATTGAAAAATGTGAAAATAACTGGAAATAGCAAGGAAAATGAGAAAGAAGAATTGAGAAAATCATACGAGAATTTGCAAAATGAAAAAGAAAAATTGGATGAGAAAATTGAGAAACTTGAAGAAAATGTGAAATTAATAAGTGAAAAATCGATTGATGATTTGAATAAATTGGAAGAAGAAAAGGCTGAGATTCTGAAGACTATTGAGGAGAATATTTCCACGATTCAGAATTTGACCCTGCAAAATGATCAGAAAGAACAGGTTGGTTGGTTGGACTATTGAGTTATGACGTGGCAAATTTGGGGCTTTATTAGGCAAAATTTCTGTTATCATTTTTTTCCTAAATTTGCCACGTCACTGATGTAAATTACTGAAAAAATAGTTCAACTAGAATTTTCCAGACGATTTCAAATCTCAACGAAAAAGTTCGACAAACTTTGGAAGATTTATCAGCCAAGGATACTCTTATTGATGGTTTCAATTCTAGAATCGTAAGTTACTTTTTTACACGTTTCCCTTTAAACCTCCAAAGTTTCAGGGTGAATTCGAGAAAACAGTCGCGAATTCGATGAGAAAAATTGAAGAACTTGAAGCTGAGAAAAATGAAGAAGCTGAAAAAGTTGTGAAAATCACATTGAGAGCTGACGAACTTCAGAAAACATCGAATGAATTGGAAGGATTGAGAAAAGAAATTGAGGAAAAAACAGATTTGTTGGAAAAATCGAAACAAAAGCACAGTCAATTTGAGACAATGTTTGGGGAAGTTCAAACTGCTCTTCAAAAAGAAATCACGGAGAAAACTGAGGAAATTGAGAAATTACATGAGAAATTATCGAAAAATCAAGAGGATTTGGAAAAGAAAACGAGCGAATTTGAAGGGAAATTGGCGTCGAAAGAAAGAGTTATTGATTCGTTGGAAGAGGATTTGAGAGAATTGAAATTGTCAGCAAATGAATCGGAAAAAGCTGTGGAAGAAATTGCGAAGAAAATGCAAGAACTTCAAATACAACAAAATGGTTGGCAAGAAGAGAAAGATGCGTTGATTGAGAGATGTTTGAATGGTGAAAGTGATTTGGATTTTGAAAGAGATCGAGCTATGGAAAATAAACGACGATTTGATGATGCACTATCTGCGATGCATGAATTGGGAAGAGCAAATCAATCATTGCAGGTGACTTGGGCTCGAATTTTCTGCAAAAGACCATTTTTCGATTAAAAAATGTTCCGTATTTTTTTACGTTTCAGAAATAATTTATCAAAAATTTTTGAACACAATTTTCTGATTATTTGAACATATTCGTTACCAAATTTTGATGATAATTTTGAAAAACACTGTTCAAAAACTTTTCTTTACATCTTCACTCCTAGAAAAAATTTTGAATCCAAAAATCCTCGAAAAACTTACACATACCACATTCAGAACCTGAAAATGCAGGTCGAAATTTTTTCCACTGGCCAAAATTCAGAGCGAAATTTTTTAAAACTGTTCTTTTCCCCTCATTTTTAGACGAAATCAGGGCAAAATTTTTCTGTATCAGATTTCGGAACGAGGTATGAGCTTACAGTAGAAAAAAACATGAAAAAAATATTCCCAAATTTTTTACGTTTCAGAAATTAGTTATCGAACATTTTTGATTGAATTTTCTGCTTATTTGAACATATATTTCAAACTACAAAATTTTGAGGATTAAAGAAAAACACTGTTCAAAAGCTTTTCTATACAATTTCTAGAAAAAATTTTGAACGAAAAATTTTAAATCCAAAAATCCTCGAAAAGGTAAAATTAGAATAAACTCGAAAAAAAATATTCCCAAATTTTTTACGTTTCAGAAATTAGTCATCAAACATTTTTGACTGCATTTTTTGATTACTTAAACATATAGCTTAGTTAAAAAAAACTGCGAGAATTTTTAATTCCACTCGTGATAAATTTCAAACAAAAATATTGAATTCAGAAATCCTGGAACACTGCCCAACTTTAAATTCTTAACAAATTTCAAATTTCAGATGGACATGGACCGAGTGACAAATCGAAAATGGCTCGACGACTCAGCGGCCGTCAATTGCACAGATTGTGGAAAAGTGTTCACATTAACTGTCAGGTAAATATACTTTTCTCAGAATTTCTTCTTCCTCCTCTCATTTACTGTAAATTCCGAAACCGTTTCACTTTCAACCCAATCAGCCTCATAAAAACCTCGTTAAAGTAATATAAGTATTCCCAAAAAAAAACCAGCCGAACTTTTTTCTCGATTTTTGCAACAAATTGTCATGACCTTAATCTATTTTTTTTTGTTTTTCTAGCAAGCGTAAAATGAGATAAAGAAATAAGATAAGTGATAAGTTATGACGTGGAAGGTTTGATGGAAAACTTTGTTGATGATCTTTTTTGTCTAGGGGAATTTTATTTTACAGAAAACATCATTGCCGAGTTTGCGGTCTGATTTATTGCAATCCCTGCAGCTCAAAAACAGTCAGAATTCCAAGTGCCAAAAATCCGGTGCGAGCTTGTAATCATTGCTACACTGAACAAGAAAATCGATGAAATATACGTGTGTCCCTTTAAAATATCAGTTTTTTTGTATGTTTGTAAATAGTTGCAAAAATTTCTAATCACTCACTCATAAATTATTTATTTATTAATTTATTATTAATATATCTATCCCAAAAGCTACTTATCAGTCAATCATATATATTTTTTACAAATATTTTTCCCGCCCCCTTTTTCTTCTTCTTTTTTGACTGAAGACGATCAAGGACGAATAAAATAAATACAGTTTTTTTCAGTCGGTTTTTGTTTTTCACATTTTTTTTTGAAAAAAAAATTCGAAGCATGTTTTGTTCAATGCGGAATTTTGTACTTTTGCTAGCGACGACATTTTTTGTTAATGGATGTGTTTATAAAGGAAACAAGTATCAGGATAAGGAAACTTGGGTGGGTTTTTTTGGGGGGGGAGTTATAGTACTGTAGGTTGAGGAGATGTGTGTAAACACCGGGCGCAAAAATGTATAATTTTTTGAAGTCGATAAAAAAACTCGATTTTGGGCGATAAAAATCCACAGTCCCGTAGGTATACAACGAAATCTGATCACTAAAAATTTTGTCACGTTTTTATTTCAAATTTTCACGTGAATTTTTTTTTTTCATTTCTCAAATTTAGAGAAATTTTTTTGAGACAATGGTCCAAATTAATTTATTCCGTGAGATAACGGGGAGCAAAAAACTTTCAGCACCAAATTGACTGCAAAACTTGTTTTTTTACTGGAATTCATCCATTTACAGAAGATTTAGTAACTGTTTGAGACGTTTTCAGATCCAGAAATCTAAAAATTTTCAAAAAATTTCAGAAAACTTTCGAAAATTCTGATTATTTGTGAGACTTTGGGAACATTTTCACAAAATTGGATTATGAAGATTTCACCAAGAAAAATCACTTTCCTGATTTTCCGGGCACAATTTCCGGATAATCGGAAAATTTTCCGTGAAAAACTGGAGAATTTCCGTCACAGGTCTACTCAAAAAGAAAAATTACTATTGCTAAAAATCACTACAGTAGGTACCAATAATATAGTGAAAATCAAAATCAAACAAAGCAAAAAAAATTCATTTTCAAGAAAAAACACTTCAAAATATCTTCGTTAATCCCGAAATTTCGTTGAAAATCTTCATTATTGAAACGTCAGCTTCACAAAATCATTCGATCGGTTTTTCGATGATAATAGTCGTAAATTGGCCGACTCAATTTTTCTGAAGCCAGCTATAAAAAATTCAAAATTAGAACTGGCTAGAGGAATTTATTATTTACCGTAGATTCAATTGAGGCGAAACATTCGATCAGCGCGTAATGGTTTACTGTAGAAGAAAAATCTGAAAACAAAAACATTTTTTCAATTTTTGATGTTCTGCTCACTCACCATTTTCCGGACGCAAAAAATTATCAATGACTGGACAAAATCCAGAAAAACAAGCAAAGGCCGCCACGTATTTTCTGACAAAAGAGACGTGGCAAGATTTTTATCTCGTTGAAAAACAAAACAAAACAAAAATAAAAAACTGAAAAAAAAAAATTTTAACGTGACACAAAAAATTGATCAGATTTCGTTGTACAAATACTGTTATATTAAAAATCCACCTTTTTTCAAATCTAGAAATTAAATCTGAAAAAATTCTGAAAGTCTAATGTCGCCGAAATTTTGAATATACTTTTTTGGCGGGAAAAATCCACGTGGCAATAAAAGGAGTACTGTAAATTTAAAAAAAAAACCGTTTTTGATTTCTAGGAACACTTTTGTAAGTAGATCAGAAATTGCCAAGTTTTTGAAAAGTCCACGTGGCATCCCTGAAATTATTCATTCTACATTTTTAAAATGACTAATAAAAAAAACACATAGTTATTCTATATTGGTACCAGACCAGAATTCTTGCAATTTGTCATTTTTCCACAAAGTATCTCGTCATCATAAATCAATCAATAAATATTTTCTCTGATGTCAGAAGTTCAAAAAACCACTAATTTCTATTCTATTTTTGCAGATAGTTCGTTCAACTTTCATCCTTAGATGCGATATCAATAAAACCGGATGGAAAACAACAGTTGTCGGATGTCGAACTGATCAAGGTGTACAAGTTTTACCCGGTCAAACTGTTCATGAAAAAGATACGGTTAGCAATTTTTAAAAATTGTTTCTTTTTTCTTTTTTTTTATCATTACGGTTTTGGTTGGTCAATTAGATAAGGTTTGAAAATTAAATAATGATTGATGAGTTTAACTAACAAATTCCATTTCTTATTTATATAATAATTCTTGATCAATTGTTTTTTTTTAGAAATACGAATGTTTGAAAGATCGTGATGGAACCGTTGAAATTCGTCGAACTTTGAACATCAAACGAACTCGGGATTGTGGAGATCATACAGTTGGCGATTCATGGGTTTATGAGAAGAATTTCTTGGCAAAATGTACTGAGAAAGGAGTTCAGGTTTTGGATTGTATTTCGGATGCTGGAATCACTATTCCTTTGAATGGATCATTGGTTTTGAGTGGGGTTAAATACAAGTAAGCAATATCCAAGCAAAATTCGAAACAAAACTTAAATGAACAATTTTCAGCTGCATTCTTGACAAAAATGGGAAAAATCTCAATTCATCGAGATGTTGTAACTCAACAACTTCTTGCTCCAAGACCAACTACTGTGAGTTTTTGAATATAAATTTACCCTTCAGTTTTTCAAATTCCAGCTCTCTCCCATTGAAATCCTCGGTCCAATGTTCAAAAAATTCGGAGATATTGGCGGAGTTCTCCAACAAAAACTGGATACTGAAAAAGAAGAGGTTAGCGCATCTGAACAAATGGTCGAAGCACCCGCGCCAACTTGTGATTTTGAAGGAGAAGTTCGACGAGCTGGAGATGTGTGAGTTTAGAGTTCAGATCAAACGTTCAAAAAAATTCAGAAATTTGCAGCTGGATATCAGATGGAATTTTCACTAAAAAATGCACGGAAGATGGAGCGACTGTGATCTTAAATTGTATCGTAGATGAAAAAACGATTATTGCTGTTGACACAGAATTGACAATTGGAAAAAGAGTGAGAACTAAAAATTTAGAATAATAGAACCCGGGGCAGATCTCTTCAAAATTAAAACCACTTTTTTTGGTCTAATAGATTCAACAAAAATTGCAATTATCCAGTTAGAGAAACTCAAAAATATATATTTCAGACCTATAAATGCTACCGTAAACCGCAAGAAAGTCGAGTTTATTACGAAGTCCGAATCAACTAATAAATGACCGAAAATCATAATTTTGTAAGCATAATTTGTTGCTGCTCTCACCTCACCTCAACCTTATGATTATCATCATCGTCAACATCTTTATTATTTCTTTTTTTATTTCTATTTCAATTTTTTTTGTCTCGTGTTTTTACAAACGACGGGTTTTGGTTTAGCTCAATTTTTTTCAGCTGCTTTTACTTTCCGCCATTTCCATAAATTAGTTTTTTGTGTCTCGCTGTTCGTTTTTTGGGGGGAAATTGCGAGAATGCCGCTGTTATCAGGTTAGTTACTTTACGGAACTATTTTATGGGATAATTTTTGTGGTTTAAAAAATTCCCTCATGATTTTAGCAAAAAAATAAATCATATACTACAGATTCAATTTTGAATGTCAAAACTTTAGTTCTTTTCTTGGAAGCTCATTTTTTTGCAAGCCTCCAAAGTACTCCAAGTTAATTTTGGGTTACTGTAGCTTTCAGGGTTTAAGAGAAACAATTTTATTCTTTTTATAAATATGCTTATTAATTTTCTGTTATCAATTTTCATTTCCTTTTGGGTAACAAAAAAACTCTCCTCGTGGCTGAATAAAAAAATAGTAATAATAATTATAGGCTGAAAACTTTGAACGTCAAAATTTAGAGTTTACTCGGCTATAAATTTTATGAAGAAAATTCTAGAAGCTTTGAATTTTTGATATCTGAATCTCAGAAAATCAGAAAAATATTCTCATAATTTTCGATTTTTCCGAAACAATTAATTTCTAGAATCGCGTGTTTCCAAATTTCACATTTCATTTTATTTATTCAAATTTTCAAATTTTCAGCATTGTTTTGCACAGGCATAAATTTCTGACTTTTTTTTCCTGTCGGCTCCGCCCCCTGCCACGATTACACGTTTCACGTTTTTTTTTAATTTTTTCGATTTCATCTTTTTTTCTTCACTAAATTTTGAAATGCAAAAAATCAGAAATAATTATTGCTTGAAAAAAAAACGTGCCGCACCTTGCCAAATAAATCCCGCCTCCCGATTCACGCGAGAATTTGTTTTTTCTGCGACAGGCATTTCTGAATTAAAAAAGTCAAAAATGTATGCCTGTGTTTTGGGATTATTCCTTTGTTCTTCCGAATATTATTTTCATTTTTGTTTTTAACATTTCATTTCTTGAAAACCGCAATCAGCTGTTATTTTGAACTAACAGTTCAAATGAATACCTGATTTATTTTTCTTACCTCAAAAAATAAAGAGTTCATTCAGTCAGGCGTGCCAACAAAAAATATTCGAAAAGTTCCCAAAATTTTGATTTCTCATAATTAGCAGAGCAAAAACAGAAATGAAAATCTGAAACTTTTTGTGAGTTGCAGAAAAAAGCCACGTCATTTCATAGTCTAGGTTCCAAATTTCTTAGAATAAAAAAACAAAAAAGTGCGAATCAGTTTTTTCCGCCTCATTCATCGAAAATTGCTCTTTTCTTTTTTTGTCAAATCTAATCACACACTTAACCGGAGGCCGTAGAAATAACAATTTCGTTTCTTTTTCTTCTTGAGATATCGGTTTTTTGTTTATTTTTGGAATTTATTTCCAAACAGCAGATGATAAATACTTTTCTTATGTTAGCATAACTCTCACAAATAACTATTTTCCAACTAACATTAATTCAAAGTTTTTTGTTTTGAGTCTTGAGTTTTTTTTTCTGAAAACATCAAAGATTCTTTTGAATTTCTAAAAAAAATTATTCAAACAAAAAACATTGTGAGTATTGATCAGAATAACCTTTAGTTTTCGTACCTGCTGATTAAATGAGACATTTGTTTTTAAGTAGCAGAAATAAATATTTTTCTCACGCTTTCGTACCGGAAACTCACTACGTTTTTTTCACGAAGATCAGAGCCTGTCTCAAAGTTGTGTGTGAAACTTTTTTTGTTTACCGGAAAAAATAAATCAAAATTATCGAATAATAATTTTTTCAGTCACCTCGCCGACTTCAATGAATAATAGTTCAAATTCAATCGATTTATGCCCTGAAAGTTATCGAACTTCGGTTAATTTATTATCGATTATTATTACGATTCCAACTATTTTTGAATTTCTGATTTTATTTTTATTATTGTTAAGGTACTCGAAATCGTTTCACCCATTTTTCACGTAAGTTATTTATTTTTTTTGATAACTGTGAGAACTTTTCGTTTCAAAAATATTTTTCAAGAAAATACGAGTAATCAGAAATGTTTTGAACCGAAAATTCTGAGAACTTTTTGTTCTTGAAAAGAGTTAAATTTGGTTTTTGGCTTTATGCAAATTTCGATTTTTAATTTTAAAAAAGGACTTTTTTTTTTGGTTTTCGGATCATATTGAAAAAATAAAAATCAAAAACAAAAATAAATTATATGACCCCTAAATTATACGTTCCAGGATTTTTATAATGTTTGAAAATTGTTCATCAAAAATTATCGATCTATGTTTCCGATCGTAAATACTGAAAAACAATACTAACAAAATTCCAAACATGATTTTGAAAGGTTTATCCAAAAAACCTCTCAATTTTTCCAGAATCTCATTCTTACTTTTGATATTTTCTTATACACTTTGCAATAGTTTTGTTCTCATCAAATCAATTGTCGATAGTTTTGATGAAACTTCTCAAATCATCAAATTCATTGATGATATTTACACATGGGTTTATATGTATATTCAACCTTGCGGTAAGTCTTTTTAAGAAAATATTTTTGATTCTGAATCTAGTAATAAAATTCCAGTTGTTATTGGGTTACTCGAAAGATTATGTTCAACTTATTTTGTCAAGTCATATGAGCATTCAAGGCTCTGGCCGATTTTCATTCTTGCTCAGATTATAGCGGTAAGTTTTCATCCAAGAAAAGAAACTATTTATGTATTTCAAAAAAAAAAAGCATTTTTCAGGGTATAATTGTTTGGTGGGAAGTTTCATTAGAATATACAAATCTGATAAAATATAGTCAATTAGGATTATCGACTTTTATATGTTTGGTGAGTTAAAAAATTGCATTTGTAAGAAAAATTATACGATATTTCAGTGTTTGATAGTACTGTTTTTCGTGAATCGGAAATTGACATTGGATTCTAGGCATAAATCAAAACTTACTGTTAGGTATCAGTTGACAGAGAATGTAAAGGCTTTGAGGTAAGAGGGAGGGGATTTTTATTATGGGAATGTGAAAAAACATCTGATTTTTCAAATCGTCACCATTCGAAAATGGCCACATTTGCTCTTCACCATTTCAAACATGTTTCCAATATTATTCATATTTTTGGAGCTCTCTATCTTCTACAGCCTCTCTGAAACTCATCTCATCGTATCCATTTTTGATCCAAATTTTTCCACCACTTTTAACACCTTTTTTTCACTTTCAAAAGTTTCCCAAAAACCTCACTTTTTCCACATTTCAAACTATTAATTCCTTCATGGAATCTATGCCACAAAAAAGAGAAGTTTACGGGCTTTCCAAAAATATAAAATTCACCAAAATCGCCCAAACCAATCTCGCGCAATCCTCAGAAAACCAAAATTTCAGTGCTAATTTCGCCGCTTTTCGCTACTTTTTTGTTGCATTTTGTTGGAACACTGCTGGCAGACTGCCAGAACGCAAAAAAATCGAACAAATGTAGCGAACACAGCGTTCTCTTTTTCTTTTTCCCGTTTTCTTCTTTTTCTTTGTGTGTTCGAAAAGTGGTGAAGCAGGCATGCAGACAAAAATCATTGGCTGAAAAAAAAAGAGAACGAAAGAGATAGACTAACTGACTGACTGAAATGATATGGATGAAAAAAAAGAGGAAAAGTCATTTAAGGAAGAGGAAACAACAAAAATTATTGGAAAAAATGAAGCTTTGTATTTGCAAAAAAAATTAATTTCAGGATATTTGTGCCATTTGTGGTAATTGACAATTGTTTATCAGTTATGTTTGTCATTTCATTACATTTTTTCAATGTTGATTTCAACTTTGATTCGGAAATTTGTAGAACTACAGCGGGTTATACATTTTGGTTCATGTTTTTTAGAGTGGTTGGTTTTTTAGGAGTGGGCAAGGATTTGGGGAATACGGGAAAATAGACATTTAGAATTCAGAAAATGAAATTCGAAATTTAAAACAATTCTGAACAGAAAATCGGATAGCTTTTTCAATTTTCAAGAAATCCAAATTTTTCCCAGATTCTCTTGGTCGTCCAAATTGCTATGCCAATAATCGTCATCAAATCCCACCATTCAATTTGGACCAAAATCGAAAAGAAGATCCGAAAAACTCGACAAAACGAAATCTCATCCGATAGTCAAAAGCATAAGAAAAATGTTCTTAAAGTCCTAAACGACTTCAGTTTTTTATAAATAATCCTCAAATTTTCAGCTGAAAAACTCATTGGGTATGGATATTACTGGAACACATGAAGATCATTTCGAGCAGTTGCGAAATCAGTGGCTTAAGAAATTTTGAATATTGTTTTATATGTATTAATTGAAAAAAATAGTTATTGATTTGTTATTGCATAAATTTTCGATTTGAACATCCAGGTGATTATTGAGAATGAGAAAAATAAGGAGAAGAAAAAACATCTGTAATTTCAAGTAACTAGATTTTTGACGAGATTATGTAATTAGCGGTGATTTTATTTTTCTCTTATTTTTGGCTTCGAAAAAAAAACATATTTGTAGAATTTTTATTACTTTATTTTCGAATGGCGTGATCTAAACCTTTCCACCCCCCAAAAAACATTTCAAGATTTTTCAGAGACAAATTTAGTTTTGTAAAGTTTCTCATAACATTTAAACTCGTAATTATAGATGTCTTGCGGTTCAACACAAACTTTCAAAATTTCAGGTTTTCAGTTTCGAATGGCTCCAAAAACTTTTCAAGAAATTTTTGAACGAAAACTGTTCGACTTCCGATCTTCAATTAATCGCAAGAATCACATTTTTCATTCTAATTCCTCAAGTTTTTCTGCTAACTCTCTCAATCTATCACTTTTTTCCAAGAAGACATAATTATCATCCAATATTTTCCACATTTTTCCTGGCTCTTATCTCATTATACTTGGTGTCATCAATCGCATTATGTTTTCGAAATTTGTTGACTGGAATTTGGAATTGGTCGGAAAATGCGAAAATTGATTTTGTTGTGACGTACATCGAAAAGATTTATATTATTTTTAATTATTTTATACAACCGTGCAGTGAGTTTTCTTTGAGATCTCTGAATTGAAAATTATTTTGCAAAATGCGTCAGAAAAAAACATGAATCTAAATTTGAGATGAAGATAAGAAGAAGATGAGTCTTTGAACTATTAATAATGGGTGTGGGTTTTGTGAAAATGTGTACTTTAGTCGAAAATTGTTGAAATAAAATGATATCATGGGTTCTGCACAGATGTTTTGAAAGTTTCATATGACAATTAGAATTACCTGAAAAAATTACGAAAAGGCAAACTTTAACAATAAAATGTTTTTAGTTGCGATTGGTGTCATTGAACGAATAATTGCAACAATTCTCTACACAAAATACGAAAAACTTCGACTTTGGTGGATTTTTGTGATACTTTTCCTAGTCTCGGTAACTCTCTACTTTTTCATAACAAAATCCCTTGTTATATTTACAGTGTGGCCTAGTTTACCTCGAGTTCACATTACGTCACCGAATTCTTTCCTCAATTTCAACCCGTCATATTCAAGCAATTCTATCGATTTTTATTACGATTTTACTGATCAGTTTGTTAGTTATAAATCGACAGAAAACTCGGATTTCTACGACTGTTAAATCGAATTTATCGGAGAGATATCAATTGACTGAGAATGTTAAAGTTTTGAGAATCTACATTCCGATAATTGCAATCGATTCGATTATTCAAATATTTTTCCTCATAACTGATTTATTTTTTGACGTCTGGCAGGTCCTCAATCTCAATTATTGTTATGATGATAAATATTATTTGAGGAAAATTTATTGTTTTCAGAATTGTAAGTTCTTCGATCTTCTTTTACACAAGAATTTTAATTTTATTAAAATATGTTCCTGCAGATCGGATTCCTTATCTTCTACAGTATACCAATATTAATTCTACGTCACTTCAGAGGTCCTTTTGATTTCTGCTGTCTCCGCCGAAAAATGCGAAAATCCCCCAAAGAAAATAGTGTAACACCGTATACTGATCGTGTTCAGGTGAGCTTATGAACTTTCAGAAAATCATATACCTTTTCATTTTTTTAGGTAAAAAATGTGTTTGGCGAGAATTTGACAGCTCATGAACATGGGAAAATTGGGCAAGATGTGCACTTTCAAAATCTTTTCATGCAATGGAAATAATTTAGATTTTTTTCTTTTTTTTTGCTTTTTTTGGCAGACTTGTGAGGTAGACATAATTAATTGAAACAGCTTCCTACTGATATTTTTTGTTAGATATTTTATCATTATTTTTTCTAACTACTATCTTGACAAAATTATATCATGTAAGTTTTGTTCCAAAAAAAAATATATATCTCACAAATAAATTTGTTTTGATAACTGGATTTCTAAAAATCAAGTCTCATTTATTTTCCCACACCTTTTTTAGCTAATCATTTTTTCATCTGTTTCTATTTTTCAAGCACTTTTATGCGAGGCTTTTCGAAAACAAAACATTTTTCTCGTCGTTATTATTTTTCAGCAAAATTCTTTTTTCTGTTTTCAAGATTTGATTAGCGGGTTTACCTGACATTTAAAAATAAGATTTTACCGAACTCTTGTTTCTTCTCTAGCCATAATCGATTTAAGATCTCTTAGACCAAAAATATATAATTTCCTTGTCGCAAAATTGTATAGCGCTTGCTCGCTCGCTGAATCACATAAACCAAATTTATTTATTTTTCTATACTATTTTACGCTACTTTGTAGGTTTTTTGAACCTCGTGGAACTTTCATCAAATGGCAAATATGATAAATGATTCTATAAATTGCACGATATTTTCCCAACAACTTGTTGGAATTTATACAGTTGTGATCTATGCGCCTTTAGCTGTGGTTTATGTTATTGTGGCTATTTTATTTATCAAACATCCAATGTCTTTTCACCCATTATTTGTACTATCATTTTTCTTGATGTTATTGGCATACACTTTTTCAAATTTTATTCTCTTTTTTCGAAATTTGATTGAATTTTTGATGGAGGAAAATTGGCTTTTCACAACGCTCGAATTTATATTTGTCTATGCTAATTATTATACTCAACCGATAATTGTTCTAGCTTTGCTAGAAAGATTAATAGCCACGTTGACAGTTTCATCCTATGAAAAGTCAAGGCATTGGTTTATTTATACAATAGGTCAAATTATTTGTGTAAGTTTTTATTTTAATTTTCAATATCTTATTCGTCCATAATAATTGATTTTCTAGATTTTTCTTGTAATAACAATGAGTGTTTCTGAAGATAAAGCGGATATTATAAGCAATGTTCAATTAAGCCTATCATTTATTAGCTGCGTTGTTTTGATCATTTTATTTTTCGTAAATCGATATATCACCTCACATTCAGTTGGAAGACATTCTCTAACTACTCGATATCAACTTGCTGAAAATATCAAAGCACTCCGGATTTTTGTGCCGTTTTTATTGCTCGATAATTTTATATCAATTATGTTTATTGTTTCAAATTTGGTGATTGGAGTTGGAAGAAAATTTAATGAAAATGAGTGCAGACGATCACCAAACTATTGGCTTTATTTTCTGATTTTCAGAACGGTAAATAGCATTTTTCAAACTATTCATATTATTTCGAGAAAATTCCAGATTGCTATTATTATCCAAATATCAATGGCAATCCTCGTTGTCCATTTTCACGATTCTATGAAATTCCCAAAATTCTCCCTCCCACTTCCTCCATCTCGAACAAGACCTCAAGAACTTATTAGTGTAACACATGTACTACAGGTATCGAAAATCATACACATTCAATTAATTTCCCACGAAAACTACATTTTTTCAGATCAAAAATGTTCTTGGAAAAAATATTGTGGAAGCTGAGACAGCTGAAAATTACTTTTCACAACTCGAAATTCAGTGGAAATAAAATGTTTTTTTTTTACTTATTGTTAATGCGTCACAAATTTGCATTCTGATCATTTTAACAGAAGTCAAAGACTCATAAAACGGATGATTTGTTACGCTTGCTAATTTTATTTTTGGGCAGTCTAAAAATTTGCCAATGTGCATTGAAATGAAAAATGATTTGGAAAACAAAAGTTCAATTTTAGAACTATTGCAAGGTTGATGTTACCTTGTGACAAAATTTATGTCGAAAATACTAGGATGATAAATAAATTCCGCGAAAAGTACACAAAAATAAAAAATGGAAACAATTACATTTTCAAATATGTGTGGGATTCGATGGTCAACACCATTGAAACATATTCATTTTTGGACCAACGAACTGTTTTGTTGGTTTTTTTTATTAAAAAAATTCATCAACTTCAGGAGTCAATTTTCACTTCCCGTAGAGTTATTCATGTGGCTCACTATAAAAGAGATGCCGGAGTTCAACTAAACATGATCAAAAATGATTTTCCGTATTCTATTTGTCTTCGCTCTTGTATCTGGAGCTGGTGCAGTCACCAAAGCTGTCTGTGAAGCTTTCTGTTCATCTGTCAACGGTGGAGCATCGTATGATTATTGTTCACCATGGATCAGTTTCTCTCAACAAACCAACAAAACTTGCTACAATAGATGTGTTAACAATTGTTATAACAAATATGATGGAAGTTGTATGACTGATAGTGATTTCAGATGTTGTTTGGATACTAAACCAGCCAAGAAACAAGAATTCAAAATCACTGGGTGCAATATTCTTTACAACGATTTGATTGATGAATATTGGAATTAAAATTGAATTGGTGGCAATTTGAATAAATAATTATTGGAAATATTGTTCACCCGCAACACTCAAATTCAGAGAAATGTTGAAAATCACAAAAAAAAAACATTAATAATTCATATACTTTTAATTTTCTCATAGTCAGGTTCATTGAACATTTTGCAAATTCGTTATTTCCAAGAAACATCAAAAGTCTATCAGACTGGTCAAAATTGGAATTAATAGGATGATCCGCTTCATTGAAAAAACCTGAATTTTCAACAAAAATATGCACAGGTTGAATGATTTTTTGATCATAGAATCCAACACTACTTGTGTTTCAATTTTCACAAAATCTCATACAGCGGAAAAAAATCATAAGTAAATTTTCGCATTTTCGCGTGTACTCTAACGTGGATAATAACAGTATAAATACAACATTTTTGCCGAAATATAAACATTTTTCATTTCGGTTCAAATTCAAATTCTGCGCTTTTCAGTAAGTCCGCCAAAATTTCAAATCATTATGCATTATGGGGTGATTCAAGTCGAAAAAAAATACCCAATCGGGATTATTAAAAAGGAAGAAAAGTTTTTTGATTTTTATGATTTTTTTTCGACTTGAATCACCTCACCTCATAAATGAAATTCAGCAAAACTGAAAAAATGTTTCCCATGATCATGATTTCCCCAAATTTTCTTCGAAATCATATTACTATTTCTCAGAAAAGGATGAATCGGAGCTTTTTATCAAAGTCGCACCAATTTGGTGCAACCGAGATCAAATATCAGGGGTTTCTCAGCTAGAATTCCTATAATACCCTATTCTAATGCAAATCTCATTGTTTAATCGAAATCATAGTATTATTATTCGAGAAAATGTACCTTGATTCTCAAAACCATCCGTATTTCGTCAAAAACACACCATTTTGGTGGGAACAAGATCAAATCTTAGAAGTTTCTTATCTGAACTATTTCAACTATCATATTTCTGAGGTTTTCGCAAAGTTTAATCAAAATCATAGTACGATTTTTCGAAAAAATCAAAATTTAAAACTAACTTGTCTTTCCCGCGCCATTTATCGAGCAATTTGCGACGGTGAATGATGTAGGTGCTTCGCAGACTCATCTAAAATGATTATAAACTCAATTATCAAGCAAAAAAAAAACAGATAGCCCACAAATATCGAAAAAAACAGAGGAAAACTTGAAAAAACAAAATTTTTTTTGGAAAAAAAAAGAATTCTGCTAAACTACGCGCACAGCACACAGAAGAAAAACGGAACAGCGGAGCAACGTTGGAAACAATATTTTTCAAAAATGTGTTTGTGTTTTCGACTTTTCGTTTTCGTTTTTTTGTGGATACTAGCGCGCACTTGTTCTCCTTGCGCTAGTTTGAATTTATTTTTTTCAGGTCGGCCAATTTCGACTTCTTCATTCATTATAATAGTATACTCTTCGTGAAGTGTAGTTAGAGAGAATTCTCAGGGTTCCCAACTGTTATACTTTTGAAATGATCTATTCTCAAAGTCAAAGTTAGAGTGGAGTTCCCGTTTTGAAGAAAAAAATCCCCTGAAGTTACAATAAGCCACAGCTAAAAAAAAAAGATTTTTTTTGTTACCGTCATACGGTATGCATCGGTGTTTGCAGACAGCGCGTGGAGGCGTGGCCTATGGAGGTGTGGCCTATTCGGTAAGCGTTGCACACGGTTTTGGCAATGTGCGGCGCGCGTGTGTGTTTGTTGCATCATTTTTTTTTAGCCCGGTACAACAGATTTTGTGTGTTTTCTCATATTTTTCATTGTTTAAACGGCGACTTCGGTTATTTTGAGTGAATATACCACCTTGATCGCAAGTCATACCACTTTTTGACAGTTTAAACTTCTGATTTATCATTTTCAGTGAAATATTTTCAGATAGGAGAATTTTATAAACTTTTTTTTAAAAACTTTTCACAATTTTGGGATTTTTAACTACTTTAACTTTATAGATTATGTGATTTCATCTCCAAATCGAGATTCATTACTTCAATGATTTTTTAACACACTATTTTGGACGATTCTCTACATTTTGTATGGAAGGTAATTTTTTTATCAAAAAATTGTTCCGTAAACCAAATTATCCGTAGGTAATTTACATCATTCAGGTTTTATCAAGTTAATTGGTTGAAGAAATGGCTATTACAAGCGCACAAACCGCATCAATTTTGGAAAGTACACCTGATTCGACTGTGATAGGTAATTTTTAATCGAATATTGTTCCGTATAATCATAATCCCGTAGGTCAATGAAGTTTTTTTCAGATTGAATGACAAATGATTCGTTCGTTTAATTATTTTTTGGAATGGGATATGGTGATTGGCTTCTGTGTAATGATGAAGATTTTCGAAAAAAATATTATGGATTCAAATTATTCTCATTTCTAAAAATGCCAAAACCGGTGAGCAGAAAATTGTTAAATATCGAGCGAGTTCACGTCTAACATTTTGCCTTATTAAATAACCGAATGTAATATTTTCGATCGGAATATTTTGGAGATGAAAATGCTTTTGAAAACTCATCCTTTCACAGATATGCAAAACTTAGAATTGAAAATTTTCTGACATTAAGTTTTATCACGAAAAGTTTTACAAAAGTATTCCTGCATTCAACATTCATTTCAGTTGGTGGCAATCATCATCATACTTCTCAAAATCTGAAAGTTTGAGTGTAAAAATGTCTCTTGCATATATTTTCTTGAAAGTTTCACATCCTATGTACGAGATACGATAAAGTTCACAAAAATTATGCATTGTTCCAAATATTCTCAGAAAATTTTAAATTTCCTTCGTTGTTTTTTCAAAAAAAAAAAAACTGAACATTTTGCAAAAAAATTCGTAAATTTTTATAACTTAACGCCAAAGCTCCGACATGTCCAACTTTCAATCTCTGAACTTTTTTCTGCCTGTTAATTTTTCCAGATCCAATGATCTCGCCTTCACTTCTCAAATGCTCTTCGTTGCGAATGGACTACCCACACTCAAAATAACTCGTTAAAATCTATTTGTTCTGTAAATGCGTGTGTTTTTTGTTTATATTTTTCACATTTTTGCAAACATTAATAAATGTTTCCATGTTTTATTTTTGCGACTTCTAATTTTTAAATTGTTTATTTTTGATCTTAAAACTTCGATAACACCAAAAATTAGATTTTGATATCAAAAATATTTTTTGAAATAATGAAACCTTCAAGAATTCAATCAAAAGTTAATATTAATATAGATTCTCAGAAATTCAATAAATTCTCTACTCATGATAAATTAGGATATTAAATTAAATTTTCAAAAATCTTCACACAAAACTTTTTGTTTAACGTCAAACGTGTTTTATTCTTTCTAAATGTTGTTTTTGAGATCAATTTGTCAATTTAGAAAGTCGAAAATAAAACAAATATCTTTTTTTCAACCATATTTGCTACTTTTGACTGCGAATTTCGTTATTTTCTCGATTTCTTCTTTCATTTACAATTGAGAATTGCTTTAGTTCTTCATTTTATATTGCATTTCCTCTTTTCCATTGGGTACAAGCGCTTTTTTTTTGAAAAATGAAGCTTTGCAAACAATAAAAAAAATAAAGAAAAAACCGTGCGCATGCAACACACACACGCCGCACTTTGGCGAAAATCATTTTGGACACCGCCCACTTTTTTTTTCTTTTTTTGGAAAAAAGGGGGGAGTACGTAACTAAAGTGTTTAATGTATTTTCTTCTTTTTTTTAGCTGTGTAAGCGTGTTAGATGTTCCAAAAATTGCAGCGCTCACTGTGTTTTTTTCTAATAGAAAAATGCAATTCCGAGGAGACGCAGACAGAGAGAGAAAGAGGCTGGTCTCGACACGATGTGTGTCTGCCACACACTATTTCTCTCTCCCCTTTTCGGCGAGAGATTTGTCTGCCCACGTTAAAGTCTGCGTCTCTCAGAACTGGCAAGAAAAAATACAGTGCGCTCAAACCCTCAAAAAAAGAAATAAATAAATAAAAATTCACAAATACTTCTACCGTACCCCTCATCAAAGGCGCACACAATTTTTCTCCCATGTCTCGCAACGCGCGTTGATTTTTCAAAAAACGAAGCGGTGTTTGCACATTATTGATGGAAACATTTAATGTGACGCCAAATTTTCAGTGATTTCGTTTTTTATAAGGGGAGGATTTTGGAAACTGCGTGATGTTATCAGTTTGGCGTACTGTCTTCGAGATTATGAATGAAGGATCCTAGGATTTCCCAACGCAATCAGTGAGTTTTCTTTGGGGTTTGAATTTTATAACCTGATCACACCAAATTTGTGAAATCGGTAAAAATTCTCAAAATTTATTATAATCTAGTTGCTCAAACTGCTAACACAACTGTGTTAGGATGTTTATTTTGTGAGCACGTTCTGATGTGACTGTTCTGACTGTGACTCAAAACTTCTCATATTTTGCAAAAACTCCAAATTTTATTCTCAAAAAACACTGACGCGATTAATTCTAGTATCATTATCACTTTTGACTTTGCTATCATTCAGTACTTTTGTTGAAATCTTTCGACGGAATATGTACATAATGAATCCGTCGAATGAATGAATAGATGCCCAGATAAACGAAGTGCAGAGAAACTTCCAAAGGCGACTATCATTTAGAGACCTTTTGAGAAACACTGCATTTTTGGTAGAAGTTTTGCTAACTTACGTGAATTTTGACGAAATTATATTGCACATGACAAATAGCGAATCTTGAAAACAAGTTTGGATAAGAAGAAAAAGATTTTGACGAATTTTTTGTTTGTTTGGATGCTTCGGGTTGTTAAATGTAAAATAAATTCGAGTGAAACATAATAAGTTAAAAGTTAGGATAATTCCAAATTGAAGTTGAAAACTTAACAGAGTATTGTCTTGAAAACAATCATTTTCAAATGTCCATCCGATTTTCTCACGATCAAAATAAATAAAACAACTATTTTCTAAACTAGTAATGTTGTTATTGCAAAAACATGTTGGTCTTACCAATTAACTCATACAACTTCATAATAAACAAAAAACCTTTGATTGAAAAAATAATGAAAATATAGAGAGTTATGAGTTTTGTACTGAAAAATGTGTTATATTTGGATGATAAATAAATGGCTCCAATACGATTGGCTGCAACAAGTAGGTTTAGATAATTCAACGTTGTTGAGATTTCAACTATGATTTGCGCGAAAACAGTTCGAAATAATGAAGATAGTGGAGGATTTTCCCTAGAAACATTGAAGTTTTGAAAGGTATTAATGAACTGCACTCACATTATCACAAAAATCAGTGTCAAAAAAGTTGAAGTGGTAGTGGCAGCTAAGTTCACGCCAGCTCTATAGAGACAGATAAGATTGAATGATGATTTATCGTATTTATAACTTCTTATAATATAAAAATTTGGATAAACTCCAAAAACAAACACCTGAATTCGAAATTTTCCTGAGTTTTCTCTGCAAAGCTTACCAAGAAAACAAGAAGGCTTGCAATTTGAGTTGTCGTATCGTTTGTAAACAACATTCTATCTCAGACTGACAAAAATATCTTGTTCATTCACGCGATTTCTAATTTTTCAAGAAAGAACAAGTGCAAAAAAGATGTTGAACTTTATATAATTCAAAAAAACAATACAGACAAATTAGTAATCTTCCTCGAAGAACTCTAGAAGTTCTTGATGACGTCTTCTTCGTGAAACCAACAATTCTCGTTCTTCTTTTGGGAAAATTGTTTCGAGGTTGAGAACTCCGAGATCGAAAGTCTTCTTTGGAACTTTTCCTTGAGTGATGTATGATTTTGGGATCAAAAATTTGACCTTTCTGTATCCTGGCTTGAAACCATCATCACAATCATGATAAACTTTGAAGATTGGATCAATTGGAGTCAATTCAGCTTCTCCACCAGAAAGTTGGAATTCTCCATTGGCATCAGTATAACCAGCTTCGAGGAGATCATCTGGATCTGGTCCTGAATCTTCTTCCCACAACTTTATACGAACATTTGCTGCTGGTTTTGCTCCGCAAACCAATCTTCCTTTAACAGCGATTGATTGATCACGCATAGCATCGATGATTCCGAAAAGAGCAATTAGAAGAATCAGATACTTCATCTTCTGAACAATAACATTTTTTAAACAAAAAAAAACTCGAGAAAAACAAGGCAAAAATAAACAAAAACTGATAAAGAATCATCGGAGCCTCGCTTATAAACAAAATAGTTTCGGGCGGCAAATGATAACAATAACTCGCCAATACATATTTTCATTTATTCTTATTTTCATTTCGTCTTTTCAAAGTATACACGTTGAGGAAAACAGAGAGAAATTAGTTATTTATAAGGCAGTTATTGAGATGGTATCATTGGTGGGAAATTTGGCGAGAGGTCGAACATAAATGTGCGGTTGTCGACCGCCGCCGCGATGATCGCAATCCACGATGTTCACTTCGGCCAGCCATCGTTTTGGAGCACGGTTTGAGAGCTGAAATGTGGAATTTAAGAGAATTCCAATTGCTGTGTATGTTTTTTGAAACATCACATTGTAAAGTTTATACATCGGGCTCCGAAAAGACTATAAAACCAAACCAATAGATAAGAGTTGAGAACAACAAAGAGCAATCTATATAATTTCCTGGTCATTTAATTTCACTTCAATCAACTTATCACTCAGTTTTCTCCCGAAACCCTACAACTAATAAAAAATGAATTTTGTTTGTTTGTTTCTACACTTTGATAACATTATTTTATCTATCATCAATTGTACTTTTGAATCAAACTCCATTGATTTACCTGACTTCCTTCATCCCATCCAGAATCGATTTCATCTTCAACATTCGAAGGATTATAAGTATTCGGCCAATTATCGACATTTGGCAATGTTCGAGATGTGATTGGTTGCCAAATTGGTGATGAAATACTTTCCGATTCAGCAAAACTTGCTCGATCAGATTTTGAGCCAAGTGGCAATATCAAATCGCCATTACTATTGTTATTGTTGTTTTGATTATTCTGTTTATTCAACAATTAATTTATCTATCAGAAGTGCTGGTTATTTTACTTACTCTGTCAAAAACAAGTCGAGTTGAGACTGGTTGATAAGAGGAATAGTGCCTGGAGCGTCTTTTGAAGCAACAACAATATTCATCAGCTATCAAAGCGAGAAGTCGTTTTGAATAATGTCTGAAAGAAAATGTGTTTTGTTGTTAGAAAATCAGATAAGAGGGCGACTTTGAGAAGCACATCTGATTCTCCAAATTAATTTCACTCACATGAACATCTCACGATAATCGACGTTGAAAATGTAGTATACAATACAATTCACTGATGAATTAAAAATCACCAAGAAATTACTCGTATCTGTGAGGCAATTCAGCAAAACTGCAGATGGTTCAGCAAAATTTTCGATAATATTAACAACGAGGGCCAATGTGTTACACGCCAAAAAGAGAATGACAACCATAATCATAGTTATCGTATCATCAGATGTTCCTTCATTTTTCGATTCTCCGTCGGAACTTTGAGATGATTGACGTTTGACGATTATTGCGTTGATGCAAAGTAAAAAGAAGAATGGGAGCAGAGTCATTAGAACCATATACATATAACTAGAATTAAAATTTATTTTATAAACATAAGAAGGTCTACAGAGAAACTCACATGTTGTATACACTATTGATTGTGTAGAAAAGAGTTGTTGGGCAAATCTCGATGACTTCAACATTTGTATCTTCGCTCACACATCTTCTCAAATTGAATTGTGGAAATCGCAAAGAGTTATACATAATGGAAAGGACTACAATTATGATACAAATTTGTTTCGCTCTTCGAACATTGCAATAATAATCTTTTTTAGTTGGCCAACAAACCTAAAAAAAAGTGAATGACGTATTGTTTTCAGACATTTATGATTCATGCAAAACACCACAAACACAACAAAACAACAACTTACATTCACAAAGCAATCAACAGCTGCAGCCACCGTGAAATAAATACTGCAAGTTTGTGCCATATAGCCAAAAGGCAGGGTGTAAACTGTAGTATATGGGGCTTGCTCAAGTTCTGGAATGTATGATCGAGCAGAGTCTATCCAAAAAATGAAGAGACCGGTTAGAATAACCATGAAATCACTGCATGCCAAAAATAGCAAATAGGTGTTGGCCGAATTTTCGAGTCTGAAAACATGTAATTAGGCACAGGCTTTAGACTGCGATTATTTGAGATTGGGTTTCTTTTTTCAATTATTCGGTTTGGTTAAAATTTTTCCATTTTTATCATAGCTAGCATCTTCTGTTTTATATCCAGGCTAAAAACTTTAAGTTTTTCAAAAGTCCTGAATGGCCTAGAATATGATTTGTTGGAAGAATTTTATCTGGTTCAGTTTCGATTCAATACATTTTCCCTAGTATAAAATTCCTGAAATTGTTTTCTAACATGCAATTTGGTCATTCACATTAGTGACCACTGAAATTCGAGACCATTTCTCTTTTGACCGTGAGAAAACATTTCTTTGAAAAAAACCAGATGTACTACAGTATCCATCGATGAACTCACTGTTTTCTGGTGTACAAAAATATGTTAATGATATTTGTGAACACTCCAAAAACTGACAAAATTGGCAATGCAATGATAATTGTGATGTAGTTGGCCCTGGAAATTTTAGAGGAAAATTGAAATTTAAAAAAGAGAATACGTACCATAGGAAAAAGGGGCCATAGTCTTGTTTTTGAATATCTGAGCAAAGACATTGAGTTTGGTTTTCCATTGTCAAGTATTCGAGATATGGAATTCCAACGATGATACTGCAAAAATTAATGTATTCGGAATGAATTTTAAACAGGTCTCCCCATTCCAATTGATATCAACGATCAAACTTTTTTCTTTTGAATAACTTAAAAGTAATTTCTGATCTGAAATTAAAGAGAAAAAGCGAGATGGCAAAGAAGATCTCGCAGCTTTTAGTCGGGAAAAAAAATGCTGAGATGCTCAATGACTGGAAAAATGAACGAGGAAAACGCATGGGTGTGGAAAAAAAAGAAAAAGATGCGAAAAATTCTCAAATTTCGAAATGCCCCTTAATTAATGGGTGATTTTTTGCTCCTCCGAACACACACGCGGATTTCTTGCTTTGCAGTTGCGTTGAAAAATATTTCGGAAAAAATTATGATGAATCGGGTGCTGCGGTTTTGTTCTATGGCCTAAAAGAGATCAAAAAGTTAGCAAGACGAATATGGATATTAAAAAATAATAGAAAATATTATTGTCTTTTATTCTTGGTCCAAACTTATTTAGCAAAAATCCTTTGTATTCCAATTTTCGGTTTTTTGTTCATTTTCCAATGAGAAAAATTTAATTTCCATAAGCTAAGCTAAAAACCAGACTTGAAGCATCTTAACTCAAAAATCTCTTTTTTGGTAGGTAGAAAAATTATACACCTCTTCAAAGTGTAAATTGAGAACACGGTGTGTCTGGTGCCGTAAAAAGTTGTAACTTAAGTTCCAACAAAAAAATGAAAAGGGTTTTTTTGAAGCAAATGAAATTAGGCTAATTTCTAGGAATGAAAGAAAAATGAATGAACTTTTCAATTATTTAGATCGAAAATTCAGTGACATGGAAAATATCGCAGAAGAAAACATATTTTTTTCTTATTTTAGAATAATTTCTAATTTTTAAGCTAAAACTCACCTTGGTAGAATTGGTATCATTCCTTCGATTATTGTAAAATTTTCGTTAAAACCTTCCATCCTTAAAATAAGAAATGAATGAGTGTACTTTTGAAAGATCTGATTGAGAATCCACAAAAACGAGATTGAATTGAAAAAAAAACAAGAATAGACAAATTGGGCTTTGATTGAAAATAAATTGAGTTTATTTTTTCAAATTGCAAAAAAAGAAGGGGGGGGTACGGTAGCTTGTTTGGAAATGACATCTTTATGTCTAGTAGGCAATTATAAAGTTTCAGAATTTTTTCCCATCCTCGCGAACAACGTGGTTTTCAAAATTGTAAATTATGTCTTCTAAACTTCAAAGATCAGAGCTTGAGAGCCAAGTAGCAACGCCTAGAAATCTTATTTATCAAGCAGCCGTGCCTAGATAGTTCACATGTCAAGGATCAGCGCCTAGAGAACCGACTGTGAACTTTGAAAATTACAATTTTCATTATTGTACTCTGGCTCACAGCAAGATGGTAAAGGAATATTTTTTTTTAAAAAAATCTATATATTTTTCTTATGAAAAACCTTTGAAAAAGAAAAATTTTAATCAAAAAAACTTTGTTTTTCTTCACACATATACCAGAAATACTTCGTAAAATGAAAAAAAAAGAAAAAAAGAACATCAAAAATGTGTGTTCTTTTTTTGCCAGAAGATTAATAGTATAGCAATTTTGTTCGAGAGAACTACACTTAATATGTTAATTATAATGGGTAGACAAAAACAAAGCATATTTTTTTTGATAATTTTCAACCTTTTTCTTGTGACAGGAAATTAGAAAAAGTTACGGTATTGCTACGGAAAAAATAATTTTCTAATGAATTTTTCGGCGGTTTGTACTCTTGACGTCAAATAGACAAATTATTTTTGGAAAGAACCTTGGGTCCTAGAATTTTTTACTTGAACAACAATATTTTTGCTGAGAAATCACATTTTCTCTTTGAACCGAGAAATTTTATTTATGAAACCAAACCACATAAGGCGTGAAAAAAAAACATGAAGTTGAGTACTAGACAAAAATCAAATTTTGCCTTCTCGAACGCCAAAAAAAAAGAAAAAAAATAACAAGTGTTTTTTTTTCGAGACAAAAACCCACAAATTATGAATTCTAACAAGAGACAACTTGATGGAAGCAAGGGGAGACGAGAAACTCTTTTGGTATGAAATTTGCAGGAAGAATATTAATTGGGTCGAGAAAAATAAATGAAAAGAAAAAGATGATGAGATGAAAACTGAAAAAAGAAAAAAAGAAGGCACAAAAAACCCACTAATTCATTTCATTTCATTTCAATAGTGAAAAAAAGCAAAGTGTCACTAACAATGCTCATTTTCACATTGTTTTAGTTTTTTCATTTGCAAACCGTGACGTCAAACGAACGAACGGAACTGACAAATTCAAAAAGGTCAATTTGGATTGCTCATATTAAAAATGAATTTAATTAAAGTTGTACTTGAACATCTGAACTTTTTAACAAGGAAGCCGTTTTTAGAAGATGCTGAAAAATTTATGGAAATTTTCCAACAGCAATAAATCATCGAGAAGGTTGCTCAAAAAATTTTATAGAATTGGATTGGACCTGTGAGCCAAGTTATAAAGCTTCAAATTTGCCTCAAAAACTAGAAATAATTAACAAAAATTCGGTCTTCGCAAAATTTATGTTGTTTTTATGTACTTAACCGATATTTTTTTCAAAACTTGGATATTTCGAAAAAAAAATTCTATGCGGAACAGTTATTTTGATTATGTCTAGATTTCGTAGCTCCAAATTTGTGGATTATGAGGTTTTTTCACACTTTTTGGATCTTTTTTTTCAATTTTGAACTCAACCAATTTTGTTGCAGTACGTGATTCTCAGAAAAGTCCAAGGGTCCAGGTTGATTTCCAGTTTGAGATTTCCTCAAAAAGTCCCCGAGGGTTTTATTATAGGTGCCCTGACTCTTTAGATAAAAACCACTTTTTCTATTCTTGTGATCAAACTACACCTGAAGAAAATCAAGAGCTATTCAAGGTATTTTGCAAAAGCAAAAAAAAAAATAAAAATAAACTAAAAACATCATGAGGTTGTAAAAACGCGAAATTGGAATCGTTCGAAACCGGATATTCTATGTAGATAGAATTTTCAATCAGATGGAAAATCTTGGTTTTTTTCGAGCATCAGAGCTCTAAAGGTTTTCAAAAATCGAATTTCACGCTTTATTTTACTTCGATAAAAAGGTGAAAAGTGGAAATTGTCAAAAAAATAGTGTGTGTTCAAAATCCCAAGAGTCATATATTCAGTTTCTTTTTGTGTGTCCATTTGTCTTTTCGAACACTTTTTCTCCTGAAAATATGGAAGCAATAAATAAGTGCCTCTTTTCGTCTTTCCGTTTTGAAGTTCGAAATACGAAATTAGCAAAGCAGATGTATAAAAAGTCGTAAAATATGGAAGATTTTTTCACATTTCACTTCAAGAAAAGTTTGAAGGGAAATGATTCAACAACAATAAAAAATAAATAAATTTTCTTCTCCAATTCATTCATTATAACAAAAAACAATATTTGTTATTTTTTGGATCTGAGAAGAACGAAAATAAAATGGAATAAGAAAAAGTCGAATTTTAAATCAGATAAACTGGATTGACATGTGCTCAATAAGGTGTTCGATCTTTTCAAACTAAAAACCTTTTTTTTCTAGCCCAACCAAACTCATAAAAATAATCCACCCATCCCGCGCTTCAACCCACCTCTTCTAACAAAATTTGTAAAGGAGAATTGATTTTGGTGTCGAGATTTCTGAAAATTGTGTTTTTGTGCTTCAACCAAAAGTGAAGTGAAAAAGGCGTGGGAAAATAAAATTATATGTATATTTTACGCCAAATGAAAAATAAAAATCAAAAAGCATGGATAAAGATTATGAAAAAGTCTTCGTGACTTATGAGATAAGCACAGCGAAAAAAAATTATTTTTTCTGTTTCCGTGTGGTACGGTGCGCAAAACAGAAAGTGTTTGCACACACAAAGGAAAAAAACAAAAAACAAAAGGGGAGAACACACAAAAACCGTGCGCACATGCAATAATATTGCAGAAATACGCTGCCAGGGGTTGCATGTGGAAAACTCCGCCTATTTATTTTTTGAATTTCCGCAACGAATTTTTTGTGAACAAAAAAATAATTTTTTTTCGCTGTGATAAGCAAATTAGACGTGATTCATGACAAAATGAAAACATCTGACAACTTATTTTGGAATCACTGATCTGAGGAATGAAAAAATAAGAGTGGTTTCAAATTATGACCATAGATTCCTCACAAAAATAAGAACTTCAATATTTTTCTAATGGGCTCTTTGAAAAATGAGGGTTTCAAAAATGGTTCCATTTTTTCGGAGATGAGTTTTGAGCATTTTCAAAGGAACTTTTGCCTGTTTTTGAATTTTTGAGGAATCCATGTCTTTTTTCAAAAAACTTCTTCATGGAACTTTTCGAAATATTTCAAATTTATGAAAAATCCTACAGTAACACTTTATTTTCCAAAAAAAACTTCCTTTTTGAAACAAATTTCCCAAAACCCTCACATAAAAAATGATTACGGTAACTCGCAACCCACGAACAAAAAATGAGAGGATTATTTGGGATTTCAAGAAATTTTGATTAAAATTTTCCAGCAGAAGAAAAAACGAGGAAAATGAAAAGAATTCTTGGAATCTACACACGACATGGCGAAACAATAACTCATAAAATACGCTAATAAAAAGTGACGCAGATGGCTTACAAATTTTTTGTCTTGACTTCTTGACTTTAAGAAAAATAATAGAGATCAGAGAATTTATTTGTTTTTTTCAGTGTTCAATGAATTTTAAAATAACCTTCTTTGTGAAGAAATAGAAAAGTATGTGTTTTTTTTTGAGTTAGGTAGATTTTTAAAATTTTCAGAGGGAAATGCGAATGTTCTTACTTGAACAAGATATTAAAAATAAGAAGAATGAAAATATTTTGTTGTGCATTTCACTTTTTCTGAAAGGACAATTGAATGCAAAATGAGACAAAAGCAAAAAGAAAAAATTAATTTTTTCAACAATTTCCAGGGAATCGTTGAGAAAAAACTGAAATTAGATCTATGGATCTATCTAGGTATTGTTTTTTATTTTCATTTTCATTTCCAAAAATTTCAGAAAACTATCAAATTACTTGAAAAACAAGCGAGACGATTATTCAATTGAGTTGTATTTAGCCTAAAATTGATACGTTTTTTTCCGTTGCTGCTTGAAAAACATCCATTTTTCCAAATACCAAAAAATGGAAAAAAAACGTGACCAAATATGAAGATGCTAAAAAGTCCCAGAGGAAAAATGTTGAGTGTTCGAATGGATGCGTGGTACAACAAATACTAGATTATTATTTTTATTATTGTCATTCCGAAAAAATAAGAACTTGGAAGAGAACCGAAATGGCCTAGGACACCAAGACTACAGTAGACTTCGCAAAATTTTGGAGTCTATTTGAAAAATAAAATGCGAAATTTACACGTTGGCTATTTGCCAACCAGTTTGATGTGCATGTGTCACGTCATTTTTAGTTTACTGTACGTGAGCGCCAATTCAAACGGGGGTTCTTTTATTTTTGGAATGACAATATAATAATTTTTGCGCCAATGACAAATGTGTCAAAAAAATATGAAGAAGTGGGATGGGAAAGGAGAAACGGAAGCTTGATAATTATAAGCTAGGACATTTTTTAATTGAGTTTGTGATGAGAGAATTGAGCATCAGTTGTTTTTTTTTTGTGTCTGAAAATTTATAGACCCAATTTTTGAAACCTGGAAAAGTTTGGGAATTTCTAATGGAAACAAATTAATATTGCAATCGTGTGATTGATCTGTTGGAACTTTCTAGAATTTATTGACCCGACTTTTAGATCCTGATTAAAGAATACGTTTCAAAGTACAAATTATGAGATGTAAACCAATTCGAATGATTCAATTTCAGCTCGACAGATTGGGCAGATTTTGTTGGGTTGTCGATTTATTGCCTCGTTACAACGCTCGCAAAGACACAGATGATTGCATGGTCGAAGAAGAACACATTTTTCTTCGAATTGACAGACACAACATTGAAGTCTTCCGTCGTTCAAAGTTTCTTCGATGGACCTAGAATATTGATTTTCCAATGAGAACTTTATTTTTTGAAATTCACTCACTTTCTCTCAGATTTTGTGCTTTTCTTAGAGCCATGTAATGCTTCAACTGTTCTTCTTATTGGCTCCGCTCGTCGATCAACTTTTTCAACCAATCCTAGGATGAATTTGATTGGATGAAGAAGAGCTCCGAGAATACGAGTCACGGTGTTCACCTGGAAAATCCTTCATCACAATTTGAAAAAGAAATTTTGAAATACCTGCGGGAAGACTAGGGTTATCGCTGTATATACAATTGAAGTTCCGTATGGCAAAACTGTGTACAATAAATAGTTTATGAAATTCTCTCTTGGTGTCGATGACAATCTTCGGAAAATGTACAGAACGATTAGGACAAATGAGACGAACATGAATAAGGAGAGCGATGAGAAGATTGGGAAATTGGCGAAAAACCAGTGAAATATTCGAAGAGGTATTGTTAATACATAATATACAGGGTAGAATAGCTTGAAAATGTAGTCGAATAAACTTCGAGACATTTTCATTGTCTCATCTTCTTCGACTTCAGCGGCTTCCATTTTTTCCTAGTTGTTGAATCACAGTTTTTTTTTTGTTTTGAAAGAAAAAAAATAAAAAAAATATTTTTTAACTTTTGGTTTTCTAGGCCAAGGGACTAACTTTTTCGAAATATTCCGTTTTTTTCCAGTTTTTCATAAGGTTTTTGCAGGAAAAATGGGTAGTTTGAAGTCGGATAGTGTATTAGTATGGATGGCGGATCGATCAAGCTATGTAGAAAGTACACCAGGAACAGTTCTACGAATCAAAAACCCCTCGAAATTCGCTGAAAACAATATGGGTTTCAAAGATCAGCAAGGAGAATTAATTGAACTCAAATGGGAGTCAATTTTCAAATTGCGACCAACACTGATTGAAATCAATCATGGAAGAAATCCTCTGAAAGAATTGATGAATAATCTGGAAGAAAATTATGAATCATCGGAGATTTCTGCGTTTTTTGATAAAGTTAAAGTATTATCCCTTCATATGGCCGATATATCCGCGGATGATCTCATTAAACTCCTTGATAAATTCTCACTTCTCGCCGCATTTTCGTTTGCCGAAACACGATTCACTTCAGATGAATGGTCTAGAATTCTCACAAAATTATCAACTCTTCATATTCGAGGAATCGATATATCTGATAATGTTATGGAACAAGTTGCTCAACATTTGAATATTTCATTGATGAAATTATCTGGAAATCCTGGAGTTGATGTGAAACATTTTCGAAATGGTATTGAATTTGTAACAGTAACAGCGCTTGTTGTTCAGGAACTATTTTTCACCGGTGAAACAGATGCTGAACAATTTCTCGATGTTCTTCCAACTTCGTAAGTTGTTTTTTCATCGAAACAAAAAAAACGCGTCTTTCCTCAGATTCCCCCGATTACAAACTCTGATTTGGGATTGGAATGTCGTTGATCCCGAATTATCCATAGATGATCGAACAAAAAACATCATTGCTAAACTAATCGATGTGAATCAGTAAGTTGCTGGAAATATTTCAGGTTATCTCAAAAAATATTTTTGCAGAAAATTGAATCTCTCAACTTTTGCTATTATCGCTTATACACCTAGTGATGATCATAAAACAGCTATTTGTGAAACTGCGAGACTTTTGACAAATTCGAAACTTGAAAATGTGCAGCTTTATCAATTTGCATCGAAAGGCCTCTCAAATGTAAATTATTTTTTTTTTGAAAATCTAATTATATTTTCAAATTATAGGGAATGTCAAATTTCTCGCTGATCGTCGCTGGAAACAATGCAAAAAAATCGCAAAGAATTGATCGAAATGTATATAACAGATCGATCAACAATTCCACCAATGGGAAAATTGCTCAGATTATGCGATGAGGATATTGTGCCAATTTATCCAGCAATAACTATTGATTTTGGTGGATTCAACAAAAATCATATCAGACAATTATATTCATCATAGTCTTCTGTTTTTTTTGTTCTTGTTGTTGCTGAATCAGTTAAGTTTTTTTTTGAAAATTTTATGAAGTTGTTATAATTATTATGCACGGCAAACTTCATTGATGACACAATTTTTGAATGGCCGCCAACCCCATGGTTTTTCAAGTCTTCCTCGAAGTCCACGATGAAGTCGATCAGACATTACGGCAAGAAATTCGGGATATGAAAGAGTTCCGTCGTTGTTCTCATCGAAGATTCGAAATATCATTGAGACAACTACGGGATCAAGTTTTCGGCCTGCAAAGAATATCGTGATTTTTTTTTATCAAACAGAAATGTTTCAGTACCTATAGTGCAAGATACTGCGCGAGCAAATTCAGTTTCTGAAACTGGAACATTACTATTTACATACAAACGGACGGCACTTTGAAACTCTTGAAGATTATTCAAGAATCGACTGAATGTTGCCCATTGTTGAAGAGTTATCCCCTAAAAACAATACATTTCTTAGATTATTTTTTAAATTAAGACAAACCTCTTCATCATCATTGGATCGTTCCTGAACACGCTGCAAATAGTTATGATAATCATCCAGATTCACAATACTATATCGCAAAATAAGTCTGGCAAAATCGACAGGAGATATTGTCGATTTTCCGCGTGCAAATTCGTGGAACTCAATTTCCATCAATTCTTCCTGAAGATTCTCATAAAATTGTTGAAATTCTTCGAAAGATAATTTGGCATTTCCACGAAGTCCAAACAAATGGAGAAGCAAAGTTGTGTCTTGTCGTCGGACCTCTTCTTCGCTTTTCTGCAATTTTTGAATTTGATTTTAGAGCTGGGTTTTTGAGACTTTTGAGTGTTGTGATCTGAAAATCTGAAAATCCCGGTCCCAAGCTACAAAGGTTTGGTAAAAATTAAGAGAAAATCAAACATGAACTAATTTTGTTCCGGAAAGTGTAGCGGCTTTCGATGCAAACATTTTGGCAATCTGAAAACAATAGAAATTTCCTTTTTTTTTGATTTTTCAATCAACTAAAATTCGAAGAAATGCGATTTCCCTGTAAAATGAAACTCATGCAAAAAGCGCTAGACGATCACAATTCAAACATTTTCTACTTTTTTCAAAAAAAAAAAACATGAAACTTGAAAAAAAAAACTTACAGTAAACATAACCGTATACGAATCTGTTCCAGTGAAAAGTCGATCTTTACCAATTCGACTAACAGCAAAATGATAATCTGAGGCATCCAATTGACAAGACTAAACAATATCAAAAATCAATAACTGGGAAAAATTAAAGGGGGTTGGGGGGAAGGCATACATCTTGAGAATCGTTGACGATTGAATCCGCATTTTGTTGATTCTGTTTAGATTGAATTCGAGTTGTTGAACGCAACGAAGACGTTAGGCTACGGATCTAAAAACGTGCTTGGTAAATGAATATTGCGTTTTTTTTTCTAAATTTTTAAAAATGACTTTTTTATCTAGAAAGTACACGTTATTTAATATTAGACGTGAGCTGTGACGTGGCAATTTCATTTCAATTTATAGAATATAAATTTTATTTTTTCGGGTTTGCGTTTTTCAAGAAAACTCCAAAATTTGATTTCAATAAAAATTAATAATTTCCTGTGATTTTTGAATTATAATCGTGCAAATAATCTACTAAATGCCAAACAAAACAAAATGATTGTTTTAGAAGTTGGGATAAAGCATGTTATTTTACTAAAGTCATTCTAAAAAAGGTTTACTACAAGTTTACGACTATGTTTTTGCTTGCTCTGTGACAAGTTAGTAAGTACATAATAAAAGTAATTACAACGAGACACGAAATTTTTACCCAAGCACGTTTTTGTTTCGTATTCCATGCATGCGGTTAATGAAAATGAAAATAATGCATGAATGTTAATACAGGAAGCAACTCAAATAATTAGCACTGCAAACAGGAAATATCGCATTTCAAATAACAAACTTACCAACATAAATTCATCTCTATCTATGTTACCGTTATCATCATCATCGAACATTAGAAATGCGATTCGGAATGCTGATTTGGATTCTAAATCGAACTTGTTTAGTTGTTTTCAGTAAATTAAATTACTAACTGGTCAATAGTGTTAACAGGAATATGTATTCAGAATAAGAAATAACACCCTTCTGATCCATTGTTCGGAAAAATGTTTTGCTTCCAGTGCGGAAAGGTGGAGTGCGGGAAAGCATGCGATTCAAATCTTTTTCTTTCAAAACTCTTCGATACACTCTTTCTGAAATATTATACTTATATTCATTGAACTAATTTTAAAAATCGAACCTCTTGGTTGATCCAAAGTTAAGGAATCGATAAAATCCATAGGGCTCATATAAATGACATCATCGAATTCAACACTGGCGAATTGCAGAAATCTCAGTTCTCTTTTTGTTAATTTATGATCGGTTTGTACATTATGACGAGTTGCATCTTCATCATCGTCGTCTAAAATTATTTTTCAAATTAGTTGAAAGAATACCCAAATTTCACTAACCTCCCAAAAGCAAAGATTTCGCAGGAGTAATCAATTTATAAGCAGCAATACTTGTCCCAATTCCAGCAAATAACACAGCCGCCGCCCGATTTGGTTCAATTTTCGGGAATCTTTTAGGCAATGTCGACAATTGGCGATTCGGCAAATTCCACAAGCGAAATAATGAGCGCTTCATTTTCTCACAGAGAAAAAACGGATTTGTTTATCTGACATTAATCGAGAAAGATATTTTAGATTAGAAAAACAACAGATGTTTCTATCTCTCCTGCAATACTCACAAAAAACTGGTTAAAACAAAAAATCGATAGGTTTGGCAGCAAAAAAAATGAAAAATAATTTCTTCTCCGAGAGAAATACACGGCGACAATGTTTGTGTTTCTAGGCCACGTTTTTCCCGAGGCAACATTCATTTTTTGAAAATATTTTATTTTCAAGAAAAAACAAGTTTATTGACTGATTCATATAAGTTACTATTTTAAAAAAGATTTCATTTATTTTCCATTTCCAAACACCGCATTCATGATTCCTGGAACATAGCCATATTCTGAAAATTTCAAACTTTTTTTAATAACTTCAGGAAGGCCTTTAAACTTACGAGAACCATATCCATATTTACCAACTCCTCCGTAAACTCCTCGGCTATTATATCCACCATTAGCACCGTTTCCCCCGCCGCCATATCCACCATAAGGCCCGCGAGAATCGAATCCACCAAAAGGTCCAAATTGGCAAAGGCAAATATTGATTAGCAAAAAGAAAAGACTAACAAAGTAAAAGAACGACATTTGATTATCCAAAATGATTAGAACAACAAATTTATTTATTCACATCAGATACTTTCACCCAAATTAAGGCGGTGTTAACAATTATAGATAGACACAGATAGATTACAGATCTAGTTTTTTCGAATCCTTACAATATTTGATACATGACTGGAAATTTGGGAAATTGTTATAGTTTCCATTCATACCGTAATAACTGTAACGAACACAACTATGAACATCGTGATTCCAAGCGAATCTAAAATTCAAAAAAAAATCATTAAAATTCTTGAGTTTTTATATTAGGATACCTTGGTTTATCCTCAACACCATCCTTTGAAATTTCCAGTATCATCTCGAAGTGAGCACACATAATCTTTCGATGGACAACATGCTCCATTTACACAGGAATGATATTTCGGACATTTTTGAGTTGTGGAACAAAGTTCATATTCGCCATTTGGAATAAGATAATTTGAACCGCAGATTTCAGCTGAAACAGGAAATTGATAAATTTGATTGATGAGATGTCTCGATGATCAGAAATCTTTGATTTTCCGTTTTTTTTAAATAAAAAGGAAAGTCTAACCTTTTCTCCATTGATCGTGTGATTGTCCGACTGGAACAAATGGTGGATTATTTGGATTGGTGGTTTCGACATTAGCTGTCGAGTCGCTAACTTTTTTGGTTGGATTTTGACAAGAATCTCGACATTCTTTAGAGGAATCGAAGCGATTCTCGTTTCCTCCACACCCAGCATACTGTAATGGCTGGCACACTTCTGGAAAAAATATACGGAAGATTCGAGATTTTATGAGTCGTTCCCCAGGAATTATGCCAGATCCAATCAACCTCTAAAAATCACTCACTTGTTCTAGAATCGTAGTAGAATTTTCGAGAAGCTTGATTTTCTGCGCAAGATTGTCCGATATCTTTAGGCAAACTACAATCAAATGCGAATACTGTAGAAATTTCAATGAAAAATAAAATAGAGAATAGAAGGTTCATTTTGTGGCCGAACATCTGAAACTAAATGATTTTTTGAATTCTTTGCCATTTGAGAAACAAATATTTACAAAAAGATTGAAAGTTTATTGGTTTTTTCTCTGTTCGGGGGCGACAAAATGATAAGAATGAAAGAAATAAAGAAAAAAGGTTTTTTGTTGCGCATTGAAATGAAAGAAAAATATTTTTGATTCTTTAAATTTTTCAAATAAATAACAGAAATATCTACCAAAGTATCTATTTGTGGAATGTTTGCTCATGGTAAGGTTACACATACAAGACACAAAAACTGGAAGCTTTATTGACATTTTAGAAAAGTAACTAGTAGGTTGGCGAGTATTTAAAAGCTCGTCTGCAAATTTATTTTTATTGCAAAGACTGTGGCGAAAATGTTGACTTTCACTCTATTTCTAGCATTTTTGACAAGTTCAGTTTTCTCGCAAAATTCAACAATTGATTGTTTTGCTGATCGAGATCTTGGATATACTTGCGATCAAAATGGTAGTTCAAGAATGTTCTACTATCTACCAAGACTAGGTGAGAAAATGAAAATATGAAAACACATTCAGATTCACCTTGTTGATTGAATGTTTTCGTGTTGTGTTTCATTCTTTTTTATATAGCCAGTTCTGATTGGTTGTAATAGTAATATGTTATGTTTCGTGTCCAGAAAAATACAACAAAAAATTCTGGAGAAAAACTAGTTTATTTTTTTCTAGGAACATGTCAACCTTTTCAATATGGCGGCTGTGGTGGAAACTCAAATCGTTTCAAGACCGCCAAAGAATGTAGAGATGCTTGTAGCAATGCCCAAGCTAGAAGAGATTCTGGATCTTCGGATGTTACTATTCAAATGAAAAGTGAGTTGAAACAAAACCAAATTTTCAAAGCGTAACTATATTTTTCCAGCCGCCTGTTCCGCAAAATACGACACTGATCATCTTACACCTGTTAGATGTCAATCGAACTCAAATTCCTGCTCCACTGGACATCAATGTATTTCTGGATTCTGTTGTCCAACTGCTAATTATTTGTGTAATCTTACATACGATTCTGGAAAATTTGCCGTTGGCGGAGCAAAAAGTGACAAATATTTCTGGGTTCCAAAATACAGTACCTGCATGAGATTCTCGTTTTATGGAACTCTTGGAAATGCGAACAATTTCCCGAATTACAATTCATGTATGCAAACTTGCTCAAATGGAACTTCAAGTCACTAATTCTTGTTTTTTTTCTGGAAATTTGTTATTGTGCTGTAAATTTAGAATTTAAATTACAAGAGTACTCGGGTTAATAAAACATTCATTTCAATCTTTCTTGCTTTTAATTTTCAAACATTTTCTCACGATCAGCAATACAAAATAGATAAAACTAAAAATAATCAAGATGGCAATAAAAATCAAATCTAAATTATGATACTCAATAAAACCCATATTTTTCGCATGTGGTGTTAATTTTGGCAATTTTCCAAACCTCGCTGCATTCTCAGCATATCTTATCACCAACTCTTTTGGTTTTATTGGCTGATAGTGCAAAGTTTCTGCAAGCCTATTAGCTCTTTCTTGATAGCTTGAATCATTCAACATTGAATTCAACACTTTGTGAAGTTTTTGAGTATTTGAAACATCAAATTTCGAAAAATATTCAGCAGTTCCATGATTTTGTAACATTTGCGCGTTTCCTGGTTGATCAGCAAACAATGGGATAACAATTGCAGTTTTTGCAGCGTATGCCAATTCCATTGTACTTCCCAATCCTCCGTGTGTTATGAATAATTTGACACGTTTATCACCCAAGAGTTCGGTTTGAGGAAACCAATTTGATATAAGAACATTTTCTGGTAAACGCGATTTTATATCATCACTTTCATATTTCCAAAGAAAAGTGATATTTGGATTCATTTTGAAAAGCTTGATTAATGATTCCCTGAAATAAAAACAATATTTCAAAGTTTCTCTGAATATGGATAAACTCACTTGTTCTCTTCAGGCATGTCAATTGATCTAACCATTGTTCCAAATGAAATATAAACAGTTTTCGGTCGCGTTTCTAAAATCTTATCCAATTCCTCACTAACTTTAGGAACTTTTTTCGGTTCCATGGTAAATCCACCAATCTCGACAACTTTGGAAATTGTTGGAGATGCAAAATCAAGATAAGGATTAGCATTTGCGAAATGATAAGTCACATCATTCAAAATTTCCTGAAAATCTGTTTTCCATCTTTTTGATCTACAAATAATTGTTCACAAACCGTCCAATGTCGAACTTTTCCATTAGTAACTTTTGAAACAACTTGATATTGCGCATCAAATAAACCAGCAAAAGCTCGTGTGAAAAATAGTTTATGCCAGAAATCATTGATTCTCTCGAGAATCGTCATTTCTTCACCCCATTTCCCAGAACTTGGAGCTGGAACATAATGGATAAATGAAGGTTGGCCAAGTGCATTTTGAATTGAGATCATTCGATTTCCGCTGAACAAAGATACAATAGATCGAGATCCAATAAAGTCAGCGAGATCTGAATTTGTAATATGAGAAAATTTTAGTCGCTAGTGAATAAACTTACAAAGACCGCAGAAATCAAAAGTTTCCGAAAAAACAACATCGAAATTTTTACTTTGAAGAGTTTTGTGCAGTTCTTCGTCTTGGAATATTTCTACAAATACGTATAGAAATAAAATAATTCGCTCTAATAAAAAACTTACTTCTACACATATGTTCAAAATCTGGAGCTAAAATAAGTTTGACAACAAACGACATCAGAAAATCAGATTGATATTTTGAAGAAGTCCAAGTGTCTCCCAAACTTCCATCATCTGGCATATTTTTTCGACCTTCTTCATCATGATAATAATTTATAATTTCAACATTTGAATTTTTTATCAATTTATTATCCATATATTTTTCTACCACAAATGGTTGAAAAAATGTGACACTATGCCCTTCATCAGCTAAAGTATTAGCCAAAGCGGCCATAAATTTCATATGACTGTATCCATAAACAGGAGAAATAACTAAATAATTATAGGAATGTACAGAAGAAACCAGGACAAATAAGAAAACCGCTAACATTGTTAATTTTTACTCGACTATTTTTTTGTTATCATACTTATTTATATAGAATTCTAATCATTGTCTGTTGTATCTTATCATTGTGATAATATGAACTCAATCCGAGCTTTTCCCACTGATGAAAAATGATGACGACCCGAAGACAATTGATGAACTCTTTTGTCATCAAATCAAATACCAACTTTTATGCAAAAATTCGAAAAGGCATATCGGAAAAAATTAACAGCACAAATAAATTAAATTTTCAAAAATGGTTATTTTTTATGGACGTGAAACTCAAACGTGTAAAAACCAAAGTTTTGATCATTTTCAAATAATTTCTGTCCACCATGGTAAGTTTTTGCAATTTCAAACACTCTTCTAATGAATTTAGAATATTCATGTTCACACAAAACTTAATTCATTCAAAAATGCATAATTACCGCGTCCGCTAAACAACAGGTAACCGGAGTGTTGTTTGAATCGGAGGGCGGGAAAACAATTTCGAATGCGCAATTTTTTGTTGTTTTCGCCACATGTTGCACTTATTGCGTTGTGACACTTTGGGTCTATAATTCCGCGTTTTCTGTCGTGTCTGCCATAAATCATTCATTTTCTGCTAGTTATTTGTTGCATAATAATATCTCTAATTTTGTAATTTTTACAGAAAAATCTTTTTTTTCAGATGTTAGCTGTCAAAGAAGCCGACGAAAATTTTCACTCGGAAATTGCGGTGACTGATAATGAAAAACATTCAACCAAAAAAGTCAGACGACCTTTGAAAGATGCTGCTAGCAATTCATCTCCTGAACCTTCTGGAGCTTATGTTGATGCAATCGCAATGTTACGTGAAATGGATATCACAGATGATGATAAAAATTGGCCAAGTAAAATAAGTTCACATGTTTCAAGACACAATTTGACTTTGAAACGAGAAGGAAAAACTGGAGGAGATGTTTATTATAACGACAATGTTAATGAGTGTATCTTTTGTCAAACATCCGACGATCGTCCTTTGATTTCATGTCGTGGAAGTATGAATGGATTCACCAAACACAAGTTAAAAGAGAAATGCAAATCGCTATTTCATTTTGACTTGCATCACAAAATATAATGCTTCGGATTATAGTCTTCGTTATATTTCTCAACCCGAATGCCAAAACGAGATTCTATGCCCTCTTCATTTTTGTGACACTTGCTTTTTCGAACGACGAAAACAAACTGCATTTTCTGGAAAATTAATCGAATGTGCCTATTGTCTTCGCGCTTTTCATTATGAAAAATGCTCTCCGATTGGCTCGAAAGATCTGGAATTAACGTTGCATATGAATGAGGTAAACTTGAATATGATAGGGACTTTTGATTCAAAATTATAGTTTTTTTCCAGAATCACAAGTTTGAAATGGTTATTTGTTCTGCTCATCGACCAGTCAAAGAAGTTAAGCAAAATTCGCATTTAAAAATTTGCTGTGAATGCGAAAATGTCAAGGAAGTGAAAGATCTCAAAAAGTGTCGTATTTGTATTCGATCTTTCCATCAGGAATGTCGTGCTGCTAAAGAAATCGATGGAAATCCAATTGATCAAGATTTATGCGAATCTTGTTTGACAGGCGAATGTATTCGTATTGAAGCAAATGTGATTGCTCGCTGGAATGATAATAAATTCTACCCAGGAATTACTAGAGAATGGGGCCGTTGTCCAATGAAATTACGAAAATCGAATAATTATGATGAACTTGGATATTGTTTGATTGAATGGCAAGGAGAATCTTCGCAATTTTCAATAGTCTCAATTGCTGATTGTGTTCCAATGTTTGAAAGTTCTTTGAAATTATTAGGCAAAAAAGCGAAACCAGCAGCTAGAATTGCATGGAGGAAGATGATTCTTGACTCAGGTTCTGGGCCCAATCTCGAACTTGAACCACTTTATAGAGAAGTTCGGCGGAAAATTGATGTAAGTTGTTTTCTTGTTTTATATATAGATAATAAACTGTATTCTAGACTTCGAAATATTTCGATAAAGACGGGGAAAAGTTATTTGCAATTGCTGAAGATGAAAAATATGTTTGTGATTGTAAAACATCTAACGAAACTCATTGTGAAATTGGAAAATGTAGCAATCGACGAGAATATTACGAATGTCCGCCAGATTGTTCAAAAGATGGTAGAAGATGTCTTAATCGTGGAATATCTCAAAAAGAAATCCATCCCAAATATTCAAAGACGAACGACCGTGAACAAAGGATTTGGTGTATTTGCAACTGGACCCATTTTAGAAGGAGAATTCATCGCTGAATATGCTGGTGAAATTTTATCGAAAAAGGAGGTTGATAGACGCAACAATTTTCTGCATTATGCACGAGACACGGAAGCCAATTTATATATGATGCAATTAGTAAATGGGAGAGCAGTTGATGCTGCTCGAGCAGGAAATATTGCCAGATATATAAATCATTCTTGCGATCCAAATTGTCAAACTGTAAAACGAACAATATTTTTGAAAGAACGACGATCGGATGTTATTTATGATAATCGAATTGCAGTTGTTGCTATCAAAAATATTGAAGCTGGACAGGAAATTACTTTCAAATATCAGATGGATGATTGGTTGAATAGTGAAGCACCTGATTGTAAATGTGGAGCTGAAAATTGCGAAGGAACGCTTGGAAAAGGTAGAATTGTTGAAGAAAGTCAAGAAGATGATGAGGATGAGCGAATTGATCTTGAAAATCTGCGACTGGAAGAGGAGAAACGGAAAAGAAAAGCTGTAAAGGGAACAGAAGTTGCGGCCAAGGTAATTTTTGTTGTTATTGTGGATTATATTTTAAATATTTCCAAATTTTTTCAGCGTCCTTGCCCAGCGAAAACAAAAACACCAGAATTTGTCAGTGTTCCTGAAGCCCTTGAAGAATATCTCAAAAAGTTTGAGAAAAATTCAGCGGAAAGAAAACATTTGGAGATGCTTCAAAAGAAGGCAAACAATCTCGAATTCCAAAAACAATTATTGAACAGTGCATTTGATATGGAGTTAGAGAAATGTAGGTTATTTTGTCTAGAAAAAGGGAAGCTTTTGGAGATAGAATGGTTGATTTTCAGTAGATAAAAATAAAAGAAGCAAAGTGGTTCTTGTCGAAAAAAATCAAGGGATTGTGGATGAAGCTGAAGAGAAATCCAAGAAAAATGAAAAAGAAATGAAGAAAGAAAGAAATGAAGAAAACAATGAAAAAGGAAAAAAAGAAATGGAGCCAGAAGGAACGAAGAAGAATCCAGTGAGAAGAAGAAGTGAACGAACGTTGTTGTCACCATCGCCAATATATTTCAATAATACAAAATCGAAATCTTTGAGGACAAAAAGTAACAACAGCAGTTCGTCGACCTCTTTGAAATCTGGAAATTTCCTCCACCACTCAAAACTAAACCAAAAACAAGTTTCACTTTTCCCATTTTTCGCAAAAATCATTTTATCTGGATCTCAGCATTTGTTTAATGTATAATATATTTTTTTAGTTCTTTCCTTTTTTTCTAATTTATTTTTTCTTGCAATTCCAAATTTTTCATGAATCGACATATTTTTATTCTTGTTTTACTAGAACAGAACGAAAAAACTTATCTGTTGTTTATCTGTAAATGAAGTTTACGTTTTAAAATGTATTTAGTACTGGTAATGTGTGGGCTGAAACTCATTTCATATCTATGAATTTCTGAAATATCAACTGGAGTTTACAGATTTTCCCTTTCATGAATGAGTTTGAACAATCTCGAACATCAAATCGTCATGAAAGGACATCAAAAAAGATTGCTAGGCTGTGAGTTTTATTACTGTTTTCCGAAAAATTTAACTATAATGTTTGAAATTTTGAAATCTTACCTATTTTTTCTTTTTTTTATATCAAATAAATCTTGCGCAACTATAAAAAACCAACAGACAGCACAATTGTGTTTTTATCAAAATATTTGGTGTTTTTACCGCTATCAGATTATATATTTTTAATTTTAAAATCAAATATCAACACACAGTGTTTCTTCAATTTTAAAAAGGCATAAATATTAGTACTTTTTTGCCGCGCCAAAAAATCACAATTTTTAAAGATGCCTCAAAAAATTGTCGATTCTTCCAAAAAAGTTTGCGAGAAAGAGGAAAAACGAGATGAGGTAAGCCTTTTATTCTTTGATGTATTTTCGAAAAACTTCGTGAATTTTCTAAAAATAATGAAAGTCAAACGAACAGGTGTTTGAGAAAAATCCCGAACAATTGTTGTTCAAAAATTTTGTCACATATGTCCGACTGACTTTGACTCAGTTCAGCTGTGAGTTATTTTTTCATCAATTTCGTTTTCTTTTGTTTTACTCTCCGATCTATATTTTTTAAATTTCTAATCTACAAATGAACTTTATAGTAAACATTTTAATATCATTTCTGATGATGCGGAAATATTAAACAATAAATATTTGATTTTAGTTAGGTTACTGTAGTTATTTTGAGCTTTTCCATAAATATTATTGTTGTCTGTCTTAGAATTAGTTATTAACTTCCCTCTTCGAATCATATAAAACCTAAACCCGTTCTTCATAAAATCATTATCTACGTCACAGATAGAGACTAATAAAAATCACTAGGTCATATTGTTTTTCGTTGACATAATGGTCCTTCTATTATCACGGACCTTTAAAAGTCATGTATGCATTGTAAAATGACGTATGCACTTTTGATTGTTTTATTACTACAAAGATTTTTATCAACTGTAGTTCCAAAAAATTATCTAGTTAGAAGAACTTTTTTCACCAAAGAACAAACCATCTTTCGCTCTCCTGAATTAAATATTACGTCATTGACACCTACACTTTGATTTTCCAACAATAAAATTATTATTATTATTTATGCAATTGTCCATCATTTCCAAAAGGTTGTCCCCCTTTTTTCTCTCTGTCTCCCTGACTCATCTCTTCTATACAAATTATTGTAGTTTTTCGTTTTGGTCTCTATTTGAGCTTTACTCGGGTTACTGTAACCCCTCCCATTTCACCAAAAACAAAAAAACGTTTAAAAAGCACGAATCTGTGGGATTTTCAAAACGTCGTCTCTTTTCACTTTTGTTTCCTTTCCCACCCACACTTTGTTGTTTTTGAAATATCAAAATCCGAAATTTCTTTGAAAATCAAAACCGGATTCAAAATTCTCCATAATTTCGCACAATCAAATTAATCTTTATGTTTTCGAGAAAATATTTTCGAGAATGACTAAAATAAAAGATGAACGTTTGAAAAATGATGAGGTTAGTTGCATAAATAGTTTTCCAAAATTTTCGTTTTTTTTTTTGGATGAATTACTCACACAAAAGACAGGTTCATTTTTGCATCTGTTAAATCATCCATAAAATACATCGTTCAAAGTTATTATGAATGGCTGAGTTTTTTAATGGATTTTTTTTTGGGATTTTGGTTTGATGATCATTTTGTTCGTTTCTAGTTTAAAACGTTTCCTAATGACAAAAGTTGAATTAGGATTTTTCTCATAAATAAAATATATTATTATAGTTAGTTTTGGTTTTCAAAGTCTATTTTTCTCACATTCGACAATAAAACGCCTAAAATAGAATTATTCGTTGTTTTCTTCCTTTTTGGAAAACCTATAAATTTTTAAGAGAGTTATAAAAATTTGTAGAATATCCCTCCAACTCATAACATACACCCACCAATTTATAAAAGTTCCTGTGGGATCCTATTTTTGAATGGGGACCTGAAGTTGGAGTGAGACTAATATTTTTATTCTCATATGATTCCAATAGAGTTGAGGGCTCTTATTCTGATCATTATTGTTTGTGACTCCACGTGTCAATCTAATTTCAAGTCCCGAATGTTCTACGATTCACCCAAAATGATATCTGCACTGTAGATTCCAGTTTCCAGTCTCAATTTTCTCTACTCTAAAATTTCTATGTTCCCTTCTGTTTGCTCCAAAAAAAGAGTTCTCTGTTCTATCGCATAATTCATTTTTGCTAAATTCATAGACCACCTAAATTTTCCATGAAACATCGTGCACTTTTCATTGAAAATTTCTGATTATTTATGTCATAATTTGTTATCAGTTGAAAATGAGTACTCATAGAACTCAAGTTTAGAAAAAAGTAACTTTGTTGCTTGCTTCCTTTTTGAAAAATCTATACAAAATTTTAATAATGATATAATTTGTTATCAGTTGTACATTATTACTCACAGAAGCAAAATTTATTTTGAAAAAAAGGAAATAAAAGTAGCCAGTCTAGAGAACTGTTTACACTTGGGATTTGAAATGGAAGTTTTTGCAAATAAAAACAACATTTGTTCGAAGAACTGAAAATAACAGGATTTGCAAACTTCGAAATATTTAACCTTGATAATTTGTTTCTTTGAAAACATACATTTTTCTATTTATATTTATCACATCTTTTATGAATCACCGGAAGTGTTTACAAAATTGTAACAGGTCACACTTCCGTCCAAAATTACAGACAAATTTCAAAAAAGAAATGTTTCGAAATTCGAAATTTGAATGTTCTTGTTGGTTCTAGAACCAGATCAAATACTGTCTGTCATCTTCAATTTCGTCTATCTTCTAAAAATAGCCACGTTCTCTCCGAAACGCATGTTATTTCTCATTTGGTCTCTCAACTTTACACACCGGAAGCGTATTCAACAGTGTGTTGTCGACGTCGAAAAATTCTCTCACCACAATTGGGAGAAAAAACTTGTGCCAACCCCTTTTCATGATAATCAGTCAACGAAATAGCGATAGAAAGTGAGAGGGTGCAGACGAGCGTGGTGTTTCCCCAAAAAAAAACAAACGAAAGAGAGGAGAAACACAAATTCTCGCCGTCTTTTTGAGGAGAACAAAACGCTTCTTCGCGGCTCTTACTTATTTTCTGCTGCGGTTGGCTGCTAGAGATTTTTTATTTTATTCGTCTTTTTCTAAACTCTAACATTTTATTGAAACTTTGTGTTTCCTCAATCATCAAACATGGATGAACCTAGAAGTTCTATTGATTCGAGAGCTCCGCTCATTCCAGACATGGAAAGAAAGGTTTGTGGGGGATTTTTTTTGAAAATAATGTATCGATAGGGAATTCTAGTAATTGTTATTGTCAATTTAATGACATCATTCAATAATTTATTAAAGCTATTCTGTACTTATGAAAAATTGGGCCTTTTGTATTTTCTGAGACTTTCCTTTGTCCAGCTGGTTTTGCATTGTTATAAGTAAAAAGTATCTTTTAAATTTATATCTAACAATCGATCTTTTATATCTAACAATTACTTATAAAATCGGTGAAAATTATGTTTCCAATAGAATTTTCCGAAATTTCAGCGTATTTTTATAATAGAAAATTACAATAATTTCCGTATGAACTCAAATTTTAAATTTACATTTCTGCCTTGTTTTTATCGTACTATCTTTGAAATATTTTCAGCACTGAAAATCACTTTCAAATCCCTGTTTTTCTACAACAAAATTGTGAAGTTATTCTAATAATTATCTTGTTAGTTTCCTAATTAACACGTGATAGGAAATTATGAAATTTTCAAAATTAGAATACTTGAATTTTGTAGTTTGCATTGACTTAAAAGTTCAAAACTGAAAACAACACGTGTTTGAAAAATCATCACCTTGGCCTTTTTTTTCCTGTTTTTGTTTTCATTAGATTTCTTTTCTTATTTCGAAATAAAAACTTCCGAATATTCTTTTCTTTCTTCGGTCGCACGGAGAATCTATCATTGATTTTATCGAGAACTCACATTTAAAAATTCACGAATCTCATCATTTTGCCCCATTTCCGTCCGAAAATTCCTCAATTTTTCACATACATTTGAATTAATATAAAACCAATTATATGCAAATTCAAAATTATTTTCTTCATTTTTTCCGTTTCTCTGACAAGAAGTTTCTATTTTTATCACTGTTTTCCTTATCTGTTTTCTATTTTCGGAAATTCGGAAAAAATAGAAAATTTTTGCACTTTCAAATCAACTGGGTGATAATTAAATCCAAAATAGTTCATCTACAGTAATCTTTGAAAACAAATTTGTACAAAACAAATTAATTGACCTTGAAGAATATAAATTTATCACAAACTTTTCTAAAATTGTACACTTTCATTTCATGTGACTCAAGAATTCGACAAACTAAAATTTTCAAAAGTCAAAATGAAAAATTGGAAGAATAGTGTTTCAGTGATCAGGATTTCATTGAAATCTGAATGATATCATAAAAATGAAGCGGTATTTTTTGGAATGTTTTATTGTAAGTCCTTTTCTCATCAAACATCTTCTTCTTTTTGTTTTATCTTATCTTCTAATGGTTACTGTCTGTTATTTTGAAATTCAATTGAAACTTTTGTTCTGAAAATAACCAAAGGTTATTTTTTTGCCCTTCTTCTAATTAGAGAAAATGAAAAAATAATAAAACATGAATGGATGTGTTGAAAAAAGACTCATTCTGTTTGTCTGCGTCTTGTAAGTTTCATGTTTTTCGAGGATGTTACATGTGACGAAAACCAATTAATTTCTTGGATATATAAGTTTGTTTTTGGTTTCCTGATTCATTCTTGGTTGTTTACTTGTTTACAGTTGTTGACCAAAAATCCAAGTTTCGAAGAATTTGCGATTCTTTGGTATTTTTGGCATGCTGTTTTTGAATTCTGACTTTTACACAGTTAGAATTCAAAGTTCTCATGAAAATTTGAACTGCTCAATTATGTTGTGAATCAGAAAATATGACTTTTAAAATACAAAAGCTCAAAAGGCGGCGAGGTCTACTGTATATTTGGATTTCTCTTCCACGGATCTCTAAAAATAATTTTGTTAACTCTTTTCCAGAAACAGAAAATTATCCGTGTCATAATATATCTATTCCCATGTTTCATCTTTAAGCTTGCAAAAATTGGTGAAAGTTTGAGTTTCACATCTTTGATCTAACATGGTCAAATATCCAAAATCTGGTGTTTGATTTTATATCACCAGTTCTTATTCGATTCTCCAGAAGAATCTATAAAAATCTTCTCACGTGACATTGCGAACCCAAAATGTTTTATATCTATTTCGTACAACTTTATCAATTTTTAGTTGATATTGAACAGTGAACTTTAATTTCGCTATGATATATCAGAAATTGTTTGATAACTAATAGAATTCCTACAAATCTCCTTTAGTGTGTGTCATTTCTTCTATGTATTCTTTTTCCGCATCGCAATGCACTCATTTGGTTTTGGTTAGTCAATAAAATGACCAATAGCCACCCCAAAAAAAATCGTGTTTATTTTCTGCTTCTCTTTCGAACTTCATTCGTTTCTCCATCTTTTTTCTTTTGTGGTTGTACCCAACTATAATAAATCTTTTTCGTTTTTCCTAGACATTCGAATGTTTCGCGTTGAAATTCTTCATGATCAAAAATAGAAGACGGCTATCATTTCTTAGAAGATGTTAGATTCTAGTAACTCCCACTTTCAGAATTGTTATTTTATAAAACCGAAAAGTACCCAGTATGACTTGTTTTCGGTACATTGTTTGTTAGTCATTCTTTGAAATATGAACAATGGTCTTTTGTGATTCATTTTTCGGTATTTTGTTGGTCATAGTAAGCCGATCAAAGTTTCGAGTATTTTTGAAAATAATTGAAAAAATCCGTTTTGTTGATTTCATCACTCAACTTTTAATTTTTTCCCGGAAGTTCAAATTTTGTCTGAATCTTTTGAGGTTCTGAGAAAGATTCTGAATACAATCTTGTCTTGATACTGCAGAGATGTTCTGAATTCCTAGTATATTTTTTGTGCCTAGATTTTTGGGAGTTTCTGAATAGGACCACGTTATGAAATAATCCGATTCAAAAGTTGCGCTAAATTTTGAATTCGAAATTGGAATTTATTTTTGTCCCAATTATTTATTTATCTGATATCAAGTACAAAAATTACATCAACTATCTTCTACCAAAATATCAAAAGTACTTTAATCATTTCATGTGAATCTCTTGTGATTTAGATAGTTCGGATAAACAACTTGTTTCAGTAGTTTTGCATCATCATTATTATTATAAAAAAATGTGTCAGAAAATCTGTTTTCCCCGCCCAATCGAAAGTTGAAAAAAAAAATAAAACTATTCTCTGAACTGTATTATTTTACTTCAAATAAAATATTTGTTGTAAAAAGCAATTAAATCTGTTTTTTTCCGCTTCTGATATCAAAAGTAAATAGATCATCAGAAAAAAAAAACAGAATAAAAGATGGGTGGCGCTTTTTCTTCTTGACCAATTCTTTGTTGTCTCACCGATTTTGACCATTATTACAATAATTTTTGAAATTTTTTTGCTTTTTCTGAAAAACACAGACTTCTTTTTAGTTAGGGTTTTGTTGATCAAGGCCACCAACTTCACAAAACGTTATCTAATTTGTTTTTTTATCCAGATTATGCCATCAGTATCCATTCATATATTATCAATTGCCTTATGTTTATCATCTGGTTTTCAACAAGGATATATCGCATCAGTTTTGAATCAACCTTATAAACAAATTGAACAATTTATCAATGCCACGTGGACAGAAAGAACTGGAAATCCAATTCCAGAATCTACTTTGGTATGTTTTTTTTTTTTTGGAAATCTTGAAATTGTATCAAACTATTTTTGCAGCATATGATATGGTCTTTATTAAATGTGTGTTTCCCAATAGCTACAATTTTCGGACAATTTTTGGCTGGTTGGATGTGTGCCAAATTCGGTAGAAAATACACTGCTTTAATTGCCTCATTTTTATATGTAAGTTATCCCGGGACAAATTGAAAATCGAAAAATAATTAATATTTTTGAAGATTCCTGGTGCTGTACTATGTGCAGCTGCAAAATGGTTGTCTGTCTTCGAACTTTTATTCGTTGGTCGAATTATTTGGTCACTTGCAAATGGTGTGAATACAGTGAATGCAACAGTTTGGATTGTCGAATGTGCTCCGCCACAAATTCGCGGAAGAATGGCTGCAATGCAAGAATTCTTTATGGCACTTGGTTCACTTTTAACACAAGCTGTTGGTGTTCCTTTCTCAACTGACGAACTTTGGCCATACAATTTCCTTCCAAATTGTGCTGTTGTTATTGTTTCGATGATTATGTTCTCATGGGTTGCTGAATCACCCCAATTTATTATGGAAAAATATAATGATCCTGAAAGAGCGAGACAAGCTTTGGCACAATATCACGGTGTTTCGGAAGATGATCCATCTGTTGAATCAGAAATGAGAATTTGTGAAGAAAGTATTGAGAAGAAGACAAAATCAAAAGATGGAAATAATAAAGGAACAATTCAAAGTGAACATACTGGAATGGAAATCATGTTTATGCCATGGAGAGCAAAAGATAGCACAAGTCGACTTATCAGATATTGTGCATGGGTTGGAGTTATGGTTAAAATCGCATATGTTTTCACTGGTGCTAGATCATTAAGAGGATACAGTACATTTATACTTTATACATTATCACATTTCACATATTCACAAGCGACGTGGTTGTCATTTGCAACCGGATTATTAAGATTACCATTCACTTTGGTTCCAGTTTTTCTTGTTGATCGACTTGGAAGAAGACCTCTCATTATTGTCTCAATGTTCGTCTCTTTTGTATCAATTGCTGTTATGATTCTAGCAATTAATTTGAATGGCGACTGGAAATATGCAACATTTATTGGATTGACTGTTTTATTATTGATTAATACTTGTGGAATTGGAAGTGTTTCACGATTTTATGCAGCCGAACTTGTGCCAAGAAATTTACTTTTATCATCGGTTTCAACGCTTACAATGTTTGAAGCACTCACTAAAATTGGTGTCGAATTCGCATTTTATCCAACTGCAAATGTGGTATGTTTTCTTTTCAAATTATTTCAACGAAAATCTTCTGAAACCCACATTTTCAGATTGGTGCCCAAGCTCTTCTTCTTTTCCTAATTCCAACTGGTATCTTCACAATAATGTGTTATTTCATGTGTCCCGAAACATCTCGAATGACAGTCAATGAAGTTTTGAATAATGTTGCCAAAAAGCGAGAAATGGATGTTGTTTTCCCGATGTGAAAAAAAAATAATACGAGTTGTTAATTATATTTATATAATCTTTTATCTATCAAATAGATTGTTTCTTTTTTCTTTTCTTCGTGTGGAATATAGTCAGTTGATGCGGGTTAAACACGCGTTTTTTTTCTTCATTTTTTTTGATTTTAATATTTTGTGACTGAAATAAACTTTGTTTCTTATTGAGTTTGGAAAATTTGATAATATCATGTTTGCTTTTCATCAAATGCTACTGTTTTTTTTAAACGGCCACTTTTGAGATCTTAGGAGTGGGACGAAAAGTATAACCAGAGAAAAAAATTTTTGATCTACCCAAAAATGTTTGAAAAGTTTGAATTCTATAGATTTTTGGTAGTAAAATACTGTGCACACAAAAATAAATATTTGATGAATATGAAAGACACAAGAAACACTGGAAAAAACAGATTTCCAGCATTTATTTTCAAACGACAAAACCAGCATGTGCGCTCTAGCGACACACTGTGTGCAAACACTTTCGAAATTTCCGTCGGCTGAGCGATTTCAAAAACAATTATTTTATTTTTTCACTTTTGCTAGACTCAAAATTTTTTCTTGGTTTTCATGAATTTCGATTACTTGAAAGGTGCTGAGAATGAATAACAAACTCATTTTCTGCTCATTTCTAGGTGCTCTTGTGTCTTGAAAGTTCACAGTCGGCGAAATTTGGAATTTGAAAATTATACCATTTTCTCAGCTCAAACTTAAAGTAAAGTCGAAATACAATATTGTCAAACTTCTTTTAATAAAGTTCCAAATCAGAACGATTTTTCAACGACAAAAAATGAATATCATTAAAGGGGGTATACCCTATTGTCTCTCGTGCAAAGTGTGATACATCATTCAATTCAGAATTTTGTGTTATATATGCACAAAAAATTTTAGCTCTCGAAACGCATTCTAAGTACACGTTTTTTGCGTCCAAACAGGACCAAAATCTGCTCGAAATAAAAAAAGAACACACAAGAAAGAGAGACGCAGACTCTCGCTGTCTGCCAGCCAGCCAACATGAGGGTTGTTTTTTCTTATTTTTTTACAGTATATTCACACTTACCGTAGTTGTTGAACACAAAATTCGAAAAAAAACAGTAAAAAAATAAGAAAAAACAACCCTCATGTTGGCTGGCTGGCAGACAGCGAGAGTCTGCGTCTCTCTTTCTTGTGTGTTCTTTTTTTATTTCGAGCAGATTTTGGTCCTGTTTGGACGCAAAAAACGTGTACTTAGAATGCGTTTTGGGAGCTAAAATTTTTTGTGCATATAAAACACAAAATTCTGAATTGAATGATGTATCACACTTTGCACGAGAGACAATAGGGTATACCCCTTTAATGAATATTCAAGTTATTTTCAAAAAAAAAAAAAAACAACATTCACCATAAGTAGTATTTATTATCAGTTGAAGTTAACACAGTTTTTAGGCGGATATGATAAGAAAAAGAAGTATTACCTAATATAGGGAAAGCAAAGGAAAAGTACATTTTACAATAAATGAAACATTTTATTCAACTGAAATTTCCGGAATTTTTCTTGATGCAGGGCGATTTTGGTGGATCGTACATTGCCAAATCGTGACTTGAATTTGCACGAGTCATACTTTGACCCTGAAAAAAAAAACAATGAAAATATTTCTCATTGATTTTGTTGTATCTATTACCTGTTTCAAGTTGTCTGTGATATACGCAATAACTGCCAGCCATGCTCTTCGTAATTCTTTATGCTTTCTAACAGCATCTGATCTTCTTGCACAATCCATAATTGTGTCTCCCAAATCATCCCAAACCGCATTGCCCAAACCTTCTCCTCTCAAATTTCGATGTTGTCGACCGATTTCAAAAATGTAAGATGTTATGCGATTATGATCAGTTTCAAGATTCCGAATTATTGCATCAAGTAAATCAACAGTTGATCTACAATGCATTGCAGTGCAATCCATATCACTATTTGCAAATACAGCAACACCATTTGCTTTTGCGAGAAGTTGACGAGCTTTTGCATTTCTATTACAAAGAGTTGAATAAAGACTGGAAGCAAATTGACCATTTGCACCAGTCGAATAGATATTTGGCCAGCATTGAGTCAACAGTTTTTGTTGATATGGGGTAAGTCCTGAATATTCAGATTTTCAGGCTGAATCAATCTATTTGTATCTAGACTACTTACCAATAACATCATTCAGATTCTTTCTTGTTGGCGAAGGTGGGCACGATAAATCACCAGCTGATCTTTGAGACTGAAAAAAGAAATCAAATTAAATCCATAACCACTTCCCGGAACTTACAGTTAATGGTAATCTCAACGCATCAGTTTCTGGACATTCAGTGCGAGATCGACCCATTTGTCCCAAATGAGGACATGTTGTATGACACAAAGGGCTGAGCTTTTGTTTCTCCTGAGATTTAGATTTTGGTTTGGGTCTGGGAGTTGATCTAGATCTAGGTCTTGATCTAGATTGAGATCTTGGACGAGTTCGTGGTTCAGAAGATTTGAAACAATTCAACATTTTCGTTTAGCTCAAAAATATAATATGAAAGAAATATATATATTTTTTGGAAAATGCCAACGAATAGTTCCATCTCATTAACTCATATCTCCCTTGCCTACCTGTTCTCCTCCTTCTTTTTCCATTATTATCCTTTGACGAAGCCTCAATTCTTTACGACCATTCTTTTCCAATGAATCCAGTGAATCTTCGGAAAATGTTCGAGTGAACCTGCAAAAAATAAAAAGTATCTAGGCTGCAATACTCATACTTTTAATCCGGTATAAATTATCCGGTTGCGTGTTTGACAAAAAAACACACACACACAATTTATGTGTTTTTTGTGGAGAACGAAAAATGATATAATGTATATGAAAAATAAAGTGCACACGCCAGTTTGTTTCACCTTGGAAACCCGAAAAACAGGTGAAAAATGAGGGAAAAACGGATACATACCTGAGAGGTGAACTGACAGAACATCGACGAGAACGAGTGATTGAAATGACTGGCGTCATTGAACTTGCCATTTGCTGAAAGACAAATTGAACTCGATTTGATAGTGTGGGGGGAATATTTTGAGATGTATACCACATTTGGTTTTCAATGCGGAATCGGACTAGTAACTTTGAATGGACCTCTAAAATACAATCGAGCCACTCGATTTAGAAAAAATTTCAGAGATATCAAAATACAAAAATTGGCATTTTCTATGGAAAAACTAATAATGAGAATAACTGAAATAAAATAATAAAATAATTTCATACTTTTCCCATGAGATTTTTTTTCAAAAATAAAAAAAAACGAAAAATAGAATCAAAACTCCCATTTTTCCTCTGAAACATAATATCATTCTCATTCAGAATAAGCTGAGAAAAAAAAACTTTTGCGAAAAGGAATTTAAAATTCCCCCAGTTTTTTTTGTCAAATTCGTCTAATACACTTATAATTAATCGAACAAGCGTGCAAAATCATTTAAAATTCAAACACTCGCGGAGTTTTTTTGGATTTTTTCTCTCATTTCGCGGAATTTGTATTTCATTCTTTTCTTTTCAGATTTGAAATTGTATGTAAATATGTGTGGAAAAAATGAAGAATGAACAGGAAAAATAAGTAACAATTTTCTGGATCAACAAACTTTTTTTTCTCTATGAATTTATGATGACCGTTTTTTTGGAGAAAGGACATTTTTCATAGTTGGATGGAACATTTTGGCATTTTTATTCGAAGTTGAAAATTAAATTTTGAATGTGGAATTTTAAAGAAATTGAGGGAAATGAGATTCAGAAACAGTATATTTCGTGATTGCGGTATCAGAAAAATGTTTCGAAAAAATTCAATCTCGAAAAATGTCCATAAAATAATATTAATTGAATTAGCATCAGGTCTTTTTTTTCATTTTTATTCTATCAAACAAGTAAGTATAGAGAAACAAAAGAAAAGAAGCCGTCGACTCGTAAAATGTATATGTTATGGCTTTTTGCTTGCCCCCGGTTTTTTTCCTCGCGCATATTTTTTTTCTAATTTACTTTTTTTCAGCCGGGAACAAAATGGATTCTTTTGTTAGCTAAAAGGCTCATAAAACAACAATAACATGTGATTTTTATAGGCACTAGGGAAATTTTATTTTCAAGTTTTTTTTTGAAAAAAAAATCAGATACTGTGAATCTCTTGATAAATCATTTTAATTGGAGATGTGTTATTTTTAAAACTTATAATATTTTGTTTAATTTAAAGAAAGAACCTGACACAAAACCCAACAAAACGCCCACTTGAAATTTGAAGAAAAAAGGAATACGTCAAGATTTTGAAATTTCTTATTCTTCCAACATGTTTTTTTTCTCCATGTAATTTATTGCATAAATCTTCGCCTACGGAATAAAAGTGAATTTTTGATTAAAATTTTTTCATGATTTATAACCTTTTTAAATAATGAAAAAAACTCACAAAAATATCATTGTTATCTTTTGAAGTTGTTGAAAAATCATTCATCATTGTTAAAACATCTTCCATTTTTTATTGTGCGAAATCTAAAAAAAAAAGAAATTTCAAATGTATGAAAAAAAAACCGAAAGAAAAAATCTGACAAATTGGAAGAATGACTTTTCCAACCCCAAAGAGAAAAGCATTCCTGGAAAAAAACGACGGCGGCTACTCAAAAATGTGTGAGGATGCAAAAAAAAAATGGAAAATAATATTTGAGAATCACGCTATTTTCAGAACGGAGCTGGCTGAAAACGCGTTTGTTGAAGAAATAAAAGTTTCCGGGTTTTGAAACGGAAATTAGGTTGTTTTTGTTGGAAACTCTTTTTCCAAGGAATTACAAGTTGGATACCTTTTTTGGAAACTTTTGGGAAAAAAAGAAAATAACATAAAGATTTTTTCCAAAATAATGAAAAAAAAACTAGAATTATTCTGTTCAGAACAAAAGAAAAATGAAAACAAAAATCAGAGGTCATTGAGAGAGATCTAATTTCATTTCATTTCAAATCCCTCATCTCTGAAAATACTACAGCAAAATCTCCGAAAATCCTGGATTAATGTGAAAATACATACATCCTCCTCCGTAAGGAAAATGTTCAAAATAGGGAGAAAACATCCGTCTGAAATTTTTTTTTCGAAAAGCAAAAACGGAAAAAAAACGCGAATAGACATCTCCCAATCAAATATTAGGATGGCTGCCCAACAAATGTAATGAAGTTTTTTTTCTGTCGGAAAAAATCAACTGGAAACAAATTTGTTAACATTTGTCCTGAAATCATGAGAATTTTTATGAAGGATTTAAAAATTCAAAAATTCAAAAAATCAACTATCCTGATTTTTTGTACTCTCATTTTTTAAATACAAAAACTAAATTTAACTCAAAAGTTCAGTGAATTTTTAATTTCATTTTTTTATTCTAAAAATAAAAAAAAGTGAAATAAAAACAAAGGATTGTTTACGATTAATTCTATTTTTCAAACTTTTCCAGACATCAAAAAAAAAATAATGAAAAAATAACAAAATCTACGGTATTTTTATAAGTTCACAAAATAAAATAAGAATAGCTGGTGATGATGAAAAAGTTGTGTATGTGTAGAAACTAATTAGATACTGGAAGAGTCGAGGACACGAATAACAAATTAAGCGAAGAACAAGAAAAAAAAAGAACAAGAGATGAGCAAAAACGAAATAATTAGAAAACAAAACTTTTTTTTTTTGAAAAAAATATTTTGCAAAAAAAAAAATGGATTTTTCGGAGAAATAGATAGCACTAATAATATAATAATAATAAGTGCAAGTATTCGAACACAAATATTTTCTAACAATAAATCCGATAAAAACTACCGTATTTATTTTTTCAGAAGAATTTTTGATCGCGTCATTTTTCAGTTCCAAAACGGAAAAAATAACTTGAACCTAATTATAATTGAGGAAAGTATGGATACTTCCATGCCTCGAAAAATAATTGTGGAAGAAACGAGAGCAAATAAAAAAATATATATTCGACACAATTAAAAAAATATCGAATGACAAACGGGGTGAGAAGAAGATGAGGAATATTTTTGAACTTTTGAACGAAACATTTTTCAGCAAATAATTTATTTATTATTCTTTTGGTTCAGGATCTGGGAAAATAGTCATTGTTGTTGTGCTACTTTGTGCAGTTAAAGCAATTGTTTTTTGAATTGGTTTGTGGCTGTTCTTTTACAATTAATGAGGCCCATTCTTTTGTAACTGATAATGCGAATGTATCAATTTCTTTCAATAAATCTGGTGCATTTTTGTATCTTTTCAAGCGAAGCTGAAAATTCAATATTTTTTGAATAAACAATGTGTTTTTTCGGCATTTGAACTTACACGAACATAATCAGCTGCAGCATACAAAGCAAAAGCAAAATAAACTTTGTTGCTTAATAATTTAGATCTTTGTGCTCTCAAAGTTTGAATTACCGCTGGAATATCAACTTCAAGATTACGAAACATCAAATCGACAATAAGATCAGTCAAAACAAAGCAGCCAGATCTATCAGTTCCAGTTGCACAGTGAATAACAGCCGGACCTTTTGTTCCAATATCAACAGTTATACTTCTAATTAATTTCAGAATAACTTTCGGGCTAACTGGAACTTTTCCATGTGGCCACAAGGAATAATGAAGAAGTGTGACCATTCGAGCATTCGAACAACCTTCTGGCAAAACTTCAATAACATATGTTGTTGGTGCATATTTTGATTGAGGTGGTGTTACTTTTCGACAATTTACAAAAAATTGACCTTGATTGAAATATTTTCCAACAACATTTGGATAATAATGTGGCAAGTTTTCATCGGGAGAATATATTGCAATAATAGTATCACAGTTTTCATAGAAAACCATTCTCCAGAAATCTTCATAAGTTGATTCGAGTGGATGTTGGGTTACAATATAAGTTCGATCACTTTGAGGATAACCAACCAGATTTGCATGAATAAAATCTTTGCCTGCAGTTTCCAGCTCTTTCAATTTGACTCTTGTTTTCTCAAAACATTTGATATCTTCGTTTCGAATTTTCTCCTTTTGATCCTTGTGCAAATTCCATATTGTTTGGAACTTTATCCATGATTTTTGAATAGGCATCAATCAATCCACCAGGTTGATTTTCTTAAAAAAATCTGTATTTCAAAAAAAAATTGATGAAATCTAGAACCTACGTGTTTTCAAAATCCAACTCAAAGTTTTCCGAACTCCTTGTTCTGCAGGTTGAAATATTGGATCAATTCCACTAGCTGATTCTTCCTCATCAATTGTCACGTTTCTCTGAATTTTTGAATGCGCTCTAACTGTCGTTCTCTTCTTTCTAGTTCTCCTGAAAAATATTACTAATTAGTTAGATGAACTTACAATCTTACTTCATTCGCGACATGTTTCTAGTTTAATAATAATATTTCTCTTTAGCTAGGAACTGCTAATATTCTTCTTCGTCAAAATCGAAGATTTAAAAATACCACAATCTCTAAAAATTGATCCATAAATACTTGAAAAATTCATAAATAGGTCACGTTAACGTAAACAAACAAAACTGATTTATTTTTAAAAAATTCATTAAAAATATCATAATTAATATGAGCAAGCTGTACAAGAACATTGAATAGATGTCTAGAAAAAATCAAATACCGTATCAAATCGAATTATGAAAATGAAAAACGACTAGTCAAAGAAAAACTGAGAAAAAGAGACCATTCAAGATTTGGAAGTCGACGAGGTTCGAGGGAAATTCAAAAACTGATAACGTTTTCGTTTATAAAATAAAAGAGGTTTATTATTCTCTTCTAATGGAATCCTGAATTCTTCGTCGTTTGCGGCAATATTTTGATGTGGTGGTTTTATAGAATGAACTACCGATGTATTATGAACAACAACTGGAGAACGAATTGATGGTGGAGGTGTTTCGAGATCAACCTAAAGATATCAAAGTTTTGAAGAGTTTATTTATCAAAATCTTTTTCAGAAGAAACTAACCCTTCCCATTATTACTATCAACACTTCTTCTTCGCAATCTTCTTTCTCTTCTTTTTTCTCGTTCTTCAGGAGATTCATACGCATTAAAAGTTGCACTAATCTTCTGAGTTCTTGCTGGTAATTCTCTCGAATTCACACCCATCGAAGTAGAATGTCGTATTCCTCCTCCACCTCCAACTCCATAACTTGTATCTGGTTCTGGTTGTTGTGAGAACTGTCGAGAAGAAGAGATTCGTTGTTGTTGTGGTTCTTCGATTGATGTTGTTCGTGACAATCGACTTCCAACTCCAAGATTATTGAATGACTGAAAAAATTATCAGAGTTCTGATAGCTGAAAAATTTAAGCTTACATTTATCAGTCCTTTGAAATGGCTAATAATACTGTTTGATTGAGGAGGTCCACAACTCGCAGTTCGGTGCATCGTTGATTTTTCTTTATCTGATCTTGATGCTCGACGTTCTGAAAAAAATCATTGCATGAAATACAGTCATACTTCAATGAAAAACTAACGTTGTACTGGTGATTGTCTTGGATTCATTGGTGAACTTGGTGTTCCACCACCCGGTGAAGTATTCGAATCAATTGATCTTGGTGTTGATAACAGTGAAACTTTTGGTACAGGAAACGCTGGATTCAATCGTGTATGATTAGTTTCTTCAATAGGTCCATCCATCATTTCTTCACAACTTGCATCAAAAGATCCTTGCCATTTACTCATAATTGTTTGAGCTGTTCTCAAATTATTTGCTGAATTGTCATCCATTTGAGCATTTGTATTATCAAAACTTGATATTTTATTGGTTTTTGATTTATTGCTGTTATATCGATTATTTATTGATAATGTGATTGATTTATTGATTGGTGCTTTTTTTGCGATTGCCGGTGAGTCTTTCAAAATTGAAGATGGAAGTTGAAAATTGACCTCAACGTCATTATTTCGATCTTCATCACATGCTGCAAATCTAGCATTCACAGCATCAATCACATCAAGATTCACAGTTCCATATTTCGGTTTCAAAAATTCGTGTCGTTTATACTTCGGTTTCTCAATTTTATCATGTGCACTTTCAAATCCTCCACCAAGAACTTGTCCATTTGTCTGCTCATCTTCATCTTCGCCCATTGTTATTGGAGCTTGTGTATCCAATGCTCGATTCTCATTTCGCTGATCTCGAATAACTGCCGTCGTATGAGATTTTAATCGGGCAGAAAGATTTCCATTTGTTTTTGAGCGATTAGGAACACTGTCATAGCCATTTTCCCAATCATATGGATCATCCCATTTTATATCCTCTCTGCAAAAATATTTTTTGCTGAAATATATTCCAACAAAAAAACTAACTTGACTATGACTTGATTAAGAAGAGATTCTAAAAATGTATAATCAGGTGCATCTGGATATCCTAATGTTTTCAAATGTGCTGCGAATAAATGAAGTTCTGATGGGCAATCTTCTAATAATGTCGTAAAATCAACATCATCTTTCATTCTTCCAACTTCATCTTTATCTTTGATTTTTCTCCACGGAAGTTGTCCTTGCAAAAATTCAGTCAACATATAAAATAATGACCATAAATCATCTTGTCTTCCCATTTCTTTATTTTTATGTGCTGTTACAGCTGCATATCTAACAGTTCCACGGAATCCAGCCGCACTTCTTGGACTTCGAATTTCACCTTTTGCATTCAGATATTGTCGAGCTAATCCAAAGTCTAACATATAAACATTTCTCATAGTTTGTGAAGTTCTTCCCATTGCAAAATTCGATGGTTTAACATCTCGATGTAAAAATCCAATTGAATGTATTTCTCGAATCCCGTTCAAAATTTGAAGACCAATTCGAATGGCCGTGTTCAGACTGAAACATTGTTTCGGTGCTTCTCGTCGAAGATCAGCCAGATTTTTTCCTTGCAAACTCATGACCAGATAATTGAACTTGTCGTTTCGTCCGCACCCGTAAAATTTACACGCATGTTTTTTGCCCTGGAGTCGCCGTAAAACGGCCACTTCCATTTTTAGGACTTGTTTTGTCGCTTTGCTTGATTCGACTTTTATTGCTACCCGTTCATGATGATTTTGCACATCAGTTGCTTCATATATTTCACCAAAACCACCACCACCAATTTTTGCTTTCTGAAAAATAATTAGATTTTTGAAATTTCTGATTCTCACAGGCATTCAGAATCAGACTATCAAAAAATAATTGAAAGGTCTCAAATTTTTTATGAATAAGTTCCGAAAAAACCAAAGCACTTTTTAAAAATACAGCTTGCCTGGAATTTATTTTTATCCGATTTTTCGGAAACTCAAAATTAAAAAAAAATCAAAACTTTAGATAATATTTTCGTGACTTCACAACTTTTTAAAATCAAAGTTCAAAACTCACTATTTTCCATCGCTCCCTAATAACCTGTCCAACCTGTAGAATCTCTCCTTCAGATGACGATGTCATTATTTCATCTCTGCAAATATCCAATCAATTTTATTACGAAGAAAATATATCAAAAAAGTACGTAAAGCTTCGAGAAGAAGACACACACAACAATAGACAAAATCAATGACCAAAAGTATCAAATCTTTTTTTTTTGCTTGCTCTTCTAACAAGAAAAGCTCTTCCTTTTTCTGTTTCTGAGCGAAGCGCAAAAAAAAAACGAGAGAGGAAGAGAAAGTTGCTAAAATTCCAAAGGGAAAAATAAATCTGGGTTTGGTGTATGTCAAAAAGTCTTACTACTTTGAATTTTCTAGAAAACCCGAAAATAGAAGAACACTTTGAAAAATGAAATACTGCAAACAAATATGTTGACAAACAAAGTAATAAAGTTCTTGGGGTAGGAAGAAAATGCCCAAGATGATCACTGATTTCATTTCCAGACATTCTGAAAGAGTTCAGAAAAATAATTGGGCACAGGAGAATTACTGTAGTTTTTTTTTCGAAGTAAATAAAAAAAATTCAATTTTATTTTATTTTTAGTTTTTTTTTGCTTGTTACTTGCTGATTGTGAAAAGGAACGAACGAGAATAAAAATAATAAAAATAAAAGCGAAGAGAAGATATTAGAAATTTGTGCGGCAACAAAAGTTTTGTCGAACAGCTGACACACCGTGTGTATGTCAAAACCAACCTAGGCTTCGTCTTCTTCATTTTTCACATTGATTCGAGAAAAGCAAAGGCAAAGGTAAAGGAAAGGAAATGATCGATTATAAGGGGTGCAATTGCACCCTAGAAATATATATGGAAAGTTTTCAAAAGTTTTTTTCTTGGATGGCACAAGAAAAAACCAATTGAATTTTCAGGCGTCAGAAATGTTTTCTGTTTTTTTCTCGAATTCTTGTGTCTTCTAAATTATATTCGAGAAAGAAAAAAGCAGAAGAAAAGAAAACCGAACAATTTCATTTTTGCTAACAGGCTTTTTGGATTTTTCCTTTCTTTTCTTTTTCTCGAGAATAGAAAAAACCAGTTCAATTATTATCAAATATTTTCGGATATTCAAATATGGTCATTAAAACACTGATTTTTGAACATGGATAACTTTATTTTTATTTTCGTATCCTTAAAATAAAAAGGGCAAACTTCCGAAGGGAATATTTTTCGGTTGCTATGAGAAGAAAGTAGATTTATAAGGGGCTCATAAATAAAAACGAGATCATTTTGAGAAATAAACCGATTAAATGTAGACAATTATTTGTAGGGAACAATGATATCTGAAGATCTAAAAGTGGCCATCAGATCCGTTTTAAAAATTTCTGTTGAAGTTCTGAAAATGAGAATCATAAAACCATCATACAATTTCGAGGTTTTGGAACTTAAGATTTTTAAATTTTTCATTTCTGACACCTCTTTTCCGGAGAAAAAAGTAAAATCTCGTAAAATATGCATAAACTAGTATAGTTCGTCTTCTTTTTCTAACACAAACGACAACAATGAAGAGAAATACACAAAAATAACGGGGGAGAGCTTGAGAAAAAGAAAAAAGAAGAATGTATGCAAGTAATGTATGCAAACGAGAAGGGGGGGGGGTCTTCTTTTTTGCTTGTGTCCATCTTTGTGGCTGGGGCTGGCTCACTAAATTTCGAGATTGTTATGCTGTTTGAATAAGAAAAGGAAAAGGACCACGAAGAAAAAAAAAGATTTTTCGGAAGCAAGGATGGGAAAAAATGAATAAGAAGGAGAGGATGAGCAAATAAGTGACCGGAAAAACACGAAGGACGAGTGAACTAACGAATTTTTTAGATTTATTGGGTCCCTGGTTTTGGGAAATTTTTAAGGGATTGAAATGGACTTCAAAATATTTGAATTGAACACACGGGAAAAGGAAATCGGAACGTCTTGAAGTTTTTCTAGCTTTCCGAGCTTGGGATTATTACTAAAAACTAATACTTTTTTTTAGATCATATGTAGGTGTATTTGACACCATCGCATGTCACAAAATAAATATCTAGTTTATTTTTAATTAAACACCACCACACCAAATATTCTTAGCAAGGCGACATGAATAATTCAATAAACACTCACGAAATTTAATTAGAGTACATACAAACACTTGACACCATCCCGAGCTAACTAAAATAAATTCAATATTTCTTTCCACAAAAAAATTGTTGCGCGCAATATTTTTGAAGAGGAAATTAGGTTGAAAGCATTCGAATTTGTTAATCCGAGTGATGTTTTCTTTTTTTTTGTGTGTCAGTAAGTTAGTCAATATAAAAAACAAACAGAAAAACATAACTAACCAAATTCAAACCACATGTGAATTCAGCCTAAAGCGTCACAGCTTTGAATAGATTGAAAAAGTAGAAAAGGAGAAAATGTTTCGGATTAGGATTTTCACCGGACGGATTAACTATATTAATCTCATTCGAAAGAGACAATTTTGCAAATTGATGTATTTTTGGAATTGCAAAAAATCGAAGATTCAAACTTTTTTCTCGAAAATCAGATGATCTACGCTTGAAATATGTCGCCAATTTGAAAACTTGCAGAAAAAGTCCAACAAACTTTGGCAGAATGTATATAAATAAAATGCATAAGAAAGAGTCCATTCGTCAAACTGGAAGAAAAACCAAGAAAAAAAGAAGACGAAAAAAAACATTTATCTTTTAAGCTCATCTTATTCTTATGTATTCTTTACTCCATTTTTTTCAACTGCACAACGCAATAAGGCTTTTAATCTACCTAAAGGATTAGCCACTAATTACCACCTAAAAATAATACTCGATTAATTAATTAGGTAAGAAAAATAACATGGGTGGCACTTATTAATTTTGAGGAATAATATTAATGAGGGGGAGGGGGTTAGGTTAGGAATTCTGATGTGGCAAGATTTAACAAGTATTCAAAAATGAATAATTCACAAATGAAAGAAAATATCAAATTTCCTTCTGCATTTTCACATGTTAGTTTGAAACTCAATATGTAAAGGTCCAGAAAACTTTAAAATGTTTCAAAAAAAAGCAGAAGAATTTCAAGTTCAAAGAAAAAGAGCAAAAGAAATTGAACGCACTCATTCGAGAGCAAAATGGCGGGATTGATGGAAATAGTTGGAAAATATGAGAGATTTAAAGATAAAGATGCGGGAAAAGAGAGAATAGGTGATAGGTATTGGAGCTTGTGAAAAGAGAAGGAGAAACAATTACGTAGCACAACGAATTTATGACATTTTTTCGAAAAATCAGGTTTTTTTTATTGCACTGATGGGTAAATTGGATTTTTGAGATATGGAAATGTCGGTTTGATTTTTAAAGAAAATTTCACAATGTGTAATTAACTACCCCAGATTTCAAGACCTCAACATTTTCAAAACTTGTTCGGAGTAGATCAAAATTTTTTCTCTAACAATAAATCTCTCATTTTCGCATTGATTGCATGTCGTGTGACCCACAGTCTCTAAACTCGAAAAGGTTCAATTTTGCAGCCCTGATTTCAAATTCTCAATAATAATATCCGCTTTGATTTGAAAGCCAAAAACATATGACAACTATTTTTCAAAATTATTGTTAGGTATCCGAAAAAACTTCAAAATTGTGACAAAAAATCCAATAGAAAAGTCCGGAAATTAACTTATTTTCAGGAAAAAACTAACAATTCTGAAATAATTAGAACTAGTACTGCTATTGCTACTGAATACAAAACAATCTTTAAAATATTGATAACTATGAAAAAAAACAAAAACAAATATTCGAACAGCAGAAAAAAACAAAAATAATAATATACTTCCGGTCAAACCCGTTGGTACCGCACTAAGAAAGGGAATTATTATTTATTATTGTTCAAATAAATATTGGTGTGGTTTTAGTTGGGGTGGTGTATTGACCAGAAGGTTAAGTGTAAACAAACAATTCCAACAGAATCGAGAAAAAGCTGAATAAATCAATGAATATGTATTACACACGGAAAAAAGAATAAATGAAAAAAAAATAAAGACACGGAAAAAGCTGGAGAAGAGACAAATATGAAAAAAAAAACAAAATGTGTGTAAAAATATTTTTTATTGACAAAAAAAATGGCCACCTGCAGAAATAAAAACTAATAAAAAAGTTTGGAATAAAAATAACAATTATGGACGGCTGTGAAAATAAACACTTGTTTTGATCTACAAAAATTAAAAGATCAAAATACAAATTTATTGGAAGGGTTACTGTAGTTTTGAAAAAAATTCAAGAGTGTTGATGTTCCAAAAAATAAGAAATTCGGGACGTGAAATGTTTTCCACGTTTCAAAAATTTAGCGAAAATCTGTCATTATCTATCAAAAGTGAAATTTAAAAAGGTGAGTTTTCAACCACAAAAAAAAAACAATTTGTGATAAATTTTCAGACAGATTCTAATCAAAAAATAGACGAAACAACAAAATGGCAGCAAATAAAGATTCCATTCTTCTCTATTTAGAGTAAGTTCGAATTCCATTTTTTCTCAAATCTATAGAATATTTCATTCTAGATCAGAGCTTGATGAAGGAGAATCGGAAGTGGATCAATATCAATACACACCTCGTTCAACCGCTGGAGGTGGAACTGCAACTGGAGGATCTTCTTCAAATGCCGGTGCAGTTGATGATGATCGTGAAGAAATATCACCAATTGATGCAATGGCAGCAATTTCAGTCGAAGGTGATTCACTTCTTCATGATATGTTCACAGCAACAATTGTTTATCCACCAAATTTTGATATTTTTATGGAAAATATGGCATTTAATCGTTGCCCTCATCTTCCATGTTATGATCATACGCGAATTATTTTGAAGGATAAACTTGGATCTGGAAGTTATATAAATGCTTCACATGTTGATGGTTATACTGGGAAAAGATGCTTATATTTTTGCACAAGCTCCATTTACTACAGAAACAACCAATCAATTTTGGCGAATGGTTTGGCAAGAAAAACCAAGTATGATTGTTGTATTAGGAGCGATTGATGAAAAACAAGCAAAGAAAGAAGAATCTGAATATGATATTGGAGGAAAAAACTTTGAAAAAACATTTGCTCATGAATTTGGAAAAGATACTTTTGGTGATGCTGAACAATTAATCCATATTCCCAAATCATTTTGGCCAGCAAATATGTCTGATAGAATGGAATTTGCAAAAGATAAACAACTTGCTGTCCAAAATTCAGGAGTTTATAAAGAAACACATATTGATGTGATTAATTTGACGATTTCTGAAGGAAGAGATAAATCAGCATCGACAGCGTTGGTTCATTTCAAAGATTGGATGGATGAAACTCCACTTCCTGAATTTCTACCCGATATGCGAGCTACGGTAATTTCTCTACTATTCATTATGATTTGTAGTATATGTTATTGCAGATCAAACTCCATCATATTCGTTGTTTAAAGAAACAAACAGCATTCACTGGTCCATTATTATTAGTTTGTCCAACTGGAATTACTCGTTGTGGTTCTTATGCAATTCTTGATATTTGTTTGACTCGTTTAACAGAAGAACATAGTGTTGGAATCAAAGAATCAATGCAAGCAATCAAATCTCAACGTTATGGTTGTTTCCGAAATGTTGAACATTATAAATCGATTCGTGAAATGATCACAAGATTTGCAATTACTTCTGGAATTGTTCATGAAACTGCAATCGGTGAAAAACAAGCATCAACCAAGAAAATCAAGAATCCAACTGGAGGAAAGAAGAAATTCTTCAATATCAAACAACTTGGAAAATAATTGTACTTTACTCTTTTTTTCAATATTTTCTTCCTATTTTTTGACTCCATTTTGAGTCGGTAGAATAAACATGCATTCATTCACGAAATGTTGTCGAACTTTCGATTTGTGCCAGCCAAAAATATACTTTGTCAATATTTATTTACTTTCATCGAAGTAAGAAGGGTATTTAAAGAAAATCTGTTGAAAAATATTATTATCTCTAGAGTCATGAGGCTACTTTTGTCAATTTTGGTTATTGGTCTTTTGGGTTTAAAGGTTTCTGCGCTTTTGGGAATTGGAAGAACACAATCAGTTGCTGTTTCTGGAAGATTAATTTGTAATGGACAACCAGCTGCAAATGTTAAACTGAAGTTATATGAAAAAGAAACAAGTAAGTCAATATTATGGATAACATTCTAGAAAAAACACATTCTATAATTTCAGCATTTGATGTGAAAATGGCTGAAGGAAAAACAGACAGTAATGGGCAATTCAGATTATCTGGAAAGAAGACTGAAATAACAACTATTGATCCAAAATTGAATATTTATCACAAATGCAATTATAATGGACTTTGTTATAAGAAAATTGGAATCACTATTCCTGACAACTATGTTTCATCTGGAGCAAATCCACAAAAAACCTATGATATTGGAACATTAAATTTGGCCAACCAATATACTGGACAAACAACTGATTGTATAAATTGATTATTTTTTGAGGAAAAATAAATATTTGAATTGATACTCACTTTTTCGCCTTGTGATATTTACTTGTTTTTCGAGATGATGATGTTTGAAATTGATGCGCGAACGTTGACTTATCTCTTCATTTCTCTCAAACGTGTTTTTTTCGAGATAAATGTTGGAGAAAAAATAAAAGTGAAAATGAACATATGTATAAAAATTTTATGGTCACGTCTGAAAATTTAAATTTCAAAAATTATTTTAAAGTCAGTTTTGTATAAAGTTTTTCCACAGGGAAGTCGATTAGATAGCTAAGAAAGATCAGTGAAAGATTTTCAACTCAACATCGAGGTGTGTGTGATTTTGGCCTCTTGGCTGAAGACTGACATGAGATATTTTTTTTCAACTAATGAACCTCAAAAGTACTGTAGTTTCCAGCTCAAATTCAATTTTGAAACAGTACTATTTCATAAAGTTCATTTTCTGTTGCACAGAAAATAGTTCATAAATGCACTTCACACTGTTTTCATCACATTCTCTCCTATTGAACATGTTTGACGTAAGCATGTGTTTTGAAAACGGTGCCTGGTAATTCTATTCAAATGATTCATATCTGTTCAATTTCAATAAAAAATGTGAGACAACTATAAACCACAGTCTCAAATAACCTTACTACATACTTGCACAAATACCCGCCCAATGGCAAATAAACCATTTCTATTTAAACTCAATGCGCTGTCACAAAATTAACTTTGATCTGAAATGGCATTCCTTAAATTCTTCACTATTCTCGCTGTACTTTGCAATGTTTCATATGCTTTACTTGGAGTTGGACGAACTCAATCAGTTGCTGTTTCGGGAAGATTGATTTGTAATGGACAACCAGCTACAAATATCAAGCTAAAATTGTATGAGAAAGAAAGCAGTTAGTTTTTTCTTCCAAAACAAATACCAAGATGTTAACAAATATTTTTCAGCATTTGATGTTTTGCTTCAAGAAGGAACTAGTGACAATAATGGACAATTCAGATTATCTGGATCAAAAACTGAAATCTCAACTATCGATCCAAAATTGAATATTTATCACAAATGCAATTATAATGGACTTTGTTATAAGAAAATTGGAATTACTATTCCAGATAACTATATTTCATCTGGAACAAATCCACAAAGAACCTATGATATTGGAACATTAAATTTGGCCAACCAATATACTGGACAAACAACTGATTGTCTCAATTAATTTGAACTTTAAAGTTGAAAATGATCTCTACTTTTTTTGATAAACAATTTTTGAAAATATCTGATTTTATTGACAATGAGTAAACTAGGTGCGGTGCCTCTAGGCAAATCAGTCAGAAAATCCTCAAAAATTCTAAACTTTGAAGAAAAACCTATTTTTTGCAGCTAAGCTGATGTGAGAAAAAGATTTCTATTAAAAAAGTTACGCCAGGGAATAAAAATTGTGAAGTTTAATGAGACATAGACTATAAAAGAAAAATGAATAAATTCAAAACAAACAAAATGAATAAATTCAAAACAAAAATGGAATCCGCGTGCATAAAACTTTAAAAAAATTAATCAATATGAACTGTTTCATAGTTTGTTTTTCAATAAAATCTGGAAGCTGATCCTATACCATAAAGTGTAATTCAAAGCTTCATCTAATCATTTGAACATAGTAATTTATAAACAACTTTCCTTCAACATCAATAGTAAATAAGAATAAAAAACTTTACCCAATATTTTTCAATGAAGCTCTAATCTCACCTGTTAGTTTTGTTCCCCCCCCAAACCTCAAAATAAAATAACTTGACTTGCCCGTTCCGTGAAAAGTTGCTGATCGCTTTGAATGTCCTGTGCAAACGAAACATCTTCTTTTTCGGAAACCCTGAAACTTCTACATTCATTTTCTCAAAATTTTCGCCTATTCTTAAACTCACATCAGAAAATAACAAATGTGGAATTGATGGAACTCCTGCATTCTGTGATGGTTGTCTCTGAAAAAAATAAGAAAATTAAAAAATGTGCCAAATCACCCCATTAATAACACTTTTTGCGCTGCAAAAAACTACTCAAAAACCAGAAAAAAAACAAAAATTAAAAATGTCGTGGGGAAAAAATAAAAGCGAAACAACGATACTCCGCGTGCGCGTTGTTTATCGTATTTATTTTATTGTTTGTTTTTTGCAGGGTAGATGAGAGAGTGTGGGAAATGGAGAGAGGGTTAGAGAGAGAGAGAGAGATATGTTTTTTATTTGAAAAGACTATTGATTGAACGTTTTTTTTCGAACTGAATCATTTTTCTGGTTTTTTTCAGGGTATATTTTTTTAATTTTCTTATTTTTTTCAGAGACAACCGTCACAAAATGCAGGGATCCAATAAAATCCACAATTGCCATTTTCTGATGTAAGTTTAAGAATAGGCGAAGATTTTGAGAAAAAGAATGTAGAAGTTTCAGGCTTCCGAACAAGAAGACGTTTCGTTTGGACAGAACATTCCAAGAGATCAACAACTTTTCACGGAACGGGCCAGTCAAGTTAGTTTATTTTTGAGATTTGGGAGGGGGGAGGAACAAAACTAACAGGTGAGATTAGAGCTTGGGTGAAGTGTTTTATTGGGTGAAGTGTTTTATTCATAATTACTATATTGATGTGAAAGGAAAGTTGTTTATAAATTACTATGTTTAAGTGGTTAGATGAAGTTTTGAATTACACTTATTTGGTATGGGATCAGCTTCCAGATTTTATTGAAAAACAAACTATGAAATATTTCATAGGTAGATTTAATTTTTTTCATAGTTTTATGCACGCGATTCGGGATTTCATCAAAAAGGTAGATATAAAGCCTTCATCAAATATCCGAATTGAGATAAAACAAAATAAATAAAGTGAAAGATACAAAAATAAGGCAATAAATAAGTAGAATAAATTGTGATTAACACCCTTTAACATTAGTATTATCAGGACATGTACAAACTGGTCCCGATTGTCCTGGAAGACACAGATAATCGCATCCTCCGTTATTTTCTCCACAATGATTACGTGCTCCTTGACAAGTTTTTGGGATGCTCAAAATTCCAAAAACTTTTCCAGAACCACCAAGTGAAATTGGGAAACTACGATATCCTTCTCCATAAATTCCAACCGAATGAATTCGACTATCTTTCCAATCTGTCCAATAGAATTTCTGCTCATTTTCATGTGTTAATCCGAATGGATATTCTAGTCCGTTGAAAACAGTTCGTCGACCTGCACCATTGAATGAAATACAAGATAAACGATGAACACCGGCATCAATCCAACAAAGTTCTCGTCGATTTGGAAGAATTGTAAGACCATTTGGAAGATGCACATCTTCATTTAAAAATACTCGATTATTGAGACCATCCAAATCAATTCGCCCAATATATGGGTTTTCACGATGCCAATCAGAATAATACAAATGTTTTCCATTCAAATCAATCGCCAAACCACGTGGATTCACAAGACCTTCAGAAATCAATGTTTTCTTGTATTTTCCATTTAATGAAGCAACACCAATTTCATCATTCATTGAATCGGCATAATACACGTTTCTGAAAAAAAGATGATTCAAAAATAGTACTTCAAGTTTCTATTACCTAGCCGACCAATCCACAGCAATTCCTTCTGGACTACTCAAATCTTTTGCAAAAAATGATTTGTGTTCAGTTCCATTTAGTGAAGAAGTTCTAATTGAATGTCCTGACATATCACTCCAAACGATCTTCTCTTCTTCACAATCGAAATCAATTGATACCGGTACATGATGAGGAATCACAATTAATTGTTTTCCATACTCGTCTGGATTTGTTGACCGTTCGAAAATCGCCATACCACGTGCAATAAGAAGTTTATCGGTTCTATGCGAAGAGTCCGCTGAAAATAATTTTTTTCGAATTTCAACACAGAAAATTGGACGATAAGGGGTGCTTTTCTGAACATAAGGATGTGTTTCCCTAATAAGCAACATAGGATAAGTTAGACAAACACAACGACATTAAAAACCTTATAATAAAAATTGGGATCAAGAAAATAACTTTTCCCAAACTGAAATTGACTTCTGAAAATACATATATCGAAATTTGATAATTTGTATCTGATCTAAACTAACGTGAACAAGTTCTTCCATCTCCGTGATATCCATAATGACAGTTGCAAATATAATGGCCACCTTCTCCAGGTACACAATCAGCATTTTCATCACAAATCGATCGATCATCCAAACAACTAGTCATCGAAACACAAAGATGTCCGTTTCCCATAAATCCGGCGTTACATTTACATTGATATCCACCATTTTGATTTTGGAAACAATATGCGTGAGTTGAACAATTTGTACAACGCTGGATTTCTTGAACATCACATTTTGAATATCCGTCTCCAATTGAACCTGGTTTACATAAACATTCATAGGAAGATGTTTCGTGTCGAAGAACACATTGTGCATTTGCGTGACAGATTCTTGGATCAATTTGACAATTTGTTGCTGGCGCAAAAGGAACACAAGATGTTGCATCTTTTCCTTTGAATCCTTCAATACATTTACAAATATGCCCATTTTGCATTTCATCGTAAACACATTTTGCATTTTGATAACAAGCATTTGGATTTGATGGATGACATTGATCTGCTCCTTGACAATTAATAAAACCATCCCCACTGAAACCAGGAAGACATTCACAAATATATTCACCAGCTCCGTGTTCATTTATCACACAATGACCATTGATATGACAATCTGATGATTCAACACATGTTTTTGGTTGAGCTGGAGTTAGATGAACTGGCTTTGCAAGTGGGACACAATTATAACCATCTCCGATAAACGCAGCATAACACTCACATCGATATTGTCTAAAAATTGAACGGGATTTTTTTTTAAATAGAAAATTTCAATTTTCAAACTAACCTGTTGTGATCGTCATAAACGCATTGACTGTTTTCTCCACAATTTGGTGAGCATGACTCAGATGGATGTGGAGGGGCAGGTGGTAAAAGAACTGAAATATTGGGTTAGGCGAAACAAAGGGGAGAAGCTTGATAAAACAAAACACAAACAACATTCAGACATACCATTAGGATTTGGAAGAACATTGGAAGAAATAGCGAGTTGGGATTGCATACAATATTTGCCGTCTCCAGTATAACCGGAACGACAAATACAACGGAATTGTGAACCGGTTGAGCTACCCTCGTAAGCACAATCAGCGAATTCCGAGCAATCATTTGTGACGTCACAACCGACATCAGAAGCTGGATAGAGAAAGACATGCGAAAGGTGGCATAGAAGATACAAATATACTCACCTTGAGATGATGAACCTGGAAGTGAACAATCAACACCGTTTCCGATGTATGGTTCAGTACAAGTACATTGATAATATCCAAGAGAATGATGATAAGTACAACTTCCATGTTGAGAACATTCTTCGTGTGATCTACAAACATTTGAAAGTTGACCAGTTTGGGCAGGAGAAACTGCTGGATGACGTTGATTTTGACCGTCGGGAAGAAGACTTTCACAATGAATACCATTTCCTGAGAATCCAGCTTTGCAAACACATTCAGACTAAAAAATAAATATTAGATCTATCGAAAATTTTGGAAACTTACTCCTCCACTTGTTTCTGGTAAACATTCGGCATTCACATCACAAACACTAGTTCCACAAATTTGTCCTCGTCTTTCCGGTTGAGCTGGATGAATTTGTTGCGCTGGATGGATTTGCTGCGCTGGTTGATTTTTTTCTGGTGGTCCACAATGTTTGACACCGTCTCCAACATACCATCCTCTACATTTACATCTTCCAGTTGGATGTTCCGCTGTGAATACACATTCTCCCCATTGATGGCATTGACTATGACCAGTGCATGCTCCATCCACTTGATTTTGTACAGCGATTTCGATCTCTCTCGAAGCCTCAGATTGTTCACGAACACAATTTTTTCCATCTCCCAAAAATCCAGGCAAACATTCACATGAAAAACTTCCTTGTTTATTTGTACATTGGGCATGTTGATTACAATTATGATCTCCTCTTTGACACTCATCCAAATCTTGACAAACCCATCCAATTGGTGAATTGTTGTCATGAGCTGATTGATATCCTTGCTCACATTCACATCGATAACTTGGATCAACAACTCGACATCTCATATTTGGAAGTGTGCATTGATGTTGTCCATTTGAACAAGGATCTGTTGATGATTGTGCTTCTGAAGGAATATGCAAAGGTGCTCCATGTGCTCGTTCTCCAGTTTTACTAGCATAGTTTTTCGAACTGTATCTAACAACTCCTTCATCAGCATTATATACTACAGTAACCCTTTTTACTTTCAAAGTCATTTTTTGATCTTTTTCAAATGCTTGATGTGGACATTCTTCGAAACTTATTTGTTGTTCAATTGTCATTCGAATATTTTGAGTATTTCCATTATCGATTATTCTAACATCAAATGAAGCATGTGAAGTGAGAACACCTGAAAATGAGAAATGTCTTATTTGAATTGAGCATTTTTGAAAGCTATGAAAATTAAGTGTGAAAATGCTGAAAAACTGAAACTGTGCTCAAACCTCTGTAAGAAGAAGATGCTTCATCAAATTCTGAAAATATTGTTTCCCTCAATACTTAATTTCTCCTATTTTTTTCAAATTCCCAACAAACCTTGTCTTTCTCTGACATATTCTTCTTCATAATCTGGGAACAAAATCTCGCTTCCCGGCGCAACATCTGGCAATGTTCCAGAAACAAACAAATGTGATTTGAAATAGTCATAAATATTTCTTCCGGAAAACTCTTGTCGAATTGTAACATAATTATTTCCGATGTGAATATTTGCAGTTCGATTGAACAATCCTCCGGTGACTTGGAAACCATTATAAACACTTGGAGCTTGAACCTATAACATATTTCAGCTAGGTTTTCGAATTTTCTTGGCTCAAACTTACATCAGCGAATAACCATCCCATAACACTCCCAATTGAGTTCAATAACATTAATGGATGTCCAAGATCTGAGGGGATTTTTGAAATAGCAGTATAGACATTTCCATCAGTTGCAGTTGCAAATGTATGAAGATCGGTTCGATCAATTGGAATTCGATTAATAACACCTTCAAAGCTACCAGATATTCTTTGTGGTTCTCCTTTTGGCAAACACTCTTTTCCATTTCCAAAGTGTCCTGGCTCACAAGAACAACAGAAACCGGTTGAGAAATCTCTGAAAATCACTGTTATTATTAGAAAAACTCAGAAAAAACTCACTGGCAAATCGAATGAACGTGGCAAGCTTTTTCATCTTTTTGAGCGCAAGTTTGAGCGGATACGGTATTTTGTGGAACTCTTGATTCTTCTTGTGTTGGAACTTGAATTTCTTCTTCATCTTCTGATGAATCATCATCTACAGTATTTTCTTGTGGAACTTGTGGAACTGCTGGTCGTTTAGGTTTTTCTGCGCAAAGACATCTTGGACATCCTCGTTCATCTCGAACAAATCGACATTCTTTTGGACAATCGTCAAGGAATTTATCCTTTGGACAATCAGAAGCTGAAAGCAAGAAGAGTGGGGTAATTTATCTGGAAGTATTTCACTCACGAATTTCTCCCTCATATTCTTGATCATAATTATTATAGTCATATTCATCACCTCCTTCTTCTCGTGGATCTTCGATTGCTGGACCAGAAATTCGGAAAATGAAAGAGTTGCCAAATTGATTGTTTGATAAACTGAAACAATTTTTTTTTTGGGAAATGATTTTAAAAACAATCTCAAAAAAAACAAACTTGACTAATTCTTTAACATCTGGACCGCCAGAATTAACATTTGTTTGAATTTTTCCTTCCGAATGAACAAAACCAGTTTGAGCATAATATCCCATTGAAGAAGACCATGGAAGATTACCATAATGAACAACCGAATATGTAGACATTCCATCGGAAACAATTGCCAATTGAAATTCGGCTGATCCATCTTTCTCAGAATTCTGAATTTCTGTCCAAGTAATGATGATCGCTTGAATTCCATGAAAATCTCTTGCATCGGCGAAAACTTGTTTCACATCATCTGTCAATTTTTTGAGCAAACTTTGGTCACTTGAAGTGACTCGATAATATAATTGACCAGATGAAGTTGGTGCGTAATAAACAGCGATCGATGGATTTTTGATGTGTTGAAGTGGTTCAATTTTATCAGGTACACGATGTCCGAGACCAATTATTCCGTTGTGTGAAATAAAAATCTCATCAGTCGATTTTTCCATGAAAATAATCGGAACATCAAGAACAACGCCATTTTGGTCAAGAGTATATTCAAGTTTCTGAAATTTTTTATTTGCCAAACTTTCTTAAAATTTCAAAAATCAAACCTTATCATTGTGACTTTCCCCAAATGGATAAAATCCATCAGTTGTCGCATATATTACCCTACTACTTATTAAAAGTAGTAAAAGTAGAAGGTTCATTGAGATATCTATAAAAAAACAATAGTTTGATATCTGATCATTTAGGAAAAAAGTTAATTAGGGTTAAGAAGAGATTTGCGGAAAAACGCCGAAAAATCAAAACAAAATAATTTTTTGGCGGGAAAACGTTCGAGTAAAGAAGATTCTTAGAATAGAGTTGTGATAAGACAAAGTCAATGTGCTGATAAGAAATGAATGTCAAATACACAGAAAAAAATACTATTTATTGACAGTTTTTGGGGAAAATGTTGCGAATTTTTACACAGCGAAAAAAAATTATTTTTTTGTACACAAAAAAATTCGTTGCGGAAATTCAAAAAAAAAATGGGCGGAGTTTTCCACGTGCAACCCCTGGCAGCGTTTTTTTGCAATATGTGCGCACGGTTTTTGTGTGTTTATTTTTAGCGTATTTTGAAATTCGGGTTTTCGCAGGAAAAAAATGCCGGAATAAGAGAAAAATGGGTTTTTGAGAACAAAAAAAGAAAAACTAGAATATTTGATAACAATGCCACGCATATGGAGACTTATGAATGCTACAAATGAAGAAAACAACGAGAATCCATATCGCCATGGATTTTTCAATAAAAATCTTCGATTATTAATTTTTTTTTTCAGTCTATTTTTTGTTTATAAGATGAAGCCAATAAGTTTTGAGGTATATAAATGATCATGGTCAAAATTCACAACATATTTTTGTAAATCTATCGATTTTGGTTTTAAAAAGGCCTAACTCGAGATTAAAATGGGCCAAGATGAAGGTGCTAAAACATGATGCACTGTGCATCATAAAAATCTTTCTTACCAAGTTTTGCCGAATTTAATGCAAGTAATGCATTCATTCATATACAAGTCGATATGAGCAACATAAAACTGTTTAGTGATATTTTAATGTTCTAAGTTTTTTACCAAATGAAGAGAACGAGACAATGTTTAGTTTGAATATAATTCTAAAACATATAAGGATAGACTCGGAAGATCTTTCAAGTATGAACTTTATTATTAGCACAAGCATATTATCAAAAGCAGAATATTTATTAGCCTCCCAACGCGTATTCGTGGATTTCTAGCGTCGTCTTTCTCGTCGTCTTCACATGTTCACGGAATCCAGCATATTGCACAATTTTCTGGAAAAAATGGGGGACAACGGGGATAGCTTGAAAAGTCAACAATTTATTGATATATTAATGTCAAAGATATTCATAGGGGTGAAATTTATAATAAAAAATGTTCTGTGTTTCATTGAAAATTCAAAAATCAAGCATGTCTCGGAAAATTTCCGAATTTTCTGCTTTTTTCAGATGAACTCTAAATAAAAAAGTTTCGCGGTTAACTTAGTGCTCAAATACAAAATTTGAAGACCTCAAAAATCTTACGGTTCATTTTAAAATTGTATTTTGATTCCCATGAAAGTTGCTATTATTTGTGATGAACAATAAACAAAATATGATTTAAACGTTGAAAGAATTTTCAATATGTTATCATGGAAAATTTCCACTTTTCGAAGTATCAAAATAAAAATTCATCGACTAGAAAAGAGAAAAAATGGAATATCCGAAATAAACAGGCTTCAAAAGATAAATGTGTACGGTATCACATATTAAAGGATCATTATTGAATTTTATGAATATATCTAGCAGCGAATCCGAATGACAGTAATTTTTTTCAATTTTTATAAATGTTTTTTCAATTTTTTCAAATCCTATAAGTAATTTACATGCATAATAACTAATATTAAAATGCAATCGACCTCATCTTTTGAAGAACCGGACTCCGACGAAGATCGTAAGTAGTTTTCAATGGTAAATTTGGTTAAGGGTTTACTTTTTTCAATATTTAAGTAAATAAAATGAGGAAAAAACTCATCTAACAACAGCGTAAATCCCATTTTTGGTTGAATCGTCGATAGGTGACCAAAATCAGTTGGGATATCTGAAAAAAGTAATGTTGACTATGTTAATGATTTTTCAGATTCAAGATCAGCAAAGAGGAGGAAAAAAATTGATTTCGGTACTTATGTCGAAGGGCTATCTTTCCAAGAAATGAAAGCCGAAGTTCTGCGAATGAATAAGGAAAATATGACTCTTCGCATGCAAAACGTCCAACTCCGCCGTGACATTAAAGAAGCTCGTAAAGATTCACTCCAAGTGTTGGAAGCTCAACCAAAACCGCATCTAACTGAAGACAGTGTTGAACGGCTGGAGAAAATTTGTGCTTCGCTGCGAAAGCGAAATCAAGAATATGAGGATCGATTGAAGCGAGAAATCGAAGAGCACTCCATACGAGAGGAACTCTTGAAGAAATTATTAGACCAAAAAGATCTGGAAATCGATGAACTCCAAAAACTCAAGCAGTATATCGGAAAAAATCAAAAACTTAGAAAATTGAATGAACAGCACAGAAAACAATCTGTTTATCTAGTGAAAAAAAGAAAAGAAGAAATCAAAGTGGATCCATCAAAAAAACGCAAAGTGAGATCCAAAAATTATCATAACACGAAGGGATTTCAAGCAAAGCTGAACATTGTTGCCGAAGGAATTGAGATTCTCACGGGTATGGCCGGAGTCAAAGGATATCGAAACTTTCTTTTAAGTTTAATGAAACAATCAGGAAAAATTCCTGCATTGAATTTCACTCCCAAATTTTCAGTTGCTCAGGCTATTTCTGTGCAGACAACCCTGGGTATGCCAAAGAACATGCTCGTTAGATTGAAAAGTTATTTCCGACGCATTCTTGGTGTTGATCCATTTCCATCAACGGCTGCTATGGACGAACTTGCAAAAACTTATATGAAAGAAGAATGGATGGACGTGAGATGTGAAAAAAATGGAGAGGATGAAATTGAAATCACGGAATTGAGAAAATTGGCCGAGGTTCTTGCACAAAAGTTAACGGATTTATCTAAAGCGAAGAAGCTGATTTTTGATCGTTTCACAAAGGGAAAAAATCATGTTCGCTATTCTGGGAGATAAAGGTTTGAATTTCAAGTTTTTCGAAATACAAAAAAATATGTTTTTACAGGAGGAAAAACGACTAAACTCGTCGCAGTAATCGGAAATGTGCGTGATGCAAACAGCTGCCACAATGTTATTCATCTCGGATCATTCACAGGAGATGACACAGCAGAAAACATCATAAAATATTTACCATCCATTATCAAGGAAATCAACAATTTGAAACTGATTCAGTACGAAGAAGACGGAGTTATGAAAACTCGCGAAGTTGAACAGTTTTTGGCTGGCGACTACAAATTCCTTTGTTCAATGCATGGTCACCGAGGCGCAAATGCCAAAGAATTTTGTATTTTCTGTTATGAGCAATATTCGAAAAAAACAAAGTTGCAAAAATACAAGAGATTGAACACCTGGAAATCTAGAACGTTGTCCAAATATGATGAAGATCAGAAGTCCGGAAAAAACTCTATTAAAATAAACAGCCAACGTGTGTTCAAATTGGTCACATTGGACAGAGTTATTCCACCATCTCTCCATATTATTATGGGGTTAAGCCACAAATATATTTTCGACGTACTTCTCAATTGGGCACTTAAATGTGATCTTCAAAAACAGATCAATTGCAAAACAACGAGTCAAGCAAAATCTGCTCTCAGAAAAGTAAGCTAAACATACCCAATTCCTAAATCTTTTAATTAAAAATTTACAGTTGCAAAAAGATCTATCGTCTAAGAAAAGAATCATTGATGATTGGTCTAATGATGCAGAAACGTTGAAAAAAATGGACAGTGCCATGAAAAATATTATTGATAAATCAATTAGTCCCTCTGGCGTAAGAAAATGCGCCGGAAATTCTATGTGTGTTTATCAGGACAAGGCTATGGGAAATAAGAAAAAGGCAATGTCTTTGAAGTGCCATGACTGCAACAAATTATTTCACGAACATTGTATTGGTGTGTGGACGCCGGAATTACGAATAGATCACGAAGACCCGGATGAATATTTATGTTGTTTTGCTTGTCGAAAAGTATCGAAAGAACAATTTAGAGCAACTATTCAAAGTCAACTCCAAGTGATCGAAGATTATACTACGGGATTAAAGAAAAAACTGGAAGCTTTAGAAAAAGAAGAAAAAGAATTAAATGATAATCTCAACACACAAGTTGGAAAACATCGGCAGCAGTTGGAAAATGTTTGGAAGAAATATGGAGCAGATAGAAGTACATGGACACAGACATTCAGTGGTAATCAGACTTACCGGTTGTTGAAGAAAGAGGCCATCGATGAAATGTTCGATATTTTCTTGAATAATCCAAAAGTCGATCAAAACAGCCTAGAATATTTGCGTGTGGCAGCAACATCTCTTGGTGTGATCCAACGATTGTGTACCACCGAAACGTATGACCAGCACGATTTGGCGAGGTTGCAAGAATCTAAAGAGGAGTTTTTCAAAAATGTTACACTCGGAAGTCCTGATGAAACACTGACCGTCAAACTGCATTTGTTATTGAATCACGTGGTCCCGTTTGCGAATCAACATTCTGTTTGGGGAAGACTAAGTGAGCAAAGTGTGGAGAGTTATCACGCATATTATAATAAATTGTTAAGAAGGTGAGTTCGATATGTTGAAAAGCATAATTCATAATACATATTTCCAGATTCGAATCAGTCCGAGATCCAATTATTCGTCTTCGGCGGATTTTCCGATTCATCATGATTCACAGCAAAGTTAAAGACTCGAATGAATTAGAAGAGTTGCTGGATGATTAAATTATAAAAATTTTGAAATTGTTTCTTTGAATTGTTCTTGTAATCATGTTCTCTCATCAAAATAATCAGCATCACCACTCCAATATTCATGCTTCTCACATTCAATTTCAATTTCAATCCTATTCTTCTTCTTCCCATTCAAATTTATACATATTTTAGCTAATATTCACGTTTTCCTTCTCCATCTAGTCAAAATTCCATTTTCATTCCAAACTATATTCCGTTATTTGTCAATTCATCTAATAAATGTTGTTTTGATCCTTGTTTCTGTGTGTTCAACGCAATCCAATGAAAATCTGTAAAATCTATATTGACCTACGGATTGGAGTGAGTTTCGGAACAATAGTTGTGAAAAAAATACCTTCCAGTTGTTCTAAATGAAGATCGAACGAAGTAGTTTGAAAAACATAGCATATACGTCTTTGAATTTAAGTAGATGAATATATCCATGGTTGTTCAAAAATGAAATACGAGACTCAGTTTCTACAAATGAAGTTGATCTGAAAATAATCATATTGGCCTACGGCAATCATTTCCAATCAGGAACAAAATTCATAGAAAAATAACCTAGAAATTTCTGAACTTGATTGAGCAATACATTTGTTTCCTGAAAACTGCTCCACACAACAACATCATATATTGAAATTCCAAATACCCGAAAGCAATCAGTTGAAAAACTGCAAAATGATTATTGACGAGAAATACTAACAACACTCGAAAATAAAAATTCAAACGGAAAATTTAATTGTTCTCGTGAAAATTCACCTAAACAAAATATTTTTATAAACTTTTACTTTTTGAAAGCAATTGACACAACTACAACCGCGAAAACAATGGTCAAAACACATAATAAAAAAAAATAAAATTTCAAGCCTAAAAAATTATAATGCAATTAATTTTACGGACTTATCAAATGAATTTCGAGATTTTTACAGCTAAACTCTAACAAATATCAAAAATAACCATGAAAACTATCGAAAGAAACACGAAATAGAAGAAATAATGATAAAAAACGCTATAAAATAAAAAATAATAATTTTTTAGGCCTGCAAAAATAAAAATAAATGAAAACACAAAAACTGTGCGCCTTGTTGCAAACAAGCGCGCGGCGCCTTGCAACACCTGTCTGCATTTGTTGTATACCGTACTCCCACGGAAACAAAAAAAATAATTTTTTTTTTCGCTGTGATTTTTCAATTTTTTAGAACTATGAACTACTCTTTCCTTTCATAGATTTATTATTTTTTTTTTTTTGAAAAAAAGTCGAACGAAAATTGAACAAACAATTTCAAAATGTTTCATTTGTTAGTTTTTCTCACATCATATTAAAAATATACTATACGAAGGTCATTTTCATCTAAAACATTTCGAACGATAGACAAAAAAAACAACAATAATAAATTTTTGAGGGTCGGACGAGTCACTATTAAAAAAGTGACTCACAAAACGATCACAATTGTTGAAAAAAGAGAAATAGCGTAACATAAAACACGAGAACGAACATCTGGAGTAGAAAAGACGAGAAGCAGCTGCGCGGAACTGAAACCACACAAAAAAACGACGAAAGAAGACGAAGACGGTGTCTGGCGAGAAATTGACACCACCGTCGAGAAGTAAGACGAGTACAACTTTTTATTACACCATCACACATGAGTAAAAGCACGCAGAAAATTGGAGATTTGACCTTTGGATGACCGAAAAAATGTTTTTATTAATATAAAACCACGGTGGGAGTTTTTGAATTGGACCAGTGAATTGGATCAGATTATGAAATATATTGTTGAAACAAATGAGCTTTCTATTGAAAAATATAGCACCACGTCACAAATAATTTTTAGATTTTTATTTTCACAATTTCTAGATGACAAAAATCTTCATTTTCAAAACATGAAAAATAGAAATCATACTACATACCAAAAAATAGGAAATGTTTTTTTTCGATCAAAAAGTACACGAAAAAGCTCATCAAAAATGAATGTTGACACCAAAAACTTCATACATAAAAACATGATTCAAAATTTTCTGGTAGATCAAAAATAAATAGAAAAAGGAAGACAATTATTGAGATGGATGAGTATATTTTTCATCGAAATGGTTTTTTTTTCGGAAAACGGAAAATGAAGGATTATGGAGCCAAATGATGGATGGATGGATTCTGAAATAAACCTTATATGTTCTTTCTTCGGGGGAAAAGTTCAAAATGTATCAGGGGGCTTCAGGTGAAAACACTTTTGAAACTTTTTGACAGAAGTTCCTATAAAAATATATTTTTCTCAAAAAAATCTCACGAAAAACAGAAAATTGTAGAAATTCAAATTTCCAAAATGTTTCAATTTTTAATGAAAATATTTCATGTTTTGTTTTCCACATGAACCGCGTCATAACATACCTTAAAACATTCCTCGATTTTTGTAATAATAATGGTTTTTAAGCATCCAGTAAAGAAATAGAAAGAACAAAAAGACTGGAATCAAATATATCGAATAAATTGCTAGAAATAGAAAACCGGGAGACATGATCGACGAGGAATGACTAACTAATTACGAGAATTTTTCATAACCTGACTATTATAATCTTTGGGGAATATAATCAATCACAAGTTTTTGTTTGCAAAAAAGTGCGAATATTTTTTTAATGAGACAAATTTATTTACAGCAAAATGCAAAACATGAAAAACATTTTCGAAAGCAAATTAATGAATACAATCCGTAGTTTCTCCACTAAATTGGTTAGCCAAATTAAGTGTTCCAATATCATAATTTCGACTATTTGAAGAACTTGAAGTTACTGCATTACTTGGAATATTGATTGTCAATTTTTTATCACAAAGTCCATTATAATTGCATTTGTGATAAATATTGACTTTTGGATCCATTGTGAAGATTTTTGTATAAGATCCAGTTACACGGAATGTTCCATCATTTGATGATCTTGTTGAGTCCATTTTTGTGTCGTAAACTGTAGCGGGAATATTTGAGATTTTTAAATTACAAAAAAAATAAACTTACTTGTTCCATCTTCATACATTTTTACAAGTACATTACTTGCTGGTTGTCCATCACAAATTAATCTTCCAGTCACAGTTACAGATTGATCACTTCCAATAATATTGAATAACGCGTTAACAGTTGAGAAGATGGTGAAAATAGCAAAAGTTAGTTTCATTTTTGTATTTTTTTTCGAGAAATTTCGGAACTTTCTTCACTTTTATAGCAAAGTGTGGCGAGTTGGCAAACATTTAACCTAGGAGTTATATTTGTCGCGCACGTGAAATAGCACACAAATTAGTTAAATATTTATTTTTTAACTCATTCGTTTTGGGTGGTGAGTAACAGTGATTTTGAGATCTCGTGATTTTGGTCAAGATCTATGGATGACGAAGGATGACAGTCATGAAATATCATTACCAAAATTGAAGATTTTTGTGGAATTGAAAACTAAAAGTTTAAAACTTATTACTTTTTAAGAAAGGACAACCAGGTTTCAAGGTATTTTTTCAATTCTGTTTTTTTTTAGAAATTTTTAAAAAATTTTTGTTATTGAAACGAAAATTTTCTAAAAAAATTTATTCAAGTAAAAGAATAAAAACAAAAATCATGTCAAATTAAATCCTAATGTATACAATCAGTAGTTTCGCCATGAAACTTATCAGCCAAATTGATAGTTCCAATATCGAAACTTCTATCCCATCCAGAAGAGCCATCAGTAATCGCATTGTCAGGAATATCAATTGTCAATTTTCTATCGCAAAAACCATCATAATTGCATTTGTGATAAATATTGATTTTTGGGTCCATTGTGAATATTTTTGTATAAGTTCCTGAGACTTGAAATTGTCCTCCGTAATTTGATCGAGAAGAATCGAGTTTTGTATCGAAAACTGGAATTGGAAAAACATTTTTTTCCAGAAATGTTCAATAAAAAAAAAAACTAACTTGTTCCATCTTCGTATAACTTAACTAATACATCACTTGCTGGTTGATCATTACAAATCAAAGTTCCAGTCACAGTAACATATTGATCTCTTCCAATCAAATTGAAGAGCGAGTTTGAAACATTCAACAACGAAGAAAGTAAAATAATTGTTATCATTCCAGACATTTAGAAAATCTTATGACAAATTATTGAACAAGGAAAACATTTTATACTGAAATCGGAGAACAAAAATTAAGTACACAAATAAATACAAGTACATCTGACAAATTGTTTCGTTGATCTCACAAGATCTTTGGAGTTGTTCATTTTTTACTACATAGACTGCAAACATTATTCACTTTGACAACAAATATAACTTGATTTTACTCCTAATTTCGATATTTAGCACGAAAAATATCAAAAAGTTCAGAATATTTGGACTGAAAACATCGATAAATCCAAAAACTATTATCAAATTTTCAAATAATGGAATTTCTGTTGAAGTATTAACGGAGTTATCATAACTTGCATAGAGCTGATTGTAAAACAAATTGACAAGCATTATTAATGTTATCATAAAATTTCGTAATATTGATTTTCTGAAAAAACACTTTCAGAAGGTTTTTTTGAGAAATAAAAATATAATTTACTTTTCTTTGATCCATCTAATTTTTCTATAATTGATCCAAACAACTGATACTTTTTCAACTTTATTATTTTTCCATTCTTTTATTTTTATTGAAAAATATGCTGATATATTGATAAATAAACTCGATATTATACAAAATGGTCCAAAACGATTTTTGATATTTGCTACAATTCGAAAACCACGAGATGCTTCTTGAAAACATTTCAATTTGATTGTGAACCATTTTGTGTCATAAATAACATAACAATTGTTATCTTGACTTATCCAAAATTGAAGAAGAAAAATGGAAACCCAAAAAATTATGAAAGTTAGATTCAATCGAGAAAGTGTGAAAGGATCTTTTTTTATTGGAAAGACAACAGCATAAAATCGATGAACTGCCATAACTAATAAAATTGCATATCGAACTTGATATCCCGCCCAGTTTACAGTTATGATATTTTGCATTTCAAAAGAATTAAAACTTTGTGCTGTGTCCGTAGAATTTTCAAAAAAACTAAAAAGTGTAGCATCCACGATGAAATGTTGAGTGAAATTCAAGACAAGTTCTGATGCAATCATATGAATCACATAAATTTTTGCTTTTCTTATTTGTTCTTTATAAATTAGGAGAATCAATAAGAAGTTGAAATTGTAGGAAATAACATGGACAATGAGAGAGAATATAAGGTAGATCACAATTTTCAGTTCGATCATTTTTAAAATGAAAAAAAAACTGGAAACAGGAAAATAAAACAACAAGAAGAACATTGGATTTTATTTCATTTTTTATTGTTTCACAATAACCGATTATAATTTTGTATTTTATGTTCCGTGATTTTCAAATAAAGATAAAAGATCAGAAATCTCCACCGCCAAAATCTCCACCGTAATCTCCTCCTCCAAAATCTCCACCGTAATCTCCTCCTCCTTCGAAATCTCCGCCATAATCACCCTGGTATTCACCTCCATATTGTTCACCCCCATATTCACCCATATTATAATTCTCATTATAACCAGGTCCGCTTTCTTCTCCACCGTAGTTCATATCGTTTCCATAATCTTCACCATATCCAACGCCATCTTCATATCCTCCATTTTCTATATCTTGTTCAGGTTCAGGTTCAGGTTCTTGTTCAGGTTCTACATTATCATTTTGTTCTTGTGTTTCACCAACTTGTTCTCCACCATTTTCCGGTGTTCCATTATAATAATTATTTGTAATATTTGTATCATTATTTTCCGAAACAAAAGCTCCGCCCATCATTGGAACACCATATCCGCCAATCATCGGACCGCCATAAAACATTCCATGTCCACCCCACATTGATCCCATACCGTAACCCAATAAACTTCCAGCTAAAAGACCAGTTCCAAATCCACCGTCATCATAATTATTCTGATTTGAATTCACAACAACAGTAGTATGAGTATTTTGAGGTTGAGAATTGTTGTATCTTGGAGGAGGTTGTGCAGGATATTGTTTACTTTGATTAGAATTTTGTGGCGGAGGCATCAGATGTTGATTTGATGCAATTCCATTTTGATTTTGAGGTTTTGGTTGAGATTGTGGCTGTGGCTGTGGCTGTTGAGATGAACCTTGCTCTACAGGCGCTGATGGTGGTTGAGGAAGTGTTTTTGTTATTTCTTTGAACCAACTTTCAATATCAACATCACTTGAAAACTGAATCCAATGAACAGTTTCAGCTTTGGGATCCATTCCAATTCCAACCAAATGATGAACTGAATTTCCATCAGCAACTGAAGGTCTCTTTGTTGGCATTTTGTCAGTCATTTGTCCAACACAAATATATGGAATAACATCCTTCAAAAGTACACTTCCTTTTGGTTTACGGTCATTCTATAAAATGATTTTTATTTTTTTCTAATATGAAACAGTCTTGTGATACCTTTTCTTCAAACCATGCTAATCTTGAGTCACTATAAAGTACACCATGCATTTTAATCCATTTTGAAGAGAAGAATCCGGGTTTGTATTTCAGAAAATCACCTTCTTTAACTCGCCGAACATCCGGATCTAGCAAACACTTATTTTACGCGGAAAAAAACTAACAAAATCTTTCCTACCGACATCAACAGCTGCGTCAGAGTTGCAAAACACCATAACAAGCAAAAATTTTATTATACAAAAAAAATCAGCAGACAAGAAAGAAAAATAGAAAGTTAACAGCGTGATGGGGTTGCTATAGAAACAAATGGCACACACAAAACATCTTGTGTCAATTATATATTTAGGTTGTAGTACTTTTCAATTAATAATCGAAGTCTCCTCCACCGAAATCGCCTCCACCAAAATCTCCGCCGCCAAAATCGTCTCCAGCATTTCCATAGTCATAACTGTCGTTTCCACCCCCATAATCTTCATTGGCATTACCGTAGTCGTTTCCATAATCGTCGGTATTACCGTAGTCATTGTTATATCCGCCAGATGTCTGGAAAAAAATAAAATGTGAAAAAAATGTTTTTTTTTTGAAAAAACTGCTGCTCAAATGAGTTTCACTCAAATTTTGTTTGTGAAAAATTAAAATTTTTCTGGTTTCATGAATGATCAAAATATTCCCACTTGAGCAGCTCTAACAAACTACGGTTAAAAAAATAATAACAACACAGAAACATCTAGCTGATATTAGTGAAAACAAAAAACAATCAACTATGATACCTCTTCGTCATGATTCAAATCATCATCTGATCTAGTGGTGTCAAAAGTATCCTGTGAATTTTTGAATTCAAAACTGATTTTCAAAAACGAAAACTTACTTCTCCGGCATTTCCAATATCATTATGATCATTGTTTGATGAACTGTTACCGGCATCTCCAGAATTTCCGGAGTTTCCGCCATCTCCATAATTATAATAATTGTTAGTGATGTTTGTATCATTATCAGAATAATATCCTCCGCCCATTCCATATCCACCTCCTCCCATTCCAAAACCTCCGCCATATCCATAAGATGGGAAATATGAATGATGTCCTCCCCACATTGATCCCAAACCATAACCCAATAAACTTCCGGCAAGTATTCCACTTCCGAATCCAAGTCCACTTCCTCCGCCAATTCCTCCGCCATATCCACCGCCTCCCCCATATCCGCCATCTCGAACAATTACAGTTGTGTGAGAACTTGGTTGTTGTGGTTGTGGGGCATATCCGCCATATGATTGAACTGGTGGCGGACGATATCCACCGTTATTCGATGGTTGTGGCGGATAATTTGGTTGCGGTTGAACTGGATATCCACCGCCGCCTGATTGAACTGGTGGAGGTGCATCGGGATATTTCGGAGGGGGAACATATCCACCAGAAGGCACTTGTGATGGTGGAGGAGGTCCGTTTGGTTGTGGCGGAGGATTTGTTGGTTTTGGAAGGGTTTTTGTGATCTCAGTGAACCAACTTTCAATATCTGCATCACTTGAGAAAAGAATCCAATGAACATTTTCAGCTTTTGGATCCATTCCAATTCCAACTAAATGATGAACTGAATTTCCATCAGGAACTGAAGGTCGTTTTGTTGGCATTCGATCAGTCATCAAACCAACACAGATATATGGAATAACATCTTTCAAAAGTACACCTCCTTTTGGTTTTCGGTCACCCTAAAATAAACAAATATTGTGGAAAATGTTCCTTTTTTTCAAAAAGATTTCTTGTTTTTCATTTTTCCCACGAAATAATCGTTGTTTTGATATCTTTTCATAAAAGTGCGAAATTTTCAATTTTCATCGAAAAAAAAGAGAAAACAAAACCGGTTTTTGTTCTTTTCTACAGTAATCTGATTAGTAATTTCGAGAATTCTGAAGGTATTGTTTATGAAATTTTTCAAGAAAAAATGTTTTCTGAAGGTTCTATATTTACTCTTCTTTATTATATTTTAGTGCCAACAAAAACCAATATCGGGAAAAAATGTTTACATTGAACTTCATTTTTGATTCTAAAGATCTTCAAAAGAACTTTCAAACACTGAAATATCATCAGCAAAGCTAGAAATAATTAAAATTGACTTACTCTTTCTTCATACCAACACAATTTCGAGTCACTGAACAACACGGCATGCATTTTCTTCCATTTTGATCCAAGAAATCCTGATTTGTATTTAAGAATTTCTCCTTCTTTTAATTTTCGAATGTCCGACATTTCGTTTTCTTCTTCTGAAAATAATTAATATTTTTTCAGAAAACACAAATTTTGCAAACCAATCGGAATAGCAGATTCAGAAGAACACAACATAGTAGAATGGAAAAAAAACACGAGTTTCAAAAAAAAAATGGAGAGAAAAAATTTCCGGTTGTTATGGATTTTTTCTTGTGTGCCACACAAACGACGCACTAACAAAAAACAAAAAAAAATAGAACTGAAAAATCGAAAAAAAAAATGGCGAGAGAAAAGAGACGCAGACATTAAAAATAGTGGGTAAACAAGTGAGAGATGAGAGACGCAGACGAGCAGAACCAGATGTTTAGCCGGTGTTGCGAAATTTGAATTGTGAGAAATTCGCAAAAAGAATGAGTCATCGGGGAAAAAAGGTTTGGAGCCAAACAAAATATTGTAGCTCACGTCATTTCAGATTTCGAAATTATCTAACAAGTGTCATAAAAATACAGTAACCTGGGCAACTGAAACATATTATTTTTTGAACAAATTTTTTTTTATGACATCTGTTTTCGAGAAAAATAAAATGAAGTGGAGAGAAAAAATAAACAAGGGAAGTTTTTTTCAAACGCTGATAAAACTTTTAAATTTACAAGCCAACTTTCGATAATTCCTACAAAATTCATGTAAAACCTTTTTTTTAAATTTTTTCCAAAGTGTCTAATTCACTACCCCAAATCGCTAGTCCTCGAAATTTTTAAAACCTTTTCGGGGTTGATCCAAAAATATTTTCTCAAAATTTCTCATTTTCGGGTTGACCCCTAATCGTGTCAGGTCTCAAAAAATGCAGGAAATTTTTTACAAGTCAGGTAGTAAAAAAATATGTTGTGTCTCCCAAGTCATGAAACTTACTGGAGCCAGTTATTTTCGAAAGATTAAATTACAATTTCACTTTTCCTATAAAAAAAAGTGAAATTCCAAGTTCTTCCTTACAGCAATTACATAAAATAAATTTACGAAACTGTTACTTTTAATCAAAATACAGGATTTTTGTAACTAAAATGTTCATATAAAAGAATTCCAAAACTTTGACAAATTCAATAAGTATGAATATTTTCTACAATCCGCTTTTCCTCATTTTCTTCTTGATTTCGACCTCCGAGTCATTTTTCTTCGGAGGCGGCGGTTGTGGTTGGTAAGTTCTGATTCATATCTTTCTGATTTTTAAAATCATATATATTTCCAGTGCTCCTCCACCACCTCCTCCACCTTGTGGTTGTGGTTCGCCGATGTTTGGCGGATTTTTTGGAAAGAAAAAATGATTATTTCCAGGTTCTATTTGCAGCACCTTGTCTATATATAATTTGCTGAACAAAATGTTTTTTTTTTCAAAATTTGATACATAAATGAATTCTGTTTCTGTAGAATTATAATTGTTGGAAATCTAAACAAAAATAATTACTGTACAGATACAAACCAATATCAATTATTAAACGGTTGTTGGTGTTTCTAATTGAAAACTATAGGAAAAACCGGATCAACCATGGATTTCTACTATATAAATCGAAACGATTCCAAAGTTCTACTATCGAAAATGAGATTCTTTATAATTTTTCTAACCTTATTCATATCTTCCACAACATGTTTCTTCTTTGGTAATCGTGGTTGTGGTTGTGCACCTCCTCCTCCACCACCACCTTGTGGATGTTCTTCTCAACAAATTAATGCATATGCTCAACCACCAGCTACATATGTTCAAGCTCCACAGGCTCAATATTACAGTGCACCAGCAAGTTATCCTGTTGCATCTGGTGCTTACCCATTATCAGGATAAAAATATTTTTTAGAACCACTCATTTTTTTTTCACGTGAACCAAAATATTTAATTTCATTTTTTTTCAATTTGCATTTCTTCAATCTTATTTTCAAGCTGTGATGTTAATTTCATTTGATTCCAGAAAAAGTACAATTTTTGAAATGCGAAAAAATTTTATTTATACTGTCAAAATGAATATTTGTATCTTCTTACTGATTCTTCTTATTTTTGTGTTAAAACGAACAAAATCAACAAAAATATGTTAGTTGGGAGCAAAAATCGAAAAATGAATATGGATCCGGTTGGAATGAATAAGAATTGTTGGCAAAAAATGTGAGTTCAGGGGAAAGTGGAGATATTTGATAAAACTGCATGTCATTCACCTCCATACTATACAGATAACTATTAATAACCCGTTGAAGAATTGGAACATGCTCTTCTGAATGAATATTTCTTTTTGGTGGAATAATAATTGCTTTTCGAAAATATGGGGTGTCTGGTAGAATATGATAAGGAGGTGGAAGTGGAAGAAAACCAGATGAACATGAAGATGGCACTAATGTTGTTGTTGAACTGTTATCAATCGAATCTGGAAAAATATTTGAATTTTTGGAAATTGAATTTGAAGAAGAAGAATTGCGGACTCGGAAAATTAAATTGTTTTCATCTTCGGAGATGATGAATTCAAGATCCCTGGCGCAAATTAAGTTATAACGTGGCGAAATTTTGAAAAAGTTACAATATTCAAAAAGTTAGTTATTGGATTTCTGAGTCCACAACCTTTTCCTTATAAACTAACTTGAACTTGATTGAGAATCGATCATTTTACAAGGCACAATTGTTCCCAAACGATGAAGTGACCATATTTTATTCGAAACAATTATTAATCCAGATGTTTTAACAAATATCCAATCAATCAAACTTTCTTGATGATCTTGAAAAGTTACAAAACCTTGGCATTTATCTAAAGTGCAGATTGTGACAGTTTTAACACGGCATCCAATTTTTTTGAACTCCTTCCGAACTGTTTTCTCATTTATAAATCCTTGTTGTCCGAAGTTTACTATTAAAGAATTCGAGTCTGAAATAAGTCATAAAAAGGTTTTCATTCTCGGTGTTATGTTTCAACTTACGTTTTGGCATTATTACTAATCAAGGCGAGTCAAACAAAAAACTAACTAAGCTATGAGGAATGGGAGTATTTAAATAGAATAATTCCGAAAAATTATAGATCACGTTTAAAATTAGGGTCAACGCGTTTTATTTTCATTATTTCAACTTTTTTTGTCATTTTTGAATTACTTAAAACTTAAAAGTTTCTTATTTTTTAGTTGAAAAGGCCTTTTTTTTACAAAATATAAATAAAATTATAAAACACAAAACAATATAAATAAATGAACCGTTTTCTCTGCGTATCTCTTTTATTTCTTGCCACACACATCTATTTTTCTCTGCGTCTCTTCGGCAACAGCCAATGTCCGCAGTCCCGTTTGATTGTCGGTGATTCTGCACACATAAGAGAACGAACAACGTTTTCGTTTTCGGTTTTAACCCAGTTACTCAAGGTAATTTGAGGTTCTGACCTTTCGAAAGAAAGTGTCAACATTTGACTTCAATTTTTGGATAACAGCTTCACCGGGGTATCCGGAGAGGCGAAAATAATAAAAATGTAGAATTCTAACTACATAGATTCAGAAAAGAAAGTTTTCAGAATGTTTCGACACAAAGCGTTGCATTCAACAAGTATTTTCTTCAACACCATATATTTCGAAAATACACGAAAGAAAAATTCATATTATCGAAAACAAAAATAAACTATAATCCTAATTATCGCTATTAACAGGAAATAATAAATATATATTTACACGATTTCACTTGTTGTGACACTAGATTTACAGAACTGAAAACTAAAATCCTAATTTAGAGAAAAAACAACTCTATAGACAGTTGAGAGAAGCAAAGAAATGAAAAAAAAACTCGTAAGTACCTGTAAATATGGGGACGGATGGATAAGAAAACGGGGTTATTAAAACAAATATAACAGATTTTTCGACGACTACTGACTAATTCATGATTCAGTTACTAGAAATATTATTATGACCTAAAATTAAGAACAAACACTGACGAATAAAAGAGGAAAGAGAATTCGGGATGAACATTGTTTAGAATTGAGCAAATTTGGTATCGATGTCGAGTTCGGTGAGCATTTTTTCAGCAAGGAATCGATCAATGTTGAAGGGCTAGAAAATAGTAATTGAACAAGTTTATTTGAAAACATGTGTTCCACAAGCTACTCAGAAATTTTTTTGTACCGGGACAGAATTTTTTAGGCACATTGTTCGAGTACTGTCTATATTTTGTGCAGGTGGTGACGTCATGGCCTGCACAAAATATAGACAGTACTCGAACAATGTGCTTAAAAAATTCTGTCCCGGTACAAAAAAATTTCTGAGTATTTTCGAGTGATAAATTTTTCAAAATGCCAATTTTTCTTATTTTTTAAAGAATTTCAGGGCGATGTTTTTCAAACGTTAAAATTTGATTTAATAAAACTGAAGTTTAGTTTTTTTCTGAAGTTTGTTTTCAAAAACCACCTGACCGGTGAGAAATTTGTTTTGTTGCAGTAAAAAAAAGATAACACAGTAAAGATCACCCAATAACAAGATTATTTTTTAACCATAAAACACTTACCACAAAATTTGCAATTTTTTCTTCGACATTTTCGGCTTTATACACGATTATAGAATCGTCAGGTTCACCATTTTCATTTGTTGTGAATTTCGTCCAAGATTCTATTAAGAACTCGAATTGTTCATTTGATTCGCTTTCCACGGGTGAAGAAGGTGTTGATGGTGGTGTTAATGCAGTTTCCGGTGCTGACACTGTATTTTGCGATGATTTTTTAGTCACTTTCTTCGACTTTTTCGAGTTTTCTGTTATGAGATGATGTCTGAAAATATTAAAAATCATTGATTTTCAATAAAACACTGTGAAAAAGCAACTCACACATTTGATACTCCAACTTCTCGTTTTATTAAATCTCCCATTTCTTCATCAAGATTCATTGGAGTTGTTATTTGTTTATTTGAAGTCGATTTTGATTTCATTTGTTGCATTGCTGAATGATTTGTTGGACAGCGAATCGCACAATTCGAATGCTTTGTCTGAAACTAAATGAACAATGAAATTTTCAAATAGTTTTGATTTATAAAAACAAACTTACTCTATGCATAACTGTAAATAGCGAACCCGAACACACAACCTAAATACAAAAAAAAACTTGGAGAAATGAAGAAAATTGAGAGAGATGAGAGAAGAAGAAGATGGGCGGCCTGTTATCATTGTTTGTGAACGAGAAAAGCTACTGACCCGACTCAACTCTACTTCGATTGGCTCAAAAAATGAGAAAAACAGAATGAAATTGCATCATGAGACCGTTTTTATGAATTTTCTCTCGGAAAAAAGATTGAAATCATCACTAATCTGATTGATAAGATAACTTTATAGTGTTTTTATTGCAACGTGTTTACAATAAAACTATGAAATCTGAGTTGAAGTATGGGTTTTAAAACGCGTTTTATTTGAAAAACTTGGAGTTCAAAAGATGAAAAGGCAAATATTCCGAGAGAACTACACCGAAAAACTAGGCCGCCGCATATGTTTTCTAGGCCAACCTAAAAAAATTTTTTCGCGAAATTTGAGCTTTTTTAAAAGAACTTGGGGGTTAAAAATTGAAAAACTAGTTCCATCCTTCAAAAAAAATACGCCTCAAAAAATCCACAAACACGCTGAAAAAAGCTGTATGCACCAAACAGAGAAATGTATTGTCTTTTACAACGACACTCCGCTTTGCCCTTTGTTTAGCGCAACAGGAAAATATTTTCATTTTCGCTGTTTTTTTTTGTTTTCCGGGGCAAATTGGAATTTTGGATGAAAATCCGAATCTTCGGATGTTCTACAAGACTAGTTTAGAAAATAAATAAAAAATCAATGTACTGTAGTTTCAAATCTCCGCAGTTTGTATTTGTGCTAACACAATACACACTGTTTTTCTTTTTTTCGTGATTTTTTATTTTCGATGGTTGCAAAAAATGTTGCCAAAAATTTGAAATGAAATATTTTTAGAAAAAATATATTTTTAGCGTGAACTATAAAGATAGTATCAGTATTCTATAAATACTGATTTTAAATATTTTATTCCTTTCTCTGAACTTTGAATCGATTTTTTTGATTTTCATTAAACTTTGAATTCAGTTTGCAAATGTTGCACATATCACATATCTCTGTTCACTTTGGGAACAGTTGTCTTTCAAATTTTCTTCATATTTCGCCACAAAATGCAAGGTAATTTTATTATTTTTTGTTCAAAAAACATTCAACTTTTCAGGTGTTTATCATTTTCAAAATCAACCAGCTGCATTATTCGGAAATATTGATGAAGAATCTGAAAAGAATCGATATTGTAAATTACATATTCAAACATGGGTTTATATTCATTCTGGTGTTAGTATTTTCATATCTCTGATTGGTATTTCAATTGGTATATTATTTCTATTCAAAACAGAATGGCATGAAAAACTAGTAATGTATCGATTGGTTCTTATTTATATTCGACGAGCAAATGCTGAAAAATACTGGATTATGTATCGCACATTTTTTGGTTGTTGGATATTAATTCATTTCATACATATGATTACAATTGTTATCACGATTTTCGCAACTCAAAAATCAAGTACAATTCTTCTGAAGCCTCAATTAACTGTCCTAATTTTACAAGTTGGTCTACTGATTTTGGCATTATCTGGAATTTTCATAACGAGTATTACATCAAAATTTACATGGGATATTCTTTCAATCGTTATTTTTCAACTGCTTTTTGTAAGGTTAGTTTTTTTTCGGGGCGGAATTTGAAATTTGATTGAGTTTGACTATGAAATTTTGAATTGCAATGTTTCCAGTTCAAATCTGATTCTTCTCACTGAATATCACCGTTTTCTTGATGAAAAATTGAAAGCATTGCGGGAACTATTATTAGGTCAAGCTAAAACTGTGCATTTTAAGGATCATTCAAGTTCTTCATAGTTGTCTGTAATAAATTTTCATTTCAACTAATCAGGAAAATTACTAACAAAAGAAAATTGTATAATAAATTATTTTTTTCCGATCGGATAAGTTGCTTCTTTAACAGCAACTGGTGTAGTCTTTTTGTGTCGACACCTTGCTTTAAATACTAATGTTAGATAGCCATCAATAGTGGATTGGTTACGTTATCATCATTTTGAACAAAAATCGCGTAAGACGAGGAAGAAAAAAACTCCGTTGTTCTGTTTTTTTGTCTTCTGTCGTGTTATTGTTATCAAGCTAACATAATAATTTATACGACGGGTTAGGATAATATGTCTAGAAAGGAAATGACAAAACGATTAAGCTAGAAATAATGGGCAAAAATGGTAGAAGACAATTTTGCAGAAAAATCAAGTGAATGCGGTTTTTTTTCAAAAAAGTAAAAGAAAAATTCTCTAAAAATTTACGAATCATGAATAGAAAATGATAACTTTTTTCCGAACCGGCATAAAACTAATTTCCATATTTTGAAGAAGCTCTGTGAAAGTCTGAAAGTTCAACCCTGAAGAATGTTGTTCTTCAACTGAAGGCACACCAGGTTCGTGGTTCTGAAAATTCAAATTTGTATGCTAAACTTGTGAGTTCCAAAATTTTCACTTTTCAAGATTTTGAATCGCTAAAAACATGAGTAAGTGAATTTTTCAAAATTGTAATCTAGACCACAACTGTTTTGGCCCAAAGAAGTATGACTAAAGAATTTGATGTACATTTAATTAAATAGGTAATTTTCAAATTTAATTCTACGCATATTTCCTCGCAGTAAGAGTATTCTTTCACTGGATTTTCATATTTTCTCTATGAACCAAAATGTTTATGATCGAATTATTTTTGTAAAAATACTTTGATACGTCAGTACAAGTCCACATTCCTTTTACGACCAAAATTGTTCTTTTTCTTCTTTCCGCAGTCGTTTTTTGCTGCCAAAAGTCACTTATCGTGTTTTATATTACACACTGGATAACGAACGTAACAGATCCGAAACAAACCCCCTTTTCAAGCAACAAAAAAACTTATCAAATGATATAAAAGGAGATCAAGCAATCCAATTAGGCATCTTCTACAAACAGATCAAAATGAGATTCTTCTTGATTGCTTCAACTTTCTTCGCTGTTTCTTCAGCTTTCTTATTCGGTGCCCTCGGAGGAGGAGGCGGCGGTGCTGGATGTGGATGTGGTGCTCGACCACCCCCACCCCCACCTCCACCTTGTGGAGCTATTCCTCCACCACCAGTTGCCGTCGGATGCGGAGGAGGAGTTCCCCCACCCCCACCCCCACCCCCACCAGCCGCTTACGTTCCCCCACCTCCACCACCTCCACCACCAGTTGCTACTGGAGGTTATGCTGCTTCCCCAGTTGGTTTCAGCGGAGTTCCACCTGCACCACCAGTCGGAGGATATGCCCCACCACCACCACCTGTTGCTGTTGGAGGAGGAGCTTATCCAGTCGGAAAGTAAACAGCTCTATATATCAATTGATTCTAGATTTTTTGCATGTCTGTATTTATTCAATTGTTCAATTCATTATGTTTGTAAATTTGAAAAATAAGAGTTTCATAAAGTATATAAACTTGATAAAATTGTAATCTTATCAAAAACTGAATCCCAAACATTTTTCACCAGATTTGTTTACTGTGAAACTATTGAAATCTTGTGAGTCAGCCAGAAGTTAACCTCTTTTTTAAAAACATCCAGTTGGTATGCTTTTCCTGGAAATCGAACCCATCCAAAATGCTTAGATTTGAAGGCAAAGACACGTAAAACTTGACCACGAATTCCTACGTGTGAACCTATTAATTCATTCCATAAAATTGAGCTAGATTGAAAAATGGTGAATTCAGAGTAACTTCGAAACGACGATTTATTATTTTTATCCATAAAAATTGAGCTAGATTGAAAAATGGTGAATTCAGAGTAACTTCGAAACGACGATTTATTATTATTATCCATAAAATTGAGCTAGATTGAAAAATGGTGAATTCAGAGTAACTTCGAAACGACGATTTATTATTTTTATCCATAAAAATTGAGCTAGATTGAAAAATGGTGAATTCAGAGTAACTTCGAAACGACGATTTATTATTTTTATCCATAAAAATTGAGCTAGATTGAAAAATCGTGAATTCAGAGTAACTTCGAAACGACGATTTATTATTTTTATCCATAAAATTGAGCTAGATTGAAAAATGGTGAATTCAGAGTAACTTCGAAACGACGATTTATTATTTTTATCCATAAAAATTGAGCTAGATTGAAAAATGGTGAATTCAGAGTAACTTCGAAACGACGATTTATTATTTTTATCCATAAAAATTGAGCTAGATTGAAAAATGGTGAATTCAGAGTAACTTCGAAACGACGATTTATTATTTTTATCCATAAAATTGAGCTAGATTGAAAAATGGTGAATTCAGAGTAACTTCGAAACGACGATTTATTATTTTTATCCATAAAAATTGAGCTAGATTGAAAAATGGTGAATTCAGAGTAACTTCGAAACGACGATTTATTATTATTATCCATAAAATTGAGCTAGATTGAAAAATGGTGAATTCAGAGTAACTTCGAAACGACGATTTATTATTATTATCCATAAAATTGAGCTAGATTGAAAAATGGTGAATTCAGAGTAACTTCGAAACGACGATTTATTATTATTATCCATAAAATTGAGCTAGATTGAAAAATGGTGAATTCAGAGTAACTTCGAAACGACGATTTATTATTTTTATCCATAAAAATTGAGCTAGATTGAAAAATGGTGAATTCAGAGTAACTTCGAAACGACGATTTATTATTTTTATCCATAAAAATTGAGCTAGATTGAAAAATCGTGAATTCAGAGTAACTTCGAAACGACGATTTATTATTTTTATCCATAAAATTGAGCTAGATTGAAAAATGGTGAATTCAGAGTAACTTCGAAACGACGATTTATTATTTTTATCCATAAAAATTGAGCTAGATTGAAAAATGGTGAATTCAGAGTAACTTCGAAACGACGATTTATTATTTTTATCCATAAAAATTGAGCTAGATTGAAAAATGGTGAATTCAGAGTAACTTCGAAACGACGATTTATTATTATTATCCATAAAATTGAGCTAGATTGAAAAATGGTGAATTCAGAGTAACTTCGAAACGACGATTTATTATTTTTATCCATAAAAATTGAGCTAGATTGAAAAATCGTGAATTCAGAGTAACTTCGAAACGACGATTTATTATTATTATCCATAAAATTGAGCTAGATTGAAAAATGGTGAATTCAGAGTAACTTCGAAACGACGATTTATTATTTTTATCCATAAAAATTGAGCTAGATTGAAAAATCGTGAATTCAGAGTAACTTCGAAACGACGATTTATTATTATTATCCATAAAATTGAGCTAGATTGAAAAATGGTGAATTCAGAGTAACTTCGAAACGACGATTTATTATTTTTATCCATAAAATTAGGCTAGATTGAAAAATGGTGAATTCAGAGTAACTTCGAAACGACCATTTATTATTTTTATCCATAAAAATTGAGCTAGATTGAAAAATGGTGAATTCAGAGTAACTTCGAAACGACGATTTATTATTATTATCCATAAAATTGAGCTAGATTGAAAAATGGTGAATTCAGAGTAACTTCGAAACGACGATTTATTATTTTTATCCATAAAAATTGAGCTAGATTGAAAAATCGTGAATTCAGAGTAACTTCGAAACGACGATTTATTATTTTTATCCATAAAATTAGGCTAGATTGAAAAATGGTGAATTCAGAGTAACTTCGAAACGACCATTTATTATTTTTATCCATAAAAATTGAGCTAGATTGAAAAATGGTGAATTCAGAGTAACTTCGAAACGACGATTTATTATTATTATCCATAAAATTGAGCTAGATTGAAAATTGGTGAATTCAGAGTAACTTCGAAACGACGATTTATTATTATTATCCATAAAATTGAGCTAGATTGAAAAATCGTGAATTCAGAGTAACTTCGAAACGACGATTTATTATTTTTATCCATAAAAATTGAGCTAGATTGAAAAATGGTGAATTCAGAGTAACTTCGAAACGACGATTTATTATTTTTATCCATAAAAATTGAGCTAGATTGAAAAATGGTGAATTCAGAGTAACTTCGAAACGACGATTTATTATTATTATCCATAAAAATTGAGCTAGATTGAAAAATCGTGAATTCAGAGTAACTTCGAAACGACGATTTATTATTTTTATCCATAAAAATTGAGCTAGATTGAAAAATGGTGAATTCAGAGTAACTTCGAAACGACGATTTATTATTTTTATCCATAAAAATTGAGCTAGATTGAAAAATCGTGAATTCAGAGTAACTTCGAAACGACGATTTATTATTTTTATCCATAAAATTAGGCTAGATTGAAAAATCGTGAATTCAGAGTAACTTCGAAACGACGATTTATTATTATTATCCATAAAATTGAGCTAGATTGAAAAATCGTGAATTCAGAGTAACTTCGAAACGACGATTTATTATTTTTATCCATAAAAATTGAGCTAGATTGAAAAATCGTGAATTCAGAGTAACTTCGAAACGACGATTTATTATTTTCATCCATAAAATTGAGCTAGATTGAAAAATCGTGAATTCAGAGTAACTTCGAAACGACGATTTATTATTATTATCCATAAAATTGAGCTAGATTGAAAAATCGTGAATTCAGAGTAACTTCGAAACGACGATTTATTATTATTATCCATAAAATTGAGCTAGATTGAAAAATCGTGAATTCAGAGTAACTTCGAAACGACGATTTATTATTATTATCCATAAAATTGAGTTAGATTGAAAAATGGTGAATTCAGAGTAACTTCGAAACGACGATTTATTATTATTATCCATAAAATTGAGCTAGATTGAAAAATGGTGAATTCAGAGTAACTTCGAAACGACGATTTATTATTATTATCCATAAAATTGAGCTAGATTGAAAAATCGTGAATTCAGAGTAACTTCGAAACGACGATTTATTATTATTATCCATAAAATTGAGCTAGATTGAAAATTGGTGAATTCAGAGTAACTTCGAAACGACGATTTATTATTATTATCCATAAAATTGAGTTAGATTGAAAAATGGTGAATTCAGAGTAACTTCGAAACGACGATTTATTATTATTATCCATAAAATTGAGCTAGATTGAAAAATGGTGAATTCAGAGTAACTTCGAAACGACGATTTATTATTATTATCCATAAAATTGAGCTAGATTGAAAAATGGTGAATTCAGAGTAACTTCGAAACGACGATTTATTATTTTTATCCATAAAAATTGAGCTAGATTGAAAAATCGTGAATTCAGAGTAACTTCGAAACGACGATTTATTATTATTATCCATAAAATTGAGCTAGATTGAAAAAATGGTGAATTCAGAGTAACTTCGAAACGACGATTTATTATTTTTATCCATAAAAATTGAGCTAGATTGAAAAATCGTGAATTCAGAGTAACTTCGAAACGACGATTTATTATTATTATCCATAAAATTGAGCTAGATTGAAAAATGGTGAATTCAGAGTAACTTCGAAACGACGATTTATTATTTTTATCCATAAAAATTGAGCTAGATTGAAAAATCGTGAATTCAGAGTAACTTCGAAACGACGATTTATTATTATTATCCATAAAATTGAGCTAGATTGAAAAATGGTGAATTCAGAGTAACTTCGAAACGACGATTTATTATTATTATCCATAAAAATTGAGCTAGATTGAAAAATGGTGAATTCAGAGTAACTTCGAAACGACGATTTATTATTATTATCCATAAAAATTGAGCTAGATTGAAAAATGGTGAATTCAGAGTAACTTCGAAACGACGATTTATTATTATTATCCATAAAAATTGAGCTAGATTGAAAAATGGTGAATTCAGAGTAACTTCGAAACGACGATTTATTATTTTTATCCATAAAAATTGAGCTAGATTGAAAAATGGTGAATTCAGAGTAACTTCGAAACGACGATTTATTATTATTATCCATAAAATTGAGCTAGATTGAAAAATGGTGAATTCAGAGTAACTTCGAAACGACGATTTATTATTATTATCCATAAAAATTGAGCTAGATTGAAAAATGGTGAATTCAGAGTAACTTCGAAACGACGATTTATTATTATTATCCATAAAATTGAGCTAGATTGAAAAATGGTGAATTCAGAGTAACTTCGAAACGACGATTTATTATTATTATCCATAAAAATTGAGCTAGATTGAAAATTGGTGAATTCAGAGTAACTTCGAAACGACGATTTATTATTATTATCCATAAAATTGAGCTAGATTGAAAAATGGTGAATTCAGAGTAACTTCGAAACGACGATTTATTATTATTATCCATAAAATTGAGCTAGATTGAAAAATCGTGAATTCAGAGTAACTTCGAAACGACGATTTATTATTATTATCCATAAAAA